GAGGTTTGGTTTTGAGAAAGGGGGGAGGTTGGGGAGAGTTGTTTGGGAGATGGAGGATGAACGCGAGTGGGTTGTTGTCGTTCCATCCGTTGACTCGGTGGTTGGGGGTGCAGAGGAATCAGCTGGCGCTGGTGGTGTACCACTTGTCACCGGAGCCGAAGACGCCGGAGGTAAATAAGTAAGTGCCTGCAAAGGATGCGAACAAGCCTTTTCCTGATTCACGCAATTATTGCAAAACCCCCACTCCCCCTCATTGCAGAACTCGCAGCGCCAGTAGCACTCATTAGCAAAGGCCGAGCAGCGACAGCAGAAGGTGCCGCTTTGCAGGCGATCGAGCGGGTTGGCGGCCAGGCTGCTGCGGGCGCGAGAACTGCTGCTGCTGCTGACGTCGCTTGGTTTTGAGGGAGGTGGTAGAGGCGGTAGGTACCGGACGGCCGTCAGCCGGTGCGGAGGAGGAAGATTCGGATGGTGGCCGCTGGCTTTGGCCTTGTTCCACCGGTGCCAGACGGCGTAGCCGAAGCCGAACCAGTGCAGACATCCTTTGCGCTTGCGCCAGCAGTCGAGACAGATGTTCCAGTCGCCGTTGTGGCAGATGGAGCAGTTGAAGTGAAGCTTGTATTCGATGTGCTCCATGCCGCAACCGTTGCAGTTGATGAGGGGTTCCGAGTAGCGCGGCATGTTGGAAGGTTGAAGCTGTGGCTGTACTGGTGGTGTGCTGTTGTTGGCGGCTAGATGGATGCTTACGGGACCGGAGGTTGACACAAAGTTGGGTACCGATGGGGCGGAAGTAATTTCGGATTTCCCTTGTGTAGTAGAAGGTCGTCGATCAGAGGTCGTCGTCGTCGTTCTTCTTCTCCTCCTTCCCGAAGTGTCGGAATCTGATGAGCCGTCTGTTTGTGTATGTGGTTGTGTGACCCCTATACCCGCAGCTCGAGCATTGAACGACAGCGCCCTCATGTCTGAAGAGTTTGCCGTAGTCGTTGTAAGTAGGGGGTTGCTGCTGCTGACAGTTGGCGAACTGGAGCTTCGTGTTTCCGTGATCACTCCCACGCTGGGTCTGATTGGCTGCGTCGCCTCAGAAGTGGTGGATGACCTGATCACCTCGGTTTGCGAACGGTGGGCTGACACACGGGGTTGCTGTTCGGCCTGTGACGGGACCGGCACAGTAGAACTCCGACTGGCGCTGCTTGTCGTCCTGCGCCTTCTCGAAGCTCCCTGAACATCCAGATGCGCCGCACCCGCGGATGGAGGGTATCGATGTCGTTCCTCGTTACTGCTAGCACTTGGCTCCCTCGACCGTGAAACCCCACTGCGTATACTCGCTGGTCGTGTAGCGTGATCCGGCGGTGGTCTCGTCCTCGAAGTAACCAGAGGCTCCGGCCTATACGATGATTGCGTTGTACTGGAAGCAGCAGTATTCCTCCTAGCACTCCGTTCGGCATTCACCCGTGTCCTCTCCCGGTGTCGTCGCCTGTACGCCTCCATGATCTTCTTGCTAAGCTCGTCGTTGTTGTCCAAGTCGATATTATCCAAATCCAACCCATCCAGTAGCCCTTCCTCCTGGATCTGTCGCGCAAACTCTTCAATCTCCCGCTCGATATCGATATCACCAAGGTCATCCGCACTAATCAGCGACCTAAGAGATGACTGGTGCTCAAGCCGCCTCGTCCTCTCTTCCGTCTCTCGTTGACGCGATTCACTCCTCCTTCTCCTCCTCTCGTCGGCATAATGATTCTCCGGATGCAGCGTCGCATTCTGCGCCCGTATCCTACTACTGGTACTAGGCGCAGCCGACGAATCTCTCACCCGTTCCCTATCCCTATCTCTGCCCACCATACTCCCCGTTCCCGTTCCCGTTCCCGACGCCCTATTCCTACTAACATCCCTACTCGTCATCCCCTGGCTCTGGTGCGAACCATGCGGTGCATGCGAAGCCCTCCTCCTCCTCTCCGATGAACCTCCAACCGCACTCCCACCCCCACCACCTCCTCCAACAACACCAACCATACTCCCCGTCGCGCTCCCCGTAGTCGTCCCCAGCATACTCCCACTATTCCCTGCCTCCAAAGCCGCCCACGCCTCCCTCAAGCTCATCTCCTGCACCTCATGCAACACCCTCCTCTCTTCTTCATCCAGCCTCATCTCCTCTTCCGTGCGGTCCTCCCACCTCTTTATCCTCGGCAACACTTTACTCCCCTTTCTGTACCGTTCATCCATTTCCCTGCGTTCCTCCTCCGGCCGCGTGCGCTCGGGGTTCATAGCCAGAAACATTTCCAACAAAGTGGCGACGCGCGCATCGTGCTTGGTGTCGCGCACGGGGTCGCGGCAGGCTGGACAGGTGAAGACTTTGTGTTGTTCGGAAGGAGGAGGAGGCGGGAGAGGAGAGGTCTCGGCGCGGTAGGCTTGTGAGGCGAACCATTCTTTTAGGCAGGCGCCGCAGAAGGTGTGCAGGCAGTCGAGGAGGGTGAGGGGTTGGTAGAGGAGGTCGGTGCAGATCTGGTGTTGATGGTATTAGCGATTGTCTTTTGGTCATAGAGAGGGGTTGTTAGGTTTCGGTAGGGGGATGGAATGGGAGTTGGGAGGAAAGAAGTGGTGGGTAGTTCATCCGATGTCGTTGCCGTTGCCGGACGGAACAGAACACATGGCGAACACATGGTTTGGGCGCATGACATAGCATGGCAGATCCAGATCCAGATCCACGCATCACGACATATCGACCTGTCTGATCTGAACCAGCCCAAGCTTTAAAACCAGGTAGACAGACTGGACACCAAACAAGAAAAGAAGGAGTAATAGAGGTACTCACAGAACAAGTCAACTCGGACTCCAAATTCACAGAGGCAGCCGCCTTCTTGATGCTCGAAGAAGTAGGTGTTTCCATCATCTTGACTCAGAGCTCGACGACTCCCGTCGCAGTGGGCAGTCAACCGTGACCGAGCGCAGCGAGCGGGTATGGTAACTCTTCGGTTCCGTCCAGTCTAGCTCCGTATCCCACTTTGAGTAGCGACGATCAAGACCGACGCCGTATATCTCCTCTCCCTCTTTAACCTCAGCCTCAGGGGCGTGTGTTTGTACCCAAGGCGTGTGCGCAGCAGAGCCGAGGCGTCGTCGTTTCGTTTAGTTTCGTTTCGTGACCGTAGACTAGAGGTCTGCTTCCCCGCTTGTTCCTTCTCCGAACGTGTCGTCGTCTACGGGCTGTTCCCAGCTGTCGTACAACTTCGACCCGTCTGGTCTCGGGGAGGTCTCCGGAAACGTCTCAAGCAGCGCGGCGGTGGCTGCAGCGCAAAACGTTGGGTTGTGTCGAGTAGTGTTGCCAAGATGAGGGGACTGGGGAGTGTTCGGCGGCGCAAAGAGACGAAGAAGAAGAAGAAGTGAGGAGGGATGGCGATCCCCCCAAAATTCAAGATGTATGGAGGTAGGTAGGCATGCCCGCCAAGAAACGGGGTAGAAAGTGATGCAGTCAAGTAACGAGAAGAAAAAAACTATGTATGCGTTGTAGCCGGCACGAAACCCGGTTACGGTCCAACACGATGCAACCCAAATGAGAGGTTGACAGTGGCAGCGTTCGCGATCCTAATTGAGGTGCGTGGGGCGCAAACTCAGTAGTTCTATCCCCTAAGAGTTATAGCGTGCATCTTCCCCGTGTTATGCATGTCACAACACCATCCCGTCCGCAACAAGTGGAAGCCCGAGGAAAATGGACGAATGACCACTTCCCAAGCATTCTCGCCCAGCAAGGAAAAGCAAGACATCTTCTTGGGGTTTCCATCATGTCCTCACGTGGCTGTGAAAAGTAAAATACTCCAGACTTGATTGTTAAAGAGGCTGTTCGTTTACGTACCTTATGGCCAAGACTGCGGTCAGATCAAGATTGTTAGCTAACACTGCTATTCGCTACGGCGTTTAACTACCAAATGGTCTTGATAGTCTTTTGTGCAATCATCCACTCACTCTCCCCTACCTAAGATTTGTCTCACTAAATTGTATAAAATATTCTGCTGATGCAATGTATTGATTACCTTTTCAAAAAACGCCCGTCTCTCTCAGTGTGCTAGTATGTATCATGTCTGCCTGTCATGCCAATGCCAATCTACAACCCTTCCTTTCCATTCATGAAATTCCCCAACTCTTCGCGCCAATCATCATACCCAGAAAAAACCTATGTAGAAACAATCTCAAAAACATTGTAAAACGCCAATTACCCATCAACCATGATTATCGTTATAGATCGTTAGTGGGCTTATCATCATCGCCCTCGTAGTCTTTGCACACACCGTACCATGTCCTCCCACGGCAACGTTGTTTACCGCTGTCCTCGGGCTGCCCTGGCTGTCCTCCCTCTGTCGAAGTAGCCGTTGCTGACGGGGTAAGCACTGAGCTCGGTAGGGCTGGGGCTGAGGTAATCGTAAGCTCTGCCGAAGTGGATGGTGATCCGACATCTGTCGTTGCCGTCTTATCATAACACCCCCAGAACTTTCCGGGAGTTAGGCAGGTAGTGCTGCTTGTTGTCGGGGTAGGAGTTGTTGATGATGTAGTCGAGGTTGTAGTCTTGTCCTTGCAACCGAACCAGCCACTGTTTGATAGGTTAGCAACGTCAACACCCAAGACTTACTCGGTAGTCAACTTACGGAGTGTGGCATGTAGTGGTGGAAGTTGTGGTCACTTCGCTTGTCGTTGTGGTTGCCGTTCCGGTTGTGGTGGTGGTTTCATCCAAACATCCCCACCAGCCCCTATTGTCTGTTAGCATCCTTCAAGCGAGACAGGAGGTGTTAAAACTTACGGAGTCTTGCAGGTTTCCGTCCGGGTACGGGTCTTGGAAGTCGAAGTAGGCGCGTTCGAAGTGGTCGTGGTTTCGGTTCCGTTGCTTTCATACATCTTCCAGTTTCCGCAATCTCTGCATTCCGGTGTAAACTTGCACTCGGGAACCTTCTCATACTTCCGGAGGACATCACGAATGACCGCACGGATCTTGTGGGTGCCAATGCCGACACGCCAGCCTAAGTCGGCAACCGTGTCATAGACACACTCACGGCCGGTATGACAAGCTGACTCCATTGCATATCCGCCAATAGCGCACGATGCGGTAGCTCCGTTACAGGTACCGACGTACACCGGATCGGCTGTGTGACCAAAGTGGAAAGCTCCCGTGTACTCTCGCGTCTGAGGCGCATCAGGGTCAGATCCGGGAGGGATAGGAAGTCCAAGTCGCTTAGCAGGGAGGGCTTCGGGAACAGCCTCGAAGGTCACGACTGGATCACCATAAGTCAAGCCCAGCAAAGAGCTCATAGCTCCTCCAAGCGAGTGCCCAACAATCCACACGTTGGCTTCGGGGTAAAGCTCAGTGACGTTCGCATAGAGCTCGCGACCGGCTTGGTAATAGCGGTTCTCGTCCCGCAATGCTTGGACGACGCAGGTGTTATTGCAAGAGTAAGTGCCTGTCGCGCAATCGCAAACCTGGTGCCAGGTCCAGGGTCCTTGTTGAGCACAGCAACAGCTGAAAAAGAGATTGTCGTTGACCTTGTCGTTGGTGGTAGTGCCGTCCCCGTCAAAAACAGCAACCGATGTTCCCTTCAATCCGATGACGATGGTCGAATTCGTCTCATCGGCAAACACATGACCCCGAAGTCCATCCCCCTCCCATCCAAAATCGAGGCTCCTGTTAAACTGGTCCCCGACATCCACCCAGTCTGCGCCATCCGGAGTCTGTACGTAGGCGTCGGCAGCCATGAGCGCCAGCGATATGATGGTGTCTTTATCCGTGATGTCGGGTCCGGCAACCTCGTCCATTGTCCATGCTTCGGGTGATAGGACGGAAGCGTAACCTTGTTGTCGTGCATAAGCGACCATGGGGTCTACGACGCTAGGCCTGCGGTCGGCAAGTCGTTGTATTCGCATCGGGCTGCTGCGCGCCTTGAGGGTTCCAATGCGCTCCTCGCCATATTCGTCGTCGGCTGCTAGCCATATGTCTGCGTTCTTTGCGGGTATGTCCTTCTTTCGGTGAAGTGTCGGGTGTTGGTAGGTACCATGGTGGTAGATATGTCGAAGTGTCTAGGGTGGCGAATGTGTGTTAGTGGTGACTACGCGGGTGATGGGTCACTAAAGCAGCAGGATTAAACGAGAACGTACGAATTTGTGTTCAGCCGGTGCTGGAGGCTCTGGTATCAAGGGCTGTATTGGTCGCGCCTCGATCGGTATGACTATCTGGGCATTCGGTTCATCGTAGGAGAAGGCGTTGACGACTGGTGTTGTTGTTGAGAGAGCGAGAAAGGACAAGGCCAGTCTGGCGGTGACCCTAGCGGCGGATGTGCAACTGAATGCATCCACTTTCCTCTTTCCAGAGGTGAACATGCTGAAAGAATGGCGTCGGTCGTGGCCAGTTGAGGGTAGGTAGTGGTGTTGGAGATGGACAAGATAACTAAGAAAAGGCGAAGAAACCGAAGAGGATAAAAGAGAGGTGTGTCGAGGCGAAACACACACAAGCCCGAGGATGTCGTCAGTTCAAGGTCAGTTGATTGAGGGAGTGGTAGGTAAGATTGTTGGGGAAGGCGGTTTGGAAGGGACAGGGAGACAGGTGCACTGGTGCCTGTCACCTGCGACAAGATAGCGTCGTGTTGGCACCGGAATCGATGATTGCCCTGACAGCCCAGCCAGTGATGACGATCGCAGTCAATGCCAATGGCCGATGGCGGAAACGCGTACCTCTCAAGGTTCCTCTTATCAGCACGATAACAACGCCTTACCCCAGAAACTGGGCGCAAACGTGCAGATGGGGCATGCACCATGTGTTGTCACTCTTTGATAAAGAGAGGGTTAGGGTCGTGTATGGAAGCCTGCGTGGCCTGTTGTTGAATTAAAGCGGTCGGGATCGACACTTCTTTAAAGACATCACATGCGCTGTGTCCATGGCGGAACATGTCATTTCTCTAATGTACTTGTCCACGAGATGTGTTTTTAAAGATTTTCTAGTTTCTTGACATGCACATGCCCTTTCTCTCTCTTCGATACTCAGCTCCCTTAACAATTTGATACCAGGCTGTCTGCTAGGTGGAGCATCTGCTAGCAGTGTCATTCCACTGGCAGAAGTCGAAATGCGGGACACCACCCATCTGCAAGTCGCCTAGCTCGGACCCTGGAGAGACACGCATCTCGTCTGCTCTCTCATCCGGATCTCCTACAACACAAGGAAACTTCCATCTTCAGGACTCGAACATTCGATCCAATGTCTTGACCTTTTGAGAACGACAATGCTTTGATGGTTCAACCATTAAGCGCCCTCTGTCTTTTTACTCTTTGACATTGCACCCAACTGTTTCTTTTTTTTGCCTTGTTGGTCTTGGGCCTTCTCATCACACTATTTTAGCACGGTACAACAACAAGAAGCCCAAAGCTCCATAACATCACCACTTTGACCCCCGTCTCCCCGTTGACTAAAGATTTCTTGCTATCTTCCTCAACCCCCTCTGACTGCTTGTCACCTTCCGTCGAACCCGAGTCTTGTGGTTTCAGAACTGTGCCGTATCCTTATGCGCTGGTCATTTGCTTCAGTTGTAAGTCCCGCTACCGCCGACATGCCCATGTCATGATCTGTCCCCCGGCGTCAATCATATCTTTTGCCAACTCGTCTATCGTCAACATCTCCACTGTGGAGTCATTCATCACAGTACTGCTTGGGAAGTCCCGGCTCCCATTACCTTGCCTGTCGCACTCAACTTCGCTTCCCATGGACTTACACCTCTAACCTTAAACCCAATACAAACAGTGAGACAAGCGGTATTATCATGTCGTCCAGCAGGGACAATTCGTCCCCGCGTCCGAGTCCTCTCCGGACATCGAGGTCCTTTACCCGTCTCGATCCTCCTTCCACGCCGACAGACCTGACGCGCCCCAAGAGAGCGAGCACGATCCAGTCCCCAGTCAAAGATACATCCGAGATGCCCGACACCTTCGAAAGCAGAGTCAGCTTGGACATAGAGCCCCCGAGGTCGTCCATCGATCTGGAAGGGCTCCCAATCGAGTTGGTTGCCCTGACGGACAGCTTCATCGACGGGCTAGTTGCAAAGGTGCACCCAACACCGCCCAACATCGATTCTCTCTCTCAGCGGTTCCAGGATTTCTATTCTACCGCCGCGTCCCATATCCAAACCCATATCGACAGTCTAGCCACTCGACAGAAACGCGATGACTTTGCAGCCTCTTCCTCGGGCACGCGCCAGTCCGCCGCCAGTATACTACGGCAAAAGGCTTCTCAGCTTAGCAGTAGCAGCAAGGAAAAGCTAAAAGCGGGACTTACAAGACGGGAATCCGAAATGCTTACCCCGGAGGAATATGCCGAACGAAGAAAGGCGAGAAAAGCTTTGGAGCAGCAGCGGATATTATTGGAGGAAGCTGTAGAGAGAAGGCTCTGCGAAGGCATCTACGGAAGGATTTACCGCCATCACACCACGCAGGACGAAGCGCAGGATGACAAACTCCGGTCAAAAACGGCCGCTTTGGCCGTGGTGGGCATTGGCCCCAGCGATCTGGGAGTGGACATTGGAGACATAGACAAAAGCGACCCGGAAGCCGTTGCCAAGAGGACGGAAGAGGTCAAGGACTGGCTGGAAGGGGCGAGGAAGGAGCTGGTACTTATGAACCAGTCGCGATATCCCCTGGGCAAGCTCAACCATCTCAAGGCGGCGCATAAAGCCATCATCGACACTCTCTCACACTTCCACCCTTCCTCGTCCGCAGACGAGCTCATGCCGATGCTCATCTTCACACTCATCACTCTCCCACCCGACAACCTCAACGTCATAAGCGACGTCAACTTCATCCAACGCTTCCGCTGGGAGCCAAAGTTAGTGGGCGAGTCATCTTACTGCCTCACTTGTCTCGAAGCCGCCATTAGCTTCCTCGAAACCGTCGACCTATCCACTCTCCGCGCCGACGAAGCTCCCACCGGGCCAGCCAAGACACCTACCGGCTCCTCGCTACCTCGAGCGGAGACATTCCCTCCCGCCTACTCAGCCGGAGTCTCTTCTTCCACCCCCAGCCCATCTTCCGAGTCCAACAACAACCGCCTTCAGCCTCCCCTCTCCCGCCACGCCGTGCGGCTGCGTGATCGCCGGCTTAGTGATCTGGTGACGCAGCCGGCACAGGCCTTCAACGCTGCCAGTGACACCATCTTTACAACGGCCGATCAGAGCCTAAAGACCATCGGTATCAGTCTGGGTGACAGCTACAAGTTCCTTGTCGGCAAGCTGCGCGAGCACCAGGAGGCCATCGTGCCCAAGACGCTCGAGGATGCGCGCAAGCTGATCGGAACACCGCCGCCTGCTCTTGAAGATGACGGTAATTCCATGGCGGGGAGCTTGGGCGTGAGGAGCGCCGCCAGCTCGGTGCACACCCCTGACGAGGGTCTGCATCCGCTGAAGCGATCCAACACCCCTAGTAGGACGACAGAGGACAGGGTGTTGAGCATCATTGGCGGGCGGAAGGCGTCATCAACAACAAGGGATAACAGTGTTGACAGCGCGAGCACGACCAGGAGTGTTTCGGGATCGGGGAAACGGCTAACAGTGGAAGAGAGGGCGGCGGCGGCCGTGGCTGCTGGGTTGAGCGGTAGCGGTGGGTCATCAAAGGAATTAAAGGAAGGAAGTACGAGTACGACTGCGACCGCAACAACCCCGACACCAACTTCGGCATCGGCACCTCCGGCTTCGTCAAACCCGGCGCTCATTGATTCTGTGAGGAATCTGGGTAGCTCGTTGAATCCAATGGCGAGGTTCTCACAGGGTATCAGCGGATTGAGGAGCTTTGGCAGGACGACACCATCTACACCTTCAACACCGGCGGCCCCTCCGCCAGTAGCCAAGGATAAGGAGCTGTCGCCTGTGCCGCCGGTTCCGGGGAAGGGCACGCCAGTGGCGGATGGGGGTGACTTGGCTACGGTATGTTTCCTTTCCCTTTTTTTATTTTATTTTTATTTTTATTTTTATTTTTTATTTTTTTACTGCCTCTTTAGGACAATTGACTAATAACTGCGTAGGCCTTCCCCGACCTACCCCCGCTTTACCACCAAAAGAAACGCCCAAGGTCGAGCCGCCCATTAAGCGGTTCATGGAGATTGAGAACCCGGCGGATTTGAGGATAGGGGAGGTGTTGGATTTGTTGAGGGATTATAGAAGGCTGGCGGGGGCGCTGAAAGATGCGGGTGCTTTTAAGGAGTAGGGTAGGAGAATAGGTAGATGGGGATACATATACACAGTTGCACTTGGAGAATCCTGGAGAATCTTGGAGAGATATATATCTGGATATAATCAGGTGTGGTGGTGCATCATCAGTTGGTCGGAATGTCGGACTGGTACAGATGGGAAGGATTACCAATATATAATAGGATTTGTTTGGTGGTTCAAAGGATATCCGGCCGATTTAGAGACGATAACTACCTAATCAACCCTCTTTGATAACGAGAGTCCTCCGGACTTATGGTTCAAGATCCTCGTGCCTCCGGCCTGATCCTTCGTTTCAGTTCCGACTGAGGGGATGCGCCCAAGGTAACAAAACACCGAAGCCAAGCCTCTCCACTTGCGCAGGCTCATCAACACCTACTGACCTACCTACCCACCCTCGGATAGTCGTGAATACAATTCCACCTCATGGATGCATCTCCGATCTTTTCGGAGTTAACGACGGAAGGTTTACAATTCCGTGCTCTGACCAGATCGAGCAGTCATAATTGCTTCGCCTGTCTCTTCTCACAATCCTCATGGAATCAATCACACGGCGAGTCCGAGTTTTCGTTCAGAACACGAAAACCAGTTTACTGGTGAATAGGCGCCCTGGGTGTCGTACCCGAGGGTGTGTGGGATGTGGTGTGTTGGTGTTCACGAAAAAGGTAAAGGGGACTTGGTTATCACATCTCAAAGTAACAAGTCATCGGCCAATCACATATTACGTACTTGGATTCTGGGTTCGTCACATCAGTGAGTAGGAGGATTGCCTATTGAGGCTCAAGTGACAAGTGACAGTGAGAAGCGTGATCAAGGCGAGAGAGTGAGGAATTGACGGTGAGAAAGTGAGCAAGGTGAGTAAGGGAGATGTTGGAGGTGTCAGGGTGGGTAAGCTTGGTATGATTGTCAGTTGGCAGTTGGTAAGCAAGTGGAATGGTTCGTTCGTCGTGTTGGTATTACATACATAACCACACACGTGCCACAGTTTACGTACCTACCTAGGTGAGTACCTTACTAGATGTAAGTGAGTTGAGTCAAAACGGAAGACCGTGACGGTGACGGTGGAGAAAACGGGGGTCGATATTGAAAAGAGAGGATTTAGGCAGAGAGACTTAGTAATGCTGTTGACTGACAATATCCATCACATATCATCAACGTCAGAATGCATTGTCTTGTCTCCGCGGATATGTTACCTAGCAGCCTACCTGGAGTAGTCATCTGATGATGCGATATGATATACCTACTCGGCCTTCGGACAGGAGTATAGTCCGAGGACTGCGAGGACTTTACGGCTTTTATGCCAGCCCAATAAGAAAAAAAAAATGCCATTATCCCCAACAACCAATATTCACTTTCCACGAGGCTGTCGTGGGATCGTGGCTGTCAGATTCAATGAAACCCTGACCCCCACGAACAGCTTTTGTCTGACCGGCTGACTGACAGACACTCTGCCTGAATGGAAACAACACTCTGCCTGAATGGAAACAACACTCTGCCTGAATGGAAACAACACTCTGCCTGAATGGAAACAACACTCAACACACAAGGATCCCGCGCTTACCTCTCTTGTGCGACGTTGTAGAGAGAGGCTTTGGGAGAGGGCATTGGATGAATAGGTAGGTATGAAGAAAGGGTTGTGTAACTGCCAAGCGCGGTTGGAAGTTCTCACCGGTTTCAACTTCCCCCAACTCCAACTCTTCGCCCTCAAAATCATCAGGATTCAGGACTCTAATACGTTACATAGCCATCTACAGGGGAGAAAAGATACCTACAATAAGTTGAGGTGTCTCGTATCGATAAATCCATACAGATCGTGGAATCTGCCATGATAATGGATTTGAGACACACACTTCAGTCACGGACCTCCTTGTGGTAGCCGCGCTACGTTGCACAAGTAGGTACCAATGCATCGGAGTCTTTGTGCTTCAAGAAGTGGTGAATTTGTGTTGTGAACTCGTGGTATGTGTAACTCGGATTATGTTCTCCTGGTGCTATCGGACTTTAAATAACGCGGGGGTCGCTTCACTTCTTTTTTGTCATTCCGCACTCTCGATCCCTTTCTTCGGGTTTCTAACACTCGTTGCTTGAATGCCTGTTGCTGTTGTTCGTTTGTTGGTGACAACCTTACCTCATGTTAGCAACAGGTAAACCGAAGAAACCAAGTAAAGCTACATGTATAGGTAGTATACCAAGGTTCCATCCCCTATATTCCATCACCCCAACGTAAGCAGCATCAAAATCCGAGTTCCGTCTCCTGGTCATCTTCCCCGGTCTCGGTCTCGGTATTAAACTCTCGGTAATCTTTTCAGTCTCGGCAATGCAAGGAACTTCACATCAAATCCCACCGTTGAGAATTTCAAGATCACTAGATCACTAGATGCGCGAATGCGGGCAATGCGGTGTGAGATTTTACAATGCAGAATTCCCAATGCATATAATTTCACACAGCCACGCCACACCGCGCCGTCCAGCCCAGTCCACTCCGTCATCCGTCGACCCAGTTGTCCGGGGTAATGGGGTAAAGGTGTAACGGGGTATGAGGGTTTGTTGGTGGGGGTTGATATAGGCGTATCTCTTGGGACTTGGTAACGGAGCGACTGCTCAAGTGATGTTTTGTTCTCTTACCAATTTCTATAGCTGAACTGCTTAAGCGTTCGCGGAAAGAAACCCAATTCGCAAGATGTGAAAATCTAAAGACAAGGAATGCGGTTGACATCCAAGTCTTACTGTTTAGTGGTTAATCATGTGCTCCGCATGAAACAGCTGGGTAAGGTAGGTTAGGTGGTTAGGTGTGAACGGCACTAAGCCGCTATTAGCCCGCGGTGAAGAAGTCAAAGTGGCAATGTTTTACGTCTAGGTGTGGGATGTGGCAGGTGAGCACGAGATCTTAGGCCTTCCGTAGTCCGCAGTTCACGTGTGAGACATGAAGCGAGACGACCGAGAAGAGGCGACGTTCGTTCGAGTTCGGGTTCACAAACGTACCTACTCGAGCCGTTGAAGAAGAGAAAAGGTTCGATACCTGGGACCATCAGATTCGATGGCACAAGGTTCACGAAGAATGAATGACAGAGAGGTATGTATGTACGACGATGGAGATGGATCGATGGAAAGAGCGAGGAAAACCAAGTACTTTACCTAGGAAAGAGGGAAGCAGTGGAAACTACTTGGTCGTTCCTGCCTTACTGGCCCATTCATGTTCATTACTCACAAAACATGGAAGAATTTGCAGCAAGTTTTCCGAAAGGAGCGACGAGTTTCAGGTTATTGTACGAAATTTAAGAATATAAACAGCTACGCTGCAAACTATAACGCAAAAAGCAGATAACCACCCATCCCAAACCCAAACCAACCACTCTTTAACCTCCCAATATTTGTTCTTCAAACCTCTCGCGAGGCCCAGCGTTATTCCAGCCGGTAAGTATCTTGTTTGTGTATATCCCCGTGAAAGAAATCCCCTTGAAAGAAATCCCCTTGAAAGAAATCCCCGTGGAAGAAAAGAAAACCGAAGAATGGACCAAAAAAGATCCAAGAAGTAAAGGAAAAAGTCAGTTCTGAAATCCCAGTATCCATCATTGCGTCGTGTTCATGTTCTAGTCTGAGGTGATAACCTCACTACCCGTATCCGCCTCTCTCTCTCCATGCCTTCTTTGCGCTGGCTGAATATCCAGATAGCTTGCCTAGTACCCAAAAGCAGCAACCTCCCTCCACCTCTTCTTTCCATGTTCCTGCCCCATAATCGCGTGGGATATTTCCGCCCCTTTAGCTTTCAATTTTTCTCTGAAATGATCGCACCAGAGAACTTCAAGGCGGCCGTCCGGCGGCGGGGCCTGGGTTTGTTGTTGTTGTTGTTGTTGTTGTTGTTGCAGCATCATGCCTGGCGTTGTCGTAGTTGTCGATGTTGTCATCGAGTAGATATTCAAGTTCTCCATGCCTGCTGAGTAATTCATGCTTCCCATCCCATTCATACCGGGATTCATACCGCCCATATTGATACTGTTCGTCCCTCCACCTCCTCCCACATTCATTCCCATCTCCATCTCCAAACCATCCATCCCCATCACTCCCAAACCCTCCCAGCCCGTAGCACCAGTAGCAGCTCCCAACCCCAACCCCAAGCTCTCGTAAAAATTCCTGACAACACAAAGAGGGTAAGCCAACAACCCCGGCTCAGTCCCATTACTCAACGCAAACTCCAAACTCCTCCCCACCCGCTCCGCCAACCCTTTTACAACTTTAGTTCCGTACCTCGCCGGATCAATGTTACTGACCAAGTCCACAGGAACCTGCCACTGCATGTTTGCCAGATGATTTTCGGTAGTAAGGTCGGTAAGCGGTAAGGGCTCAAAGATGCTCCAATACACTCTCTCAACAGCCTGATACAACTGCATAAGACTGGCACAATACACGATATACGCCAGCGCAAGCTGAGAGGTCGGGAAGGCTAGTGGCGGGTTGGTAAATGGGTATGCATAGCCAAAGGTTAGCTGCGGCTGGGAATTACTAATAGATGGAGAGGGACGGCGAGACTTGGGCGGTTGTGGTTTCTGGTGAGGGGATGAGGTTGGGTATGGTTGGAAGCGCGGGGAAGATGCGGAGGCAGAGGCGGGGGGAGTGGGTGAGGGAGTACCTCTTGAGCGGGATATGGAATTTGATGGGGAGCGGCGGTGAGAGTTTGCCTGAGTCTGAGTCTGAGTCTGAGTCTGAGTTTGTGGGTGGGAATATGGTGAGGAGGAGGGTGAGAGGTATGGATATGAAGTTGTCGTCGTCGTGGGAGGAGTTGTTAGGTACGGCGGAGACATAGACTGCCCATACTCTGACATCGAAGTCGACGACGAAGAAGGCGTAATAACAGCCGTTGTTGTCTGGCGCGAAATAGCCGCCGTCATCTCAGCGCTGAAAGACGCAGACCAAGCGTTGAGTTGTCGTTCGATGTTAAGGCAGTTGGTCAGGAGGTCTTGAGCACGCTGGCGACGGGGAAGCGAAGGGACTTCTTCGGCGACTACTCGATCTGCGCGAGAAAGGATGCGCGGGAGAAGGGCGATGATATCGAAGAGTTGGTCGAGAAGGGATTTGGGCTGTTTTTCCCAGGGGGTGGAGGTCCATTCTGCGGACTCGAGGAAGGTGGGGGTGCGGTTGAGTAGGGCGGTTAGGACCTAGCGGATGGTCGTTAGTTCATTTTGACGAATTATCTATGTGGCCAAAAAGGAAGTGCTAAACTTACAGCATTAGGCCGGTAGACTCGGACAAAAAAGTGATGATCAGGGAACGTCTGGAATTTCTCTGGTCCAGCGCGTCTGATGGAATCACCATGAGCAGCCGGATCTTTCAGAGACGGCTGACCGCTGTAGAGATTCGTGTAAAGGGTCGAATTGTTGTGCTGAAATACCGTGTTAGTGTCTGAAAACGGCACTATCTCGCGGCTATTCGTTACCACAATGAATTAAATTACCTCGTAAAGGAAAACACATGAACCGACCCATGGCATGTATGGATCCCCATCCTGGCTTTCCAGTAGATTAATCAAACACTGCGCTTTCAACTCAAAGTCGTGGCGGCTGAAGTAAAGCTGCAAGCTCGGAACTTCGTATTCCGCCATCGAGCTCACAGCGAACTCGCCCAAAGCCTCCATACTACCGTCACCAGCGCGGACGACATTCTGAAGCCGAGTATTCAGTGCCGTAAACTGCACGTTGTACTTCATCCCAGAACGTGTCGATAACGAGATGAAGTCGTCCCAGGCCGACTGAAGCGGCTGATCCGGAAAGAAGAGCTCCGGATAATGCTGCTGAGGTTTCTGGTAATGGTGCTTTTGCTGTGGCGGCGGTTGTGGATTCTCCCTCTCCTCGGGCTCCTCTCCTCCACTTCTCGACGAGGTCGAAGCTTTGGCCTTGTTTGACTTCTTGATGACCCTTGGCGGATGGGACGAACAACGACCGCCTCCTCGATGGTTCCGATGATGAAGACGGTTTCTCGCTCATAACCGAGACACTCGCGGCCACTGTCGATACACTTTCGGCAAAAGGGCCGTTCGTTGTCACACTATGTAGTTGGATTAGTTTGCTTGCCCAAAAGGAAAGTTGCCACTGTGGTTTGGATATGTGTCTTACCTTGACTCTCCTGACACGGCAAGAATTGCAGCCCTTGTATTTCCCAGGAACTCCGACCATCGTTATTGAGTAGTAAGTATGATGAGGATAGTAACCGGATGGAGAAACGAGGCAAACTGGTTTGTTTTCGTGATTTTCTGAACGAGTGTCTAAAAGGAGAAGAACGAGACCCGAAAGAACGGAGACGAGTATCCAACCGAACAGTGTTATTGAGAGGTTACAGTGGCTCAGCCCCTGAACTATTGCTGTTGGGTAGACCCGTTATGTGTGTAGGATGGGGGTCCAACCGCAAGGTAGCAGAGAGGTAGTAGTCAGAGGTAGGCTCGTAGGCAGGCAGGCAGGCAGGCAAACAGGTAGGACAAACCAGGCAGAGGGGGTTCAGCCAAAAGAGGGTAAGGGCCTGAGGCCTTGATATACGGTACAGAACTTGACCAGACTTTTGCTGACCAGTTGGAAAGCAGACGACCACCCGAGGCTGATGAGCAGGAAACGCTGACTGACCGTTTCTCGTATGGGGATGAGAAAATCTTCAATGACTAGTGAGCCAACCACGAGACAGGACAGCCTCTTCGAGTCACGGCCGAGGCAGCCTCATGATCAGAAGAGCTTTCTTGGGAAAACGGACCTGTCGTTCTATACCGAAGAAACTGTAAGCAAGACTCCCTGGAAACATCCCCACTGCCGGTTCAATATTACGTTTTCCGCGGCTACCTAGGGCCTAAGACGCTCGTCGGGAGGACTCCGAGAGGGTGACGCCATCACTCGACTGGCACACCACCTACACAAATACTGGAACCAAGGAGAGTTCTGGGGAATGGAGCCGGTCACGCAGAAGGGCTTGGTTTGCGCATATGCGTTTTGCAAAGTCCACTCTCGGTGTACGTATTGCGTAAGCCTTCCCATGGAGTGTGCACGATGAGACTGGGGGTGGGGGGACCCGGCACCGATGACATGTAGGAAATACGTATATGGATGGCATGGCAGCAACGGGTCGGCCAAGGATATAGTTCTCAGTCGGCAGCAAGCGAGTCATATTGGTTTCGATGCAAGAGCGGCAAACAAGCCCCAAGATGTAGTTTTTGGCCCAATAACTACTTGGGAGCGTAGTGATGGCTTGAAGGGGGCTCTGTAGGGCTGCAGTTAAGGAGAAGTCAGCCCGCAGGGGTTCGGCATCCTGGATAGGCAGCCTACGGGCTGACGGAATGGGGCTGGTCAGACGGAATGGCATGGAAGGTGGTATGTAAGAGGAAATGCCTGCCTGTGATTGGCCAGTAAGCGGAAACGGGTATATAGTACGAGGGCTGGCGTTGTCGATGGTGGCTCTCCGGTTCGAAAGCCTGCCTGGGACTCTCGTTCGCTGAACCGTGTGATTTGATGTTCTGCTCACGATGCGCTCTGCGGCCAATCAGCTTACCAAGACAACGACTACGCCTTCGGGAACCCCGACTACACAGTAGTGACAGTCCGGAAAAGCTGCAGTGATATGCGATTGTTGACAGAATAATTGACCACAATAGACGTCCGTCATTGAAACAAGCCAATCCGCAATACCGGGAGGAGATGGTCTCAAGGTGGATAAGTAAAGATCAGGGGAATACAATTTGAAGTGGTATCACCGGCCAGAACCCGCTCTGACTCCTGATGGGTATGTTGGACGGTGAGAATCCGTCCGGGTGGAATCAAGCAGGTCAGCGCCGCATGTATACAGGATCTGGAAAAGAATTGTTTTATGCAAAAAGAATGAGAGCACGTGCTTTCTAAATGTACTTATAAGGGTTCAAGATGGCGTTCTGAAAAAATCACTGGTTAGCGAGAGGTCACATTCTGGGGCCCCAGTTGAGGGCCGTTGGGACCGGTAGGGGCAATGTCATGTCAGGGGCAGTAGGGCTGGTGGCGGGCGGGGAAAGAGACCAGGGAACGCTATAGGCTCATCATCAACTTACCGGGTCATAGAGATCCTTGAGCTGCTTCATCAAGCCGACCATGGCGGGAGTACGGCTGTATCCAATGTACTTCTTCTTGGCAAGACCAAGACCGTGTTCAGCACTAATGCTGCCCTGGCGCTTGGAAATCCACTCATAGACGAAGGGCTCAAGAACCTTCTCAACCCGCTCGTCGTTAGCGGCGGGTAGACACGTTAAGATGGAGGTTGGAGTCGCCCTGTGTCCCGTATCCTACAACAGCACGCACCGGGTGCTCATCTGTGTCACCGAGGAGGCCGGCCTCCTCAACACGGGCCTTGGTATCCTCGACAAGCTGGTACATCTCGGCAAGAGGGATGGAGACATCGTACTTGTACACACCCCCAAGGTGGCCAAGGGCTTCCGTAATACCCTCACGCCAGCTCCAGAGAGCCTTGACCTGGGTCTCGTCCTGAGCAAGAGTGCCGTCGACAACGATACCCTTCTCCATGACGTCCTCGAGGAAGGTCTGGAGCTTCTCGCCATCGTGGTCGGAGTTGGATCCGCTGGTCTCGATCAAGCAGTAGAAAGGATACTCACCCTCGAGCGGCGAATTCTTCTTGGTGACTTGGCGAACAAGAGCCTGGCTGCCGCCGTCCATAAGCTCGAAAGCAGAGAGAATCTCGGACAAGTGACCCTTGGCCTCCCGGAAGGCCTGTTGGGCAGCCTCGTAGGACTCGAGACCGAATAAGGCAACGTTCTGAGCCTTGGAGCGCTGGGGGCATTGGATGACAGCCTTGGTGATGACACCAATAGTACCCTCAGAGCCGATAAAGAGCTGCTTGATGTCGTAGCCAGTGTTGTTCTTGCGCAACTTGCAGAGATCATCGACAACGGTACCATCGGGAAGGACGGCCTCGATTCCGAGCGTAGTTCCGTGCAAGCTTCCGTACCTCAGGAGACGGAGACCACCGGCGTTGGTGGAGAGGTTGCCTCCGATATGGCACGAGCCCTTGGCACCGAGATCCAAGGGGAAGATGTAGCCCTTGCTGGCCAGGAACTGGTCAACAACCTCGAGAATGGCACCAGCCTCGACAGTCAGGATACCGGAAACCTCGTCGAACTCGATGATGTTGTTCATGCGGGCCATGTTGAGAACGATCTCGTCGAACACGGGAACGGAGCCACCAACGAGACCGGTGTTGCCGCCCTGGGGGACAACAGCCAGCTTGTTGTCATTGCAGTACTTGAGGATCTTGCTGACCTCCTCAGTCGAGCTGGGCTTGAGGACGAGTCTGCAGTGACCACGATACTTACGCATCCAGTCGGAGTTGAAGGGCTCGATATCGTCAGTGGCGTTCTCATTGGTCACGCCATCGATGACAGCAGACTCGGTTCCCAAGAGACCTTTGAAGAAGTCGACATGTTCCTTGGTGACCTGACCATAGCGAGGATCCCTCTTGAGTTCAGGGTAAGTCTCGCTGGTGAATTTGCCCTGCTGGCATCTCGTCTCCTTGAGCTGACTAGGCCGAGAGCTGCTGAAGCACCGGACCGCCGACGCAACCTGGGACTGAAAATGAGGTTGGGTGGTCAGTCTGGGAGTGAGTCTTGCTGGCTTGGCCAGTCTGGCGAGGGTTGTCGTCGAGGACCGATGTCGGCAGGCCATGTTGGTGATGATTGCAAAGAGTGAAAGCAGAAAGACAGAAACAAGAAAACGCAAACTACAGTATTCCTAGTCGTTCTTATTCCCGATATCGCTGTGTTGGTTTTAGTGTCTCACCAAAACGACGCTTCCTTCTCCTTTGGGACTCTCGACTCACTGGAGCTCCAGGGTTAGCTGCGGTCTCGATGACTTCACCAGGGTTAACTGACACACTTGAAGCAGATCGAGTCAGAAAGTCTCTCAGATGTTAAGGAACTAACAAGGAGCTGCGCTGACAGGTGTCCAAATTCTGTCAGTGCTCTACTGGCATCTGTCAAATCGCCGTCTCGCAGCCGAGGAAGGCAGGTACAGGGTCTGGCCTTTCAGCGCGTCGTTGTCCACGCCTGCCTGCCCGCAGCTCCCGCCTGCCAACCAGCTACAGGTGCATATCCCGCTGTTGTGCCTGAGCTTGGGCCTGTTTTGAGGGGACACTGACGCTGAGAGGTGGGAAGCTGTCAGCCTTCTGGGGAAGCTCCCGTCCTGTTGTTGCCGTTCGTTCGTCAAGTCGTCAGTCGTCACAGCTTCGCAGCCTCCATCCCGAACCCCAACTTCCATCCACTTGCCAACCAACATCACCACTTCATTTCCCTTGCCAGATTTGTGACCAGTCCCGTTATTTACTGAACCTTCCCGGCGCACCAACTCCAATTTACGAACAAAACAGCATCGCGATTGATACCCAGCAGTAAACCATGGCGTCCGGATACGACAGAGCTCTTTCAGGTACATCTCTTCCTCCACATTTCCCACATGTCCATGGCGCCCCCAGTTGCGATCCAGACCCCGCTAACCCATAACCTCATCCAGTCTTCAGGTCCGTTACACCTCGCGATGCCGAAACCATGCGATGCGCACGTCGAGCACCACCCAACTAACATTCGAATAGTCCCGATGGACACGTTTTCCAAGTCGAGTATGCCGGTGAAGCTGTCAAGAGAGGTACGCGCTGTCACCTAGACCAGACATATCCCAGCTCGGTTGGAGGTCTACAAGTATCTAACTCGGGATGCACATAGGTACTTGCGCGGTGGGCGTAAAGGGCAAGGATGTCGTTGTCCTTGGTTGCGAAAAGAGATCGGCCATGAAGCTCCAAGACACAAGAATCACCCCCTCCAAGATCGGTCTTGTCGACAAGCACGTCTGCCTCGCTTTCGCCGGCCTGAACGCCGATGCCAGAATCCTGGTGGACAAGGCCCGCCTAGAAGCCCAGTCGCACCGTCTCAACCTCGAGGATCCCGTCACGATCGAGTACATCACAAAGTATATTGCCGGCGTGCAGCAGCGGTATACACAGAGTGGTGGTGTCCGTCCCTTTGGTATCAGCACCTTGATCGTCGGCTTCGACAACGGCAGCGATGTGCCCAGACTCTACCAGACCGAGCCCTCGGGCATTTACTCTGCATGGTTAGTCAATACAAACCTACCATACAGGAACAGGACGGAGCTAACACCCCCCGCAGGAAAGCCAACGCCATCGGCCGGTCGAGCAAGACGGTTCGCGAATTCCTCGAGCGCAACTACAAAGATGAGATGGACCGGGAGGCTACCATCCGCCTGGCCATCAAGTCCCTCCTCGAAGTTGTGCAGACGGGCGCCAAGAACATTGAGATCGCCATCATGGCTCCCGGCAAGGAGCTCGAGATGCTCCCCGTGGAGGACATTGAGAACTACGTCAAGAACATTGAGCAGGAGAAGCAGGAGGAGGCGGATAAGAAGAAGAAGGGCCGGACTCCTGGCACGGGCACTGCTGCCATACTGACCAGGAGCCAGGATGAGCCAGGTGACCACTAAGGGAGTGGCGAGATGAGACCGACTGAGTGAAGGGGTCTCTGGTGGGAATGGTTATGGCAGTTGTAATGCTGCTGCTACTGCCAACCATGTCATGAAAACATAGAAGCCTCTTTTTAGGTACAGAAATAATACCACGAATGACGACCAAGCTAGTTTCGTTAAGAGTGGGACGATGTGTAATATGATGATGATGAGTGACAACCAGGCACCCCTTTTGATTATATTCTTCACTTCTAAATGGTATCTCTTTTTTCCCTTCCTTCCTCTCTGCATCGCAGTCCCATACTCCCACTATAACTCCAACTCCAAATCTAACTCCAACTCAACACCAACCAGTGTCAGACCGCTCAACCAAGCTTATCAACATCCGCATCCGGATCGAATATCGAAATCTGGTTCATGGTCGGCTTCGTCTGCTTAACCCTGTCGTCCTTGAGCATTCGCGCGTCCATCCTGGCGTCCTCGCCCTCCACCCGCAGCGCCGCCTTGGGCGTCACCGCCTCCAGGATGTAGTGGTTGTCGCAGTGCGGGCAGTACTCGTCGGCGTCCTCGAACTCGGTCGCGTCCTTGCGGAAGCACTTTTTGCACTTTTTGCACGCAAACGTCATCTCCAGCGTCTTCTTGAGCGGGTGCGTCTCGGACTCGGCGTGGCATTCGGGACAGTCGAACCATTTGCGGCAGCAGGGGGGAGCGGACGGAGACTTGGGCGTTTAGGACGTGTTTACTAGTGGGAGAGAGGGGGGGTGGTTAGTTGGTTGTTTGTGGTTATGGCATGGCATGGTAGCCATGTTGCCCCGGATGTGTTATGGTATGGTCTGGTATGGTATGTATGGGCATGGCGGAGAGAAGTGGAAGCTTACCACATGATGGCAGGTAAAGAGAGGCTATGCGGGAGGCGCAATGAGATAGATGATTCGTTATGATCCCTACTATAGGGCGTTTCGTCGTCTTGTATTCTAGGTGGTATGTGTATAACAGCAAGTTCTCTTCGACGTTACAGATCAAATCGCCAACGTTTCGAAGAAAGAAAAAGAAAAAAAAGGTTCACCGAACTTTATCACGGAGGCACTTAACGCGGTCGGGTCCTATCCTGTGCCGTCGCCCCCCTTGGGCCTTCTACAACGCGGGGTGCTTTTCGGCCGCTCCCCGGTGGGGGCGGTGACACTGAGACGGGCCGTGGTGACTGGACAGTACAAGAGTGGAGCCTTGTGCATTGGCCGAACGCAGTTCCCTCCACTTGGCTCCAGAAGGCTCGCTTCCCCACAAAATAAGCGTGGCTGATGACTAACTAGCGCGTCTAGCCCCTGTCCGCCTTGCTGTCACAGCGGTGTTACGGTATCGCCTTAACAATTTCCATGACCGCCGCAGCAAGCAATGGCCTGTACTTGTAAAAGGGCTACTGTAGTACAAAAGACGGGTTTCATCATCCATTCCACTTTCCAAACTTCTTCTTTCCAACCTTTGTCTTCTTTCTTGCCACTGCACTGCGACAATCTCCAGTCGTCCGTCCGCCTGCTAATTATCCATCCCGCGCGCAACTGGTCTGGTACTTCTAGAACTGAACTGCTAGAAATAGATAAAAGGAAAACAGAGCAGAGACAAGAAAGAAGAACATTTCTCGCGTTCTCCTCATCATCATACAGTACAATGCCGCCCAAGCGAAAAGCGGTCGGCGCCACCCAGGCCGGCGTTGCCAAAGCTGGACGTACTTCGGCCTTGTCCACTCCCGGCCCCGCGACCCCCCGCAGCCTCGAGAGCTCGTTCCAGTCGGACGGCGATGATGATTTGGATGATGACGACGTCGACGAGACCATCAAGAGGAAGGAGGAGGTGATTGCCCGTGAGGCCGACGAGTTTGTCAATACATGGGCGGTCGATAGTACACGCTTTCAGAGTCGAGAGCAGGGCAACGGCAGCCATCGTGACGGCGCCACCCAGTTCTTCGGCTCGGGGAAACGCGACTTTTCGTATCTGAACCTGAAGCCCGACCACGACCAGAAGCCGCTGTGGATCGACCCGGAGAAGGGCACCATCATCCTCGAGAAGTTCAGCCCGGACGCCGACCGCGTCACCGACTTCCTCGTCACCATCGCCGAGCCCAAGTCGCGGCCGCACTTCCTGCATGAGTATCAGTTGACCGCACACAGTCTCTACGCCGGCGTCTCCATTGGCCTGCAGTCAAAGGACATTATAGATACCCTGGACCGCTTCCTCAAGACCCCCCTGCCCGAGTCCATCCGGGGCTTCATTGAGTCGTGCACAAAGAGCTACGGCAAGGTGAAACTGGTTCTGAATAACAACAAGTACTTCGTAGAAAGCTCAGATGCAGAGCTGTTGCAGAAGCTGCTCCGCGATGAAGTAATCGGAAAGTGGCGCATCCAGGGCTCTGATGACATTACCACCTCCTATGCCCAGCCCACCATGGGCGGCCTGGTCATCCCCGGCACAAAAGACGCTGCCGGTGTGAACCAGACAGACCTCAACAAGGCCGGCAACAAGAAGGGGGGTGGTGCCGAGGACGGGGCCGCGGGTGCTACGGCGACTAACGAGGCCGACCTCTACGCAGCCATCAACGAGGAAGACGATGAGGACGACAAGGACGCCGTCCATGCCTTTGAGATCCCCGAAACCGCCGTCGAGATTGTCCAACGACGCTGTCTTGAGCTAGGGTTTCCCATCCTGGAAGAGTACGACTTCAGGAACGACTCGAATAACGCAGATCTGGAAATCGATTTGCGGCCAAACACGCAGATTCGTCCGTACCAGGAGCAGAGTCTTAGCAAGATGTTTGGTAACGGCAGAGCAAAGAGTGGCATCATTGTTCTGCCGTGCGGTGCAGGCAAGACCTTGGTCGGCATCACGGCTGCCTGCACCATCAAGAAGGGTGTCATCGTCCTGTGTACAAGCAGTATGTCCGTTGTGCAATGGCGCCAGGAGTTCCTCAAGTGGTCCAACATCAACCCCGACGACATTGCCGTCTTTACCGCTGAGAGCAAGAACAAGTTCTCCGGCAATACCGGTATCATTGTCACCACATATTCCATGGTCACCAACAACCGAGAACGGTCTCACGACTCCAAGAAGATGATGGATTTCCTCAAGAGTCGTGAATGGGGTCTGATGCTGCTTGACGAGGTCCACGTCGTGCCCGCCGACGTCTTTAGAAGAGTTATCTCTTCCATCAAGTCGCACTCCAAGCTGGGTCTAACAGCCACCCTGCTCAGAGAAGACGACAAGATTTCTCACTTGAACTTTCTTATCGGACCCAAGCTCTACGAAGCCAACTGGATGGAGCTGTCCGAAAAGGGCCACATCGCCAAGGTCCAGTGCGCAGAGGTCTGGTGTCCCATGCCCACCGAGTTCTACGACGAGTACCTTCGCGCCAACTCGCGCATGAAGCGCACCCTATACGCCATGAACCCCCGAAAGTTCCAGGCCTGCCAGTACCTCATCAACTACCACGAAGCCCGCGGCGACAAGATCATCGTCTTCTCCGACGAGCTCTACTCGCTGAAGCAATACGCGCTCAAGCTAAACAAGGTCTTCATCTACGGCGGCACCGGCCAAGCCGAGCGCATGCAAGTGCTCGAGAACTTCCAGCACAACCCGGCCGTGAACACTCTCTTCCTGTCCAAAATCGGCGACACCTCGCTTGACCTGCCCGAAGCCACCTGTCTCATCCAGATCTCCTCCCACTTCGGCTCCCGTCGTCAGGAAGCCCAGCGTCTCGGTCGCATTCTTCGAGCAAAGCGCCGTAACGACGTCGGCTTCAACGCCTTCTTCTACTCGCTAGTCTCCAAAGATACCCAGGAGATGTACTACTCATCCAAGCGCCAAGCCTTCCTCGTCGACCAAGGCTACGCCTTCAAGGTGATCACGCAGCTAGCCAACATCGAGAACACGCCCGACCTGGCCTTTGCCACCGCACAAGAGCGGCGCGAGCTGCTGCAGCGCACGCTAGTGGATAACGAGAAGGGCACCGAGGACGACGTCGAGACGGACGATCTGTTCGGTAAAGTGGGCCGTGGCCGTGGTGGCGCCAAGGGCAGAGCGGCGGCGGTCCGCAGGATGGCGGGAACCCTGGGCGAGCTCAGCGGTGGCCAGGATATGGCGTACATTGAGCAAAACAAGGCGGCAAATAGAGGCCTCAAGAAGCAGACCAAGGGTGCGGCCAAGGCGGAGCAGAGCGCTTTCTTCAAGAAGCTGCAAAGGGAGAAGGAGAGGAGTAAGGCTTTGGCGAGACAGGGCTAGAAGAAACCGTCCTGATCTTGATAGGGGTCCTTTGCACTTACTGCTCTCTTTTTTTGCGCTATCCTTTCACGATCTTGCTGCGCTCTCTTTTCCGCCCGATTCTGGCTTTCGGTATTTATATGTTGGTTTTATAAAGCCTGCGAGGAAATCATGCCATAAAGAAAGGGGATATCGATATCGACTAGTTGGAAGATATTGGTTGGGTTGATAGAGTCTGGTTATCGTTACTGCCTACCTATAGAAGGAAAATAGTCTTATAAGGGTGATGCATTAACAGTGCCACAATATGGCATCGAGTTGGATGGTCATGAAATCAAATCATATTATAATTTAAGGGAATTTTACTAGATTCACACTTTCGACTGCTTTAATAATACTTCACGACGTGACAACCCGCCCGCAACCAACTTCATTGCCTCTCCCATGTTCCACGCTGTTCACGACCAGCGGCTACTACGTCGTACACAACTGCGTTATGCCAAAGTGATCGATCCAGAGAGGTACGCCAGTTAAATCATATTAATGTAAGCCAGGGAACCAGCAGTCATTATACATTGACGAATTCGCTCATAAAGGGATATCTATATGCTACATTCGCTGATCTATCACAACTGCCCAACATCATCATTCGCGAATTAATCAAGATCAACACCTCTCTAACACCTCACAGTTACAATATACTCCCCTCACTAGTACTCCCCGCAAAACTCCCACTCCTCCCTTCTCTTGTCCCTTCTTGTCCATGGAAATAATCCCGTCTTTCAACACCCAACAACCCAGCACTCTCCCCTCTTCCTTCCTCCCTCCCCCGTCCAGCTCCCATTCTTCCACTCCCATTTCCAAACCCACCACCAATACCACTACCACCACCCAACCCCCCTCCCACATCCATATCCCCCACCCTCTCCTCCGCCCCATTCACCACAAGCCAAACATCCTTCCTCGTCAACAACCCCTGCAACACCCCCCGTTCCGCAAATAGCACATACCTCACCCCCAACTTCTGGAAATAACTCACAGCCAAATGCAGCGGACTCCTTCCCGGCAGTGTAAGTGGCGTCTGGTCCATCCACGGCCTGAGGTCCAAGGTAGTAAGCGGGTCCGCCAGCGGTTGATGGCTAAAGAAACATTCCGTTTCAGGGGGTAACCTGCCCAACGCGGCGCGGCCTTGGGGCGATAATAAAATGTAAGAGAGTTCCGCGCGGGAGATGTACCCTAAAAGAACGGCGTCGCGGGGGTTGGAGATTACGGGGTAGCCTCTGTAGGGTGTTGTTTCTAGTATCTTTGTGAGGGAGGCGATGGTGTGGCCTGTTGCGGTGAGGACTATCAAATCTGAGTCCAAGCGGGTCATGATCTGGCTGGCGGGCACGTCGGGGATTAAAGGCGACAAATCCTCGCCTGAGTTATTCGGGTCTAGGTAAGGATAGGACTGGAAGGCGATCCAGGACTCATAGATCCCGCGCCGGGAAAAGGCGTCGCCGACCCATTTGGAGATCATCACGGAGATCATGATGGGGAGGACATAAGTCAAAGCGCCGGTGAGCTCGAAGGTTATGACGACGATGGAGACTGTCATGCGGGTTACTCCCGCGAGAAAAGCGGCGGCGCCGATGATGGCGTAGGTTCCGGGCGTGATGCACGGGATGTCGGGCTCGCATTGGTGCAGGAATAAAGGGAAGTTCGGGGCGGAGCGCTGGAAGAGTTCCATCAGGATTCCCAATGCGCGACCGGAAAGAGCGCCGATGGCCATGGAGGGCAGGATGATGCCGGCGGGGATTTGCAGGCCGAAAGTGAAGGCTGCGAAGAAGAAGCCGAGGACGGCGGCGAAGATGAGCAAAGCGATGGTGCCGAAGGAGGCGGCGCCCGTTTTGCAGAGACCGAATTGGTCGTCGACGATCTTGGCGCACTCGGTGAAGAGATTGGAGACTAGCTCCGAGGTTTGCGCGCGCATATAAGTGTTGGGGTAGTTGATGAGGGCGGTTAGGCCGGCGACGATGGCGACTTGGGTGACGGGACCGGGAAGCCAGCGCGGGTTGGATTTCTTCCATTCGGCGACCCGCATGTTGGCTTTGATGAAGAGACCGCCGTAGATGCCGCCTGTGATGCCGAGGAGGACGAAGGGAACTAGTTCGAAGCCGTGCCAGCCGGAGGAGTACTTGACTTGGTAAAGCACAAGTTTGCCGGATCGGAAGGGGTCAAGGGCTTGGAGAGTGACGGCGGCAGTCATGGCGCATACGAAGCTCTGCCACATTGTTTTGTCGGGGAAGTAGTAGGAGAGTTGCTCAAGACTGAAAAGAACGCCGCCGATGGGGGAGCCGAAGGCAACGGATATTCCGGAGGCTGCTGCCGCGGACAGGATCTCTCTCTTGCGTGCTGTTGGGGTTAGCTCATAATGTTGATGGAGTAAGGAGGGTTACTACGTACCTTCATTGTTATTGATACTTGGGAACAGCTTGATAAAGACGTTTGCACAACAGCAGGCGACATGGACTAAGGGACCTTCTTTGCCCAACCACATGCCGGACGCAACAGCAAGCACAAGACCTAGCGACTTTGTCACCAAGGTCTGAATACCCAGAAACCTGCGGATGACGAAGCCGCCCAAGACGGTCTTGATTTCGGGGATACCACTATGTTTAGCATAGATAGCGTATTCCTTGACCAGGATGGCAGCAGAAACGGCAAAGAATAACTGTAGCTTAGATCAGCCGGTGTTGCCTTCATGTCATGTCGGACTTTGGGGGAAAGCATACCGCCAGGAGTACGTAAAAGAAGTACTCAATGAACCACTTGCCGCCGCCTGAATGAATACCAAAAGCCTTGGCCCAGGGATACCAGCCCTGACATTGAGCATGGTCCTCATAGCCCATACAACATGAGCTCTTGCTCAGGTGAAAAGCTCCGCCGTCAACTGTTGAGCAGAATCCGAACTTGAGATCCGCTAGCCAATCGGTGGCTACGTCAATGGCGGCGGCCAACAGACCAGCAGCCAGACCCGTCAACAGCAGAACTATCCAGACCTGGCTGTTGTCGAGAAGAAGGCGGACCCAACCCACGAGGCTGTTGGAGCCGGATGAGAGCATTCGTAGTCGTTGGCGTTCCTTGGTGTACTCAAAGATCCAGTCAATAGCGGTCAAGTCCTCGTAGCCCACTCTCCGACCTGGGCCCTCGACATACCAATCCATGGGCCCGCCGTCTTTTGCCCCAGACTGAGTGTCATCCGAACGCGTGTTGGACGTGTCAGGTACATCGTGTGAGTTCCGAGGAGACCGGCTACCAGTGAAAGCTGAGAAGAATCGCGATGGTTGAGAGAAGACAGACTGTTTTTGTTTTCGCTTAAACGACATTGGCTGGCTCAAGTCATCTCGTAAAGGGTCCTCATCGAGGATCACGTCGTTGTCGTTGTCATGGCTGTTATGATTGTTGATGTTGTCATGCTCGCCCAATAGATCCAACTCGTCCCGGTCATCGTCAATGGTTGCGCGACGGTGTTCTTCCCATTCATGTTGGCTGTCGAATGCTGGTGCTGCCGAACTGGAAGGATACCCGTCATCCATCATCGCACTTCTAGAAGCCATAGTGAATACAATGACAGAGCATTTCCCATTCTCGTCTCAAACAGAAAATGCCGGTAGATGTCGTCTTGTTGTTTGCGATGAGATGAAATCTCAGCTCATAGCTTCCATGTTGTTGAGGTCTTGGGAGAGTTGTCCAGCAGGTGTAGTGTAGTGAGATGGCGGCGGTGTTAGGGGCGATAAGGACAGGTCGTTATCGGGGCGCATCAGGGCCATGCACAGCAGTGACAGGGCCAAGCCTGTTAACGCTTGGCGGTCCGGGAGTCGAGCATCATGCCAAGACTGAACCCACTTGATGGGAATTCCTCCATTCTGTCTGTGTTTTGTTCCTGCCTACCGTACATCAAGAAAAGCTGCCCCTGGGGCGTATAAAAGAGTAAATCAAGCGTGAAAGTCTTCAGATTTGACTTTGTGTTTACAACCTTCTCATCTTGCATGATCTGATGGGAAACCTTTGAGTAGAAAAGAAATTCCCAGCAAGCCGTGAAATTCCGTCATTCATCAATCACATCCTCCACTTAAATTTCACAACTTCAACTCAACACCACTCTTGTAGGTCACAACTATCCCTATCAAAACAAACAAAAACATGAGTGACCCAACCCAACAACAAACCGGGCAACAACAGCCTGATCCCATCCAAAATGCCCAAACCCTCCTCAAAGCAAAAGACGACACCTCCCGCTTCGTGGGCCTCGCCCTTCTCAAGTCAGTGCTCGACAACTCGGAGGAGTTGAGAAACAACAAAGAGGCAGTCCGCGGTCTCTGGAAAAGCGTTCCATCAAAGTTCCTGGATCGGCTAATCAAGACCGGCTCCTCGCGTCAGCAACAGCCCGAAGGAGTAATTCAGAACAATGACAAGAACAAGAATGCCCGGGACATGCTAGATCTGGCCGTGGCCATCATCCATACCTTTGCCGCTCTGGTTCCAGAGGAAAATAAACGAGACTCGAGGTTTACAGAGAGGATACCGAATTTGGTTGCGTGTCTTTTGAACTGGTGAGTTTCATTGCCCCTTCTGTCAAGTACAGAGATCGAAAACTAACAATTGAACAGTTCACCTGAAACAACCAAACTAGTCCTAGAAACCCTCTCCTCCCTCGTCACCACACCAGACGGCGCCCGTGCCTTCATCTCCCTCGAAGATGCCAGCACCCTAATCGAAATCGCCCCCTCGCATCCCTTGGTCCTCGACATCTTCTTCTACGCCTGGCTAAACGTCATGACCTCTACCCAAGAAAAGAACCTCCTGCGTACCAAGATCGACACGACCATCACCGCCCTCGTCTCCTCCTTCAAGGGCACCGACGCCGTCACCCTGCTTGACTTCCTCGCCAACTTACTATCCCGTCTCGAGCCCCAGGTTTTACCTCAAAACCCCCAATGGCTACCCACCCTCAACGCCTTCATCCGCAACCTTGTCTCCAGCCGCCCAACTCCAGCCGGAAGAGCAGCTTACACCAACCTCTCCGCCGCCCTGCTAGAAGTCTATCCCACCATCGCTCCGCAGTTGCTCTTCACCGACACCCCCCTGGACCCTTCAGGAAAAGGCAAGGGCAAAGACGACAGAGGAGACAACAGAGACAAAAAACCCTTCTCCTACCTCTTCATCTCCATCCTGCTAATCGACATCCGCTCCACATCCCCCACTTTACTCTCCCAACTGAACAACCCTTCCTACCCTCAATCAGCCCGTCGCCTAAGTTCCGCATTCAACATCATCTCGCACTATCTCGGTTTCCTTTTACGGTCTCTCGACTCTGACGACGACGACGACGAAACTGGCACATCAGTCATCGACCCCGAATTTTCTGCTAAGCTACGCACCTCCCTCTCCGAAACTTTCTCCCTCACCTTAGAATTCCTTCGCGACCGGTTCGATGCTTCAGTTGCGGGGGCTATGGGACTGGATCCTTCTGCGCGTAGCGCGGCTGCTCACGATTCGCGGTCTGGGGCATCGCACTTAACTCTCTCGTGGGAATCGATGAGGGATGGTGGTGTAGAAAGGGACCCCCTAATCCTAGCAGCCATCAGGGCGTTGGCGATCTGGTTGCGAGAAGACGACAACGAGCAACTCCGAAAGGAAGCGAGTGGCCTGGGGGATTTATTTGTTGAACTCTACCACCGTAGCTGCCAAGCTAACCTCAACCCATCCACTCCCAACCCCAGCTCCAACGAAAGAAACGAAAAGTTGGACTTCAGGAGACCAATCCTAATGGCCTTCGAAGGATTAATCGAAGAGCGCAAAGGCGTTGATTCCTTCCTTACCAACGGGGGCTGGCAAGCTCTATCTCAAGACCTCATCACGATTCTGCAAAACAGTTCCACGACAGTGGCTGATGAAGCAGAAGCATCCCGCGGCACCGAAATCGTGCGCGTCCTCTTGCAAGTAGCAGAACAAGAACGGCCCGGCCCAAAAGAGGAGTGGTTAGATCTCGTTACTCAAGTTGCTGCTTGGCCTGTTCCTGACGAGCGAGACGATGAGGAGGAGGACGAAGAGATGCAAGATGCGGGACGGAAGGAGGCAAAGCTGGTGGTGTATGAATTCCAAGTTGCCGCGCTACAGCTTGTTACTGCACTTTTGGCGGGTAGTCATCAGGGGGTGCAGAGACGGTATGTACATTCTACCAGCGCGGTGTTGGGGATTGCGAGGGTTTTGATGGGGAGGGTGAAGAGGGTGGGGGATGGGGAGTTGGTGGAGGCTTTGGAGGATGTGGAGGGGACTTTGGGTGGGTTGAGGTAGAGACTTTACTTTGCCTTACCTAGGTAGGTAGGGGCGAGATGGGTGCATGATGTGTGATGGGTGATGTAAGATACTTGATGGAATGGATGTGGTGGAACAGATTCGCGATGGATAGAAACAAACAGGAAAGACTGAAAGATACCCAATCAATCCACTTTATTCCATATTCCGTACCTCTGTCTCATGCCACCTCTTATCATGCTCCTCGCCATCCCTAGTCTAAAACTATCCCATGCAAGGTACCTGAAATATACCAGTCTCATAACTCTTCTCTCTCTAATTTCGAGTACTAATACTAGTTTTAACCACTACTACGACTTAATGAACCCTCTTCGTCCACCATCCATCCATCCATCCATCCACAAGACCTGTTATCGACGGCCCATACCCCTGGATCAATATCCTCCCTTCCTTCACAAAGGACGAACTGTAATGCTTGGTCGCCCACGGCTCGGAGAGCCCTCGTCTGGTGGTCCTGGACTGGACTCCCTTCTTTTTCTTGTTTGGTTTCCTCCTTTTTCCAAAGCCGAGGAGCTTCCTTTTTCCAGAATATTCGGCATTATATTCATTGTTTTGGTAGACTTCTTGGGCCTAGGCGGTAGTGGTGTTGGTAACCTGCCAGCCTCTTCCTCCTCAGGAAAACATTCTGGAGTGATGAACTCTCGCTCTCGTTCTCGCCTCACAACATCCTCGTCGAAGTCGAGTATCCTCTCCACCGATTCCTCTGGCTGTTCATGACTTGAGTCTCTGCTTTTTTGACTATTTTCCCACCGAACCTCATCCGCCTCCGCCTCCCAGTCGCTCATGGTAATAGGTTCTTCGACCTCGTTCGAAGCATTATCGTATAACAAAATATCAGATGGTGCATAGGAAATATCGGGAATAGGCGAAGACGCAAGACATGTAGGCTCAGAGCGTGGACGGGAATGATCAGATACGGGAGACACAGTTGGTAAGGTTGGATCGGACATCATACGAATTCCAGAACGTTCGGAAAAGTCAGGTAGGTCTACATGACAACCAAGTTGAAAAACACGAGCCGTCTAGTACTCGTCTTCGTCATCGGTGTGGTGGCGGCGGGGGGGACTATCCGCCCTCTCAGAACCATCCCTCTCATGTCGCCTATCATCCTCCTCGTCTTCATGACGCTGCTCCTGCCCTTCCTGCTGCTGCTGCTCCTCCTGGTACTCCTCACTGACACCAGAGTATCCGATCGGGTTAAGCTCGAATTGCTTGATATCAGCCTTGAGACCCTCATGCGGCTCGTCGATCGTGACATGCAACTCATCAGGGAACCTCTCGCTGTCCTCCTCGCCATTGCCTGCCGTACGTGCCGAGATGTTGCGGGTGCGCTGGTTCCGGAGGGTGCTGCGCTGCATGATGGGATAGTAGTACATGCCCCTCTGCTCGGTAACGCTGTCGCCCTCGCCCACGTCGTCGCGGAAGGCCAGGATGACTTCGCCGTTGTACTTCGTGTCGTGGTCGTACTCAGTCTCGGCCGAGGTTTCGTAGGCCCGCGCGCGGGGGAACACAAAGTGCGGGCCCTTGCCGTCCTTGTGCGGGTATAGCCCCTCGGAGTCACGGTCCGGGTTGTCGACGTCAAATCTCGCGCGGAAGAGATTGCTTTCCTTGGCATCCGAGGGAAGGAAAAGGTTGTAGTTCATCATGGAACTGGGGGCGGGGTGGTTCTCTGGATCTTCGTTGTGTAGCTCTTGTGCCTGCTGGAAGGCTTGTTCTTCGGCTTCACTCCGCTCAATAGGCTTCAAGACACCCGCGAGCATGCGAGGATCATACTTGTCGTTCGAGTTGGTGGGGTTGGTGGTGAACTTGACCGTCACATAAGCACCAGAATCGGGGAACGCCGTGGTATCGGGAAGTAGAGGGAAAGCGTCGATGCACTTGACATTGCGCTTGGTCGGGTGCTTGATCTTGGTCTTGTCGGCCAGGTTGGCAGCGGCGATATCGAAGCTCTTCTCGATACGGCGACGGATCCAAGCGGGAGTGCCCTTGTCGGGTTCGGGGGAGGCCTTGCGTTTCTGAGGTCGCTTGAGGGCATTGTCCTTGCTGGAGTTGGAAGAGCGGTTGTTTAAAAAGACATTATCTCTCTTGACTTGTACTGAGGCGATATACTCGGTGCGGCGAAGGAAAGATACCGCCTCGGTGCCGATCTTGGGCTTGCCGAGTGTGTTGAGTGGTCTGAGGAGAAGACGGTCGTGTGGGTGAACAGGTGGCGGAGGGTTCTGTGCGGAGATGGCTGTCCATTGTCTTAGTCTACTTATCATTACGCAGGTATAAAGTGATATACGCACCATCCTCGTTGCCGTCAAAGACACCTGGCATGCCAACCAGGTCTAGAGGCATACCGAGCTCGGCATCAACCTCGATGTTTAGGGGCTGCTCACGCGCCAGGCGCGAAGCAAAGCCGGGATTAGTGTATTGGCCGCTCGACAGACCGGTGCTGGGAATGTTAAGCAGCTTTGGTGGGTTGGGCGGAGGTGGTAGAGCATTGGAATATCTGATTCTGGCGATGTAATCCTGGTGGATCATGCGCTCTTCGCGCCCTCGTGGGTGTTGCGACATGGTGTTTGTCTATCTGATGTTTGTTATGCGGTCGATATGATTATGTCGCGTCGAGGTTGGTGGTTGAAAAACTCGGGTCGGGTGGTAATTGATGGTTGTTGGTTGGTGTAAAAAAGAAGTTGGAGCTCCGACAGCAAGGTGATGTGGAAGTGGTCGCAGCCAAAGTGAATCGCGGTCGAGATGCAGGTGTAGGCGCGGTTGCGGTTGCGGTAGCGGGATGGTGAGTGCCAACGACAGGGGCCGGGACAAGTGGTAAAAAAAATGGAGACAAGGCTGGTGGTTGGCCAACTTGTGGGTTGAGTACGTACTGTGTAAGGTTCTCTTGTTCCTGGCTTGGCAGCTTTATTGTTGCGTCTTCATTGACCCCTGAATTTGGCTATGCTTTTGTATGTCGACTATAGGCGGTGCGGCATCTTCAGTTAAACTTGTGTGTTCATAAGTAGTTATGCTTCAGATACATATTCAATTCCAGCTGTCATTACAGTCAACCGTTTTGTTCTCTAAGTAATATCCTGTATAGCCCGCCAGTTTCCAGCCCGCTTTTTTTGTTGTGTCGTGTCCGTCCGTCCGTCTCTTCACTCATGGTGTTGTGTGTGGAACTAGTAATTATAAGTTGTGAGAAAGTTCGGAACCTCCTCCTCTTTGCATCCATCCATCCGTTCAACCATCGACCGTAATGGCAACTATCAGAAAGGCCAACCAACAACAATCCCGTATTCCTGCCCCGGCTTCAGATTAGAATAGCATATATAAAAAGATATACAGGATAGTTTGATCGTCGTCATGAATGTGCCCCAATCACCTGGCGCATTTCCCCGTCATTAGTACATGAAGAAGTGTCTTTCTTTCTTTCTGACGTTTCTTCTCTTCTTCCCGGACAATGCCAAAGTGCCAGTCAGAGGACAGACAGACTAGCTGCTGCCCTATCTGACACCTAGCATACATCACTTGACCTCCGCAACACACAACTGATTACTTAGTTGCTGTTCTTGTTGTACCGCGCCTTGCCGATGGTAAAGGGGACGTAACGGTACTTGATCATGTGCTGGATTTGCTTGCGCACTGTTTTGTATTGTTAGCTTCCGTTTAACAAGGTCAAATAAGAAATGACCTTGGCAGGGGGCATCGGTGCAACGTTAAACGTACTGGTAAGGATAAAGAGCATGAGCCAGTACATAACCAGCACGGGCCAGAACACGGGGATGTTGAAGATCTCGAACCAGCTGCAGACGAAGGAAATGGCGACGGCGCGGGTGGCCGAGTGCCAGAACTTGAACTCGGGAAGGCGGCGGATGAAGGGTCTGAACTCCTCGTCCTGCTTGGTGGGAGGGTGCCGACAGAGCCGTCCTCCATCTCGTTGTCGAGGGCGTCGCTCGAGGGGTCGAACTTGGGCGTCAGGAAGGCGAGAAAGAGGTTGAGAAGGTAGATGCCGAGGGCGTAGGCGACAATGTACCAGCCTTGCGCCACGAACACCCGGAGGAAGAAGAGGAGCAGGGCCACGCTGGTGCCAACCCATCGGTACGTAACATAGGGCGTCGATTGATCGAGGAGTGCTTGGTATTGCTGAGGGGGTCAACTGTGTTAGCTATCAAGACAGTAAAGACGTATAGTCTATTAGAGAACATACCCTCTGGAGCTTGTTGCTCTGTGCAGTGAAAGTGCCAAAAGGCGTCATCGGCTCCTCCGCGGTCTCCATTGCGACGGTATTGGTATTGGTAGGGGTCTAAGTGTAGCTCGGTTTGCTTCGTTAATCGATCGTGTCTCGTTGATATATCGTGTCCAAAACCGTTCGACCGAGAGGTGGTGTAAGTGGTGAAGGTATTCGTGGGAGTTGGTGGTTGCAAAGGGAAGACGATGTTGAAGTGGAAGGGAAAAATGATTGTTGGACACGGCTGCGCAGTACTGTAGGTAGATAGCTGTAGTAAAGTAGCAGCAGCACAGGCACTGGCACTGTATGTAGAGGTACCTTGTAGGAGGTTTGCGCGTTATCCAGTTCAGAGCCCAACAGGCGCAATGACGAGACGTAACGGCGGCCGCGGATTGGGGGAGGGGACCTGCCGTGGACACTTTCCCCGTGGCGGGCAATCTGGCATCAGCCACGCAACACGAGCCTAGACCTGGCTCGTGAAAAGGGGGTGGAATTTCTTGGTCGGGTGGTCTGTGGCGCTAATGTTTATTGTTAGCATCCGTCAGACCCGCTGAAACCAAACACCCCCTGACAAGTGTGGCTGGTGAAGAAACGTCTCCCCAAAACCAGAAAAGACATGTGGTTGCAAACAGACAAGGATCAACAAGACAGGCATTCCCCAATTGACGTCGTTTAGACCGAGGATAACCAGTCGGGCCAAGCGTGTGGGGAACTGGGGAACGGGCGGGCCAGCTGGGGAAACGGGACCTCTTGCTTGTATCGAAGCTACCCCTCGGTTCTACGGGGCAACTTATATAAGCTGTGCTCATTGATTTCCGTGTTTACATTACGTTGTTGCTGCAGGTGTTTTGTTTCTCCCTCTTGCCATTGACCTTTTGTTTCCGTGATTGTCTTGTCCGAAACAACCACCAACCAACACACAACAATAATCATGCGTTCCGTTGCCTTCAACTCCCTCCGGGGTCTATCCCGGGCCGGCTCCCGCTTCCAGCCCGCTACCCTTCCCCGTGTTGCGGCTGCTGCCCGTGCCTATTCTACTCCTGCTGCCGAGAACCAGTATGAGTTCATCCAGGTCTCCGAGCCCCGTCCGGGTGTCGGTCAAGGTAAGCATTTCTTATACCTATACGTCGATTCAACTATACGCTCTTCAATCGTCACCCCGGGATCTTCAACGGAACCCTTGGACGGCAACAACCATTAATACATAACATGCTAACACCCCTCACAGTAACACTCTCCCGTCCCAAAGCCCTCAACGCGCTCTGCACCCCTTTGATCAGCGAACTCAACACCGCCCTCCTCTCCCTGCAATCCTCCCCCACCATCCGCTCCATCCTGCTCACGGGCTCGGAGCGCGCCTTCGCCGCCGGCGCCGACATCAAAGAAATGGCCCCCCTCACCTTCTCCAAGGCCTATTTGGAGTCTTTCATCGAGTCCTGGTCCAACCTAACTTTCACCACAAAAAAGCCCATCATCGCCGCCGTCTCCGGACACGCTCTCGGCGGTGGCTGCGAGCTCGCTTTGATGGCCGACATCATCTACTGCACCAAGACGGCCAACTTTGGCCAGCCCGAGATCAAGCTGGGCACGATCCCCGGTGCGGGCGGGTCGCAGAGGCTGACCAGGGCGGTGGGGAAGAGTAAGGCTATGGAGCTGATTCTCACGGGCAAGAGTTTTTCTGGTGAGGAGGCGGAGAGGTGGGGAGTGGCTGCTAGGGCGTTTGGTTCCTATGAGGAGTTGATGGAGGCGTCCTTGAAGACGGCGGAGGTCATTGCTGGGTACTCAAAGGTGGCCGTGCAGGCGGCTAAGGAGGTGGTTAATAAGTCCCAGGAGGTCGGGCTGAGGGATGGTGTTGAGTATGAGAGAAGGGTGTTCCATAGTTTGTTTGGAAGCCAGGATCAGAAGATTGGCATGAAGGCTTTTGCGGAGAAGGGCAAGGCTAAGTGGGTTGATGAGTAAAAGGGTGTTTTGAGTACATGGCATAGATGAACAGTTGTTGCTTGGAAGTATAGAACATGAATAAAACATTATGATGAGCACGAGGGGTGGTACTCTGTTGGCTTTGTATCCCGATACGATGATGACCTTTGTGGAGATGTTATCTTATGTTGAAACATCGCTTTCTTGGAGCCAACACCTTCCTCATTTGAACCAGCTTCAAAGGCGACGTCAGAGAACTATCACTCTCAAGCCCACTCTAGGTCTAAGCACTGCATACCCAGCCGCCTTTATGTGTATTCACAATATCAAAACGGGACAGCGAAGGTGATGGTAACGAAGAATGAAATGTTATTTCCTAAGAAAACAGAGTTGTACCTACTGATACTACGAAAATTAACGGCGCACACATCCCATCCATCTCCGGATAAAAAAAAAAAAAAAAAGGGAACCAAAACAAAAACAAGGAAAAGAACCACTCACCTCCCATAATCCTACAAACTCTCCTCTAATACTCTCCCGCCTTTACTTACTTACCCCCTCCTTGCTACTAACATTACCACTACCACCACCATTACTCATCACCAAGAAAAAGCCCATGACTTACCAACCTAACCGAGGTAAGGAAGAACGTCGTCGAGAAATAGGTAGCAACAGGCACAGCGAAGGTCTGGGCAAGGTGAGTCTAATAAGAATTATCATTCTACCTCTTCCCAAAATTATATCTGCATGCCCGTGTGGCCGTGTGGCTGCGTTGCGTCTATCAAGATCGTCTAAGCATAAGTAAACATTGTCCGCTTTTCCATCGTAAGAGTTCGTTCGTTGAGGATAAATGCGTGTGCATGAGATGTATGTATGCAATCTATAATAAGACAATTAAGCAATTCCCCCGTGCAACCCTTTTCGGAATCTGCCCAGTAAAAACAAAACGCCTTGCTTGTCGCCAGTGTGTTGTGACTCGGGATGGATGTATGTGATGTGCCATGTGCCATGTGTAGTGTGATGTATAGTAATGACATGTATGTTCATATACCAATAACCCCTTTCCTTCCCTTTCCTTCATTCCCTTTTCCCCTCTCTAAAACACCGAAAAAAAAAAGAAGCTCGTGCGTGGTATCATTGTTGAAATAGAAACGAGAAAAAATGCCGCAGGCATCATAAAAGATGTATGTATGCATGCATGAACGAGGAAAAATGCCCCTCCCCAAAACTCCTCAAAGAAAAAAATAGCCATACCCAACCCGACCTGTCTGTTCGTCACTCACTCACTAAAACTAGTAGGAGTACTCGGGAAACTCGGTTCCGACTTGCGCTTCATCAACTTAGGATTATGCTGCCCATCCAATCCCAGCTGCCTTGATGCCTCCGTCAGCGTATTCTGATCAGATGATACATTAGTCTGATCAGTCTGATCGGAAGCAGGCCGGCGGTCGCCGCCGCCGCCACCAGAAGCATCAGGCGGGAACTGGAAGCCCTCGTGAATCGTCTCCTCATGGTGTTGTTCCGGGTTCGTCGCCCTTCTGCGCATGCTATGCCAGCCGTTCGGGTTGATACCGCCACCGTTACCACCATTATTACCGCCGTTGCCGCCGAAGACGCTGTTACCGGCAAAGATGCCAGGGCCGCCGGGACCGCCGCTGCCTATGCTTCCATGATGTGAGTCTCTATTAGAGTGTCGCGCATTTGTACCGGCGGAGCCAAACTGCACCGAGTGCCAGTTCTGCGGGTGAGGACCATGGTGATGACGGTGTCCGTCCGGCGTAGCAGTGCGTGGCGGTCCAGGATGGAGGAGGGCGCCAAAGATGTGGCCGCCAATATCGTTGCTGCGTTGGCGCCAGTGACGCCTGCGGCTCGTCCTGCTGGTAGTGCTCCACGCATCGCGGCCGGTGCTCATGGCAGAAGCATGCGATCGCTGTCTATCGATCCTGTCGTCCTCAGAAGAGGACTTGCTGTTCAGATCCTTGGGAAGGCAGATGGCACGGTCGAGACCGTAGGGAAGACCACGATGACGACCTCTGATTAGCGTCATGATAATGAACACCTTTCCGGCCGTGCTGAAGATGGCCGATAGCGAGGCGTTGCCACTGGAGTAACCGAGACTCATGCCGACGGTGCCGTAGGCGCTGATGATCTCGAACATGAGCGCGAACATATCAGTCTCGCCGTTCATGATCCGCGGACCTTCCGAAATGGCGAGCATGAACCAGAAGAGGGCGATGAACCACAAATCGAACGAGAGCTGGCGACGCAAATGGGAGCCAATGTACGACAGGTCGCTGGATGGAGAAGCGTTCTCCCCTTCTCCTTCTTCGTGTTCCGGGTTATTGTAGATGCCCAGAGACATCTCTTCGTACACGTTTGTGCGACGGATCGACATGGCGATGGGGAGAACACTGATGTACATCATGATCATGTACGACACCTTGACGGCCGGGTGTAAAGCCGCGAGGTTGATGCAGGAAAAGCCGGCCGTCCTCGTTGAGGCTGCCTCAAAGAACCCGTTAAGGACCTTGATGCCGGCAGGTAAGTCGACAACAGGCCCAGTTCCCAGGTCCAGGACGACGAAGAAGACAACGTCTGTAATGTTGAGCCCAATCAAAATAAAGAAGAGCCACCACGTTGCCCCAGACGGGAAGAGAAGGATGAAGCAGCGACGAGGATGGTCCAACAGGAACCGCACTTCTTCGTAAAGGCCCGAGTCACGCGGTACGACGATGGACATGACCCAGATGATGAAACGCAGCATGACGGGGAAGCCCGTGTTGCCAAGAATGATGAGAAAGCACAGCAGCAGCAGAGGCCAGACAGCAGTATTGAACGAGTTCATGCTGTCGGGGGTCAAGGTATAGCCCAGATCCATGAAAGCAGAGTTCGTGGTAAAGAAGGCCCACCAGACTCTGCTTTGGCCAGCGGCATCAACAACCTGACCCCAGTGGTCCTCCTTGAGGATCCACGGCAGCAAGCCGACAAGTCCCATCAGATAGAAACCGAAGAAGTAGCAGAGGATGATCTTCTGCAACAACTTTAGTACACGGTACTCAATACCTCCCAGCTCCTCGCGCTGCTCTTCCGTCAGGTCGTGGAATTGAGAGTTACGTCCCAGTGTCGGCTCCCAACTGAGATAGGGCGTCGGCTCCATCTTGTCTCTGGTAAAGGCTGACCGCATGGCCGAGAGCGATGCGCGCCTAGACATCCTCGAATTTGTCCTCTGCAGCTTAGGATCCACCTCCTCCTCGTCAACGCGGTTCACGGTTGATGTTCGTGTATTCCTCCTGAACTTGAGATGGTTTATTTGCGGCACGAAGGAGTGGCTGAACGTCTTGGCATCGTCGACAATATCTTCCGTGTGCGTTTCGTGTAGCTTGTTCCTGTCTGGTTCCTCGATGGTGATGGTTTGTTGTGGGCGGCCATTTACCATGACCATGGGCGTAGGCTGGGCTGGCGCGCGGTCGTCCTCCTCGGCCGAATCGTCGACCCGTCTAGGCTTAGCGCCTCGCTCCATATCTCTCGGACCAGGAATTCGAAGAACCTCGTCGTCTCGGTTACGCTGTCGCTCAAGGATGGCGATATGCTCCTCGTCCGTTCTAAGGGGAGGAAGTTTTATCGCATCCAAGCCTTCTCCATCGCTCTTCTTGACGGTGCCGGCGAACCTGATCTCGGGCTGTCGACGGGCGTCTTCGGGGTGATCGGGGTCTCGCTGATCGGGGGCGGCGCGGCTATCGTACGTAGGCTTGTTGAACGAGCCCAACATGATGCCGTCGTTGGTCATGCGTGGACTACCCGAACCGTGCATAACGGTGATCTGTCTGCCGCCAACGCCTCTTTCCCCCCTTTCCGCCTGTGATAGCATGTCGGCCCGCATCTGCGATTTTGACTTTGATATCGTGCCTCTCCGCAGCTTGGCATCCTGGACGATGGTTTGCAACTTCTTTTCGAACCAGTACCTTCGTAGGGAAACTGTGTAATAGCCGATTGCTATTGGATTAGTGAGCATGGTAAGAAAGAAGATGACGATCTGTGAGAAGGTGTTGATCAGGTTGAGATCGATGGTGTTGAGGCCGCCTTGGGTACATGACCCAGCAGCGAAGAAGAGGGCGTCAACATAGGCGATTTTGCCCCGGTGAGAGGCGTATATGAGAATCGACCCGACTATCGTGAGGCCAATAATGAGGGTATCTATCAACAGTTAGCATGGATACACCTTTTAGGGGAGTGGGGGTCATAGGAACTTACAGTGTACTGTTTGATACTTGAAGTGTTTTTCGGTCACTAGTTTCCTAGGCTGAAAACCAATACTGTGCCGTATCCGCATCCATTTGTCCTGGACTACACCGCGTAGTCGTTCCATGGTGGGCGAAAATGGCGGCATGTGGTATTATCGTAAAAAGAGGTCGCCCCTGAAATGTTGAAGGATGTCGTCAGGCAATAGGGGATAGGGACCGGGGGGGTTGAGAGAACAGGAACGGAGACGGCCCCGAAATCGCCTCAAGTCGACACAAAGGTCGAAACGGGCAACTTGGTGGTGTGCCTCTAGGAAAGTGTGTACCGATATCCTATATATGTGTAGTAAAAAAAAAAAAAATAGTAAAAAAGGTTGATCGAGGGTGTGACAGGGTGATGTGGTAACAGATTCGACGGTTGAGAGATCAACAGAAGGGATTACTGGATTAAGACAAAGGCAGGGTTGACCACAAGCATCAGAGCATATGTGATGGAGGGGCGGGGCCTGGGGTATTTGAGGAAGAAAAGCAATTGAAGGGTATTGATAAAGAATTATATAGGTTAGAAGTGTAGCAAAGGATGCCTGACGAGTGATGAAGGTTTGTAGTGGCGGGCCGGGAAAGAAGAAGGAGGGATAGGGTGAGAGGAGGATGGATGAATTCGCTGGGAAAAGAAGCTGTCGGCGATGATTGCATTCACTCGTCCTGCAGAATGAAGGAATATGAGGGAGGAGGCTCCAGTCTCGTTCGTTGCTTTTGGTGGTTTCGACCGAAGAGATGAAGACCTGAAGTCTCCGTTGCCCTTTCCAGTCCAGGGGGGGTTTGGCCGAGCAAAAAAGGTGGATGACAGGAAGTGGAAAGGTAGGTGCGTAGTGGGTGGCAGGAATGGACACTGCACTGGGGGACAGGACCAGCAACCGAGGGTTTTTTTTTCCTCCTCTTTTTTTTCCCGGAGATCTGGGGGTGGTTTTTGAAAGCCCTTGAAAGAGACGGATGGATGGCCTCAAAGCCGCCAAAGACGCAATCCGAAATGTGTTGACGAAAAGACCCGATCCTCAAAAATAAGTATTCGAGGAGCACAGAACCACACCAGCAGCAAAGCGAAGTGATAGGCACCGCCTCTTAAAATGCCAAGAGAGCCAAGAGCAAAGACCCAGATGCGAGATCACAGAAAGAACAAGTCGGAGCAAAGAGGGTGCAGGTGTGCGATGGTCGCCGCCAAGCCCACAGGGACCTGGTAAAGTATTTCAAGGGTTGATGGTGGTGGAAATCGGATCGCCCCCAGCCAAGAGTCAGGGTTATTGCTGGTTGACTGATAAAAACAAAAAAAGAGCATCCGATATCGAAAAAAAGCTGTCGAGTTCAGTCGCTGTCGGGTCTTTCCACACATTGTCGGAGGGGCTTACGGGTTGCATCAATCGGATCCACAACGGCTCAAGGGTACGCTAGTGCATGCATATATATAACACTTTAAAAGTCCCGATTGATGAACCATCCTTCAAAGTCCACCACTGTTCGGGTTTCAGCACGTGGACTATGGACCGAGTCGTTCAGTTGTGGATAGATTGATCTTCAAAGGGGGGGATGAGAAAGGCAGGAACAGAGGGAAGAAAGGTCAGAAAGGAGGACTCGTAAGAGGTAAATGAACCTCGGGCTCCCGGATCAACAAAGAACACGTCCCCGAGCTTTATGACGCCGGGGGACGACGGACGGGGGGCGCCAACTTGAAAGAGAGAAAGGATGAGAACAGACCTGTCAGACTCACTGAATGACAAGGGCCGCAGGGGCCTACACTTACCTAAGGTAAATGTTCGCTCTTCGCTCAACAGAACAGAAGAGCAAGGGCCAAGCAGTGCATCATGGAGCCATGGTGGAATTGGCTTGGTCGCTTGGGCCACGACCAGAGCCGAACGACTAAAGGACCACCCATCGTCACCTCAGGGGGGCGGGTCATCGGCAGAGCCGGTCATCAATCATCATCGTCGGGCGCACATAATGACATGCGAGTCGACGGTGATCAGTCATTTTGGGTTGGTTGGTTCTGGATTCGCTAGCTGGCTGTTTGAATCGGCTTTGCCAAGTATTCCAAAGAGGGTCCCCCAGAAAACCTTCATCGGGTCATTATCGACTAAACAAGTCTGGGTGATGAGTTGACCAAGGTCAGGCAGGTAGTCACCGTCGGGTCGGGATAAAAAAGCGAAGGTTCCTTGCAGTCTCTACATTCCTCAACTAATGTCATCGATGGCATCCAATTAGCGATGGAAATCCAATCCCTTATCAAGGACTGGAGATCAGCAACAAAAAAGGCCGAAACACTGCAGTTTGCACGTAAGGTTGTGCCGCCGCCGTGGAAACTCTGGGACAAGGAGACAAGGAGACAAGGAGACAAGCAAATCTCATCTAAAGCCAGGCAGGCAGAAACATCAAACGGCAGCGGAAAGCAATCTGTACCGTAGCTCCGTACGTGGAAGTGGAAGCGACGGAAAGCTGACTGACGGGGTTTCGATCTTGCGGTCAACAAACTTACGTTACACCCAGCTTTACTCGACAAAGGGGTTCCATTGACGACATTGCGCGCGATGCTCATTGTAGAAGGTTCCTGGGACCTGTGTATACCGAATCTAGACCACACACGTACCGTACGGGAAAGAGTCCTGGATTAGGTTATTCTGGTGAATTCGGATGAGACCGGTCGGTGTGGACGATCACCTCATCATGGTACGTACCTACTTGCTGTTCAGATCACACGTTCCGTATGCGCCTCACACATCTATTTACATACCTAGTACCATAGGTACCTACTATACGATACTAGCTTGCAGCTACCCCTCATCCAATGTCAATACTAACTGCAGTTGAGCCTAACCTCCACACTCACCCACGACGGGAAACATCGACGACACTTTCTTGAAACAAAAAGAAAAAAGAAGCCTAACTGAACAATTCGATTGTTCGTTCGGACATTGATGTGTTTATCTGATACAGAGCTATTGATCACTTGATAAGTGTTGACAATGGGAGGTCAAAGACTCGTTGTCATATCGAATCTCGAGTACACAAAGGTTTCTTGGTCCCTTTATTTCTCTCGTCGAGTTTCGCCGAGTTCAGTCCACCCGTTTAAGTGTTCAACCAACAATCAACAATGGAACTTAGCTAGGTAGATGTAGGTACAACCTCACACGCCTCCTCCGTGTACACTCGCTCCAATATGGCCCGTTTCACAACCGGCAAAGGCGCACCTGCGCAATCCATCTCTAAACCAGTAAACCCCGAAGATCCAATCGTCTATCCCCGACCGCGGCCAAGAGAACTTAATCTGGAATACCTAATTGGATTTGGTCGAGCCATTCCTAAAATTTCCCGGGTTCTGTCCTGTGTGAAGTTGATCATTTTGAACATACTGGTGATCACGGTGATTGCCAAGCTTTTTGTCCACTCTTTTCGTCTACACTACATATGGTACACATGGTATTGTACGTCAGGTACGTAAGTATACTCTTGAAGTGTAAGCCCAGCCTTTCTTATTCCAACGTTCGACGTCGGCGGGAGTACCGAGCACCGGTTTCGGATTTCAACTGCCGAACTGTCATGGTAGGCTACCAATTGGACGGTTGGCTGGTTATCTAAGCGATGTGATGTGCTAAAGCCCTGTGATGGAGGGTGGGTGGTGGGTTATATGTATGTAAGGTAGAGGAAGCCATGTCATACACTCCTACTCCTACCACGAACTGTACACATGGGGATAAGAAAGGCCTGTGATTAAAGAGACCACTGGTGTTCTGTCTGTGAGGACTTTACATTCTACTTGCCTGGTCATGACCACAAATTCAGGTGCAGATGACAGAAAAAGTGAACCATTATTTTGAACTTCGCAGGTATGTAAATAATTCAACCGCTGCTTGAACACACATATATGTAAGTGCATATACCTCCAAGGAACCCCTGATCAGCCATACTGATTTTGATGTCGGTTATGTGATGGCTATGCCATGGCAATTTGCGAGTGCAACCGCATTGCTAACGGAAATCTCGATGCAAAAAACTCGGATTAACACCCAGATGGGAATCGACTTGTCATCATTACCTACGCTGTAGTCATTTTTAGGGATACCACGATGTTAGGAAAGTAATGTTTTACAGACGTCTGTGTGTCTATCAATCATGCTGTAAAACTCCATGGCGGAGAATACACATACATAAGCTTACCTAGTCTGTTACTCTGTTACTCTGTTTGACAGATTTTGTGGCTATGTTGACTAGCCTCTCGTCTCTTGTGTACATGTTACCATGTCATTTGTGTTCAGTGAGTGGTGTAAACCGAGTTGACCTTCTCAGTATTCTCTTGTTGCCTTGCTAGGCTGGTGCAAGTTAGTAATGGGAACACGGAGAGTCCGAAGTTGGAAGTCCACATGTTAGCAGAGTTGTTTATTTAGATGGTGCTGGGATTAAAGTTGGGTTACCGATGGATATTGACCAGACGGATTGAGCCATATTTTGGTTGGTTTTTAGCATGGTTGTGATCTGAACAGTCTTTGATGTGGAAGATCGAAAGACTAAGACACTGAGGAAGTTCTGGCAAAGGTCCGATAAAGAGGGAACCTCAAAACCGTCCGGTTCATGGATAACTTCCGGCGGGTTACTTTTAGAGCCCCAAAGTTATTGAACACCAGTACGTGCTTTGAGGGCCTGCGTTCTGATCAACCTCACGAGTCTGATAACCCATCTCTGACAAGAAAACCCTCTCTTCATGTGGCATCCAGACACTGCCACACAACGAACCGAACCGGACCGGGCGACCTTCGAAAAACCCATCAAATTCTTTTGCCCCCGGGGATTTATCATACATGTACATGGTATACACAGCGATCGTCTGTTCACCCCAATTCACAGATTCCGGCTTTACTCTCACTTCGAGGTCACTGTAGCTTTCACACTACATATAGCTTCCTTGAAAAAAGGGGATATCCCATAAATCTCAGAGAATAATCCCCTCCCTCGCTCCACTAAGCCCATTCACAAGAAGCTTAGTTCTTCTTCTTGGACACCTGACCCTTCTGCTTTCCACCGCCGCCACCAGTACCGCCCGTCAAGCCCTTACTGCTCAACACCTTCCTCATCTTCTTCCAGGCGAACACGTACTGCTCGACGCTGCCCATGTCGTGCTTGGGCTGGCGCATGTACATGAGCTTGGCGCGTCTCGCGCGCTTGGCCCTTCTCTTGATGATCTCGATGCCCGCCACGTTCTTGTTGTAGATCTTGTACCACATCTCCACGCCGACCTTGCCGAGGTGGTTTCGCAGGAGGATCGCCGTGTCGATGCCCGAGCGGCGGATGGCCAGACACACGCCCGCGAAAGGCTCGCCGCCGCGGCGATGCGTCACCATGAGCACGTCGCCGACGCGGGCGGCGTGGCGCGCCTTGGAGAAGAGGGCGGTGCGCGCACCAGTCGGGTCCATGCGCGCGATCTGCTGCTGCGTGAGGAGAGGCATCGGGTCCGAGGGAGGCTTGGTCATGAACGGTGGCAACTTCGTGTTGGCGATCTTGAAGGCTTTGGACTTGGCTACTACGCTCGAGGGAGGAGGGGTCTTGGGGTTCTTGGGAGGTGTGAAGACGGCGAAGGCGGTGCGGGTTTCCTTGGTCTTCTTATCGGCGATCCTGACTGTTGTTGGTGGGTGCTGGTTAGTTACATGGCTATGTAGGCAGGTAGATCGGATGACATGTGGAAACGGTGACGTGAGGCCGTACAGAAGTTGTGATCGGGCAGGGCGCCGGTAGACTGGGTGGTGGAAGCAGCGACGGCTGTCGCATAGCCCCGGATGAGGGACTGGCATAGGCCGGCCTTGAGGCAGCCCAGAGGCCGTCGGGAGAGCGGTGCTGTGACGTTCATAGTTGTGATGTCGTGTGTGCGGTGCGGTGTCCCGGACTCGGAGTCGGACTCTCTGGACCGCCAGAAAGTGGAATTGGCGAAGCAAGTGGCAGCTCTCCTCCTCCACGGCCGAAGGTCGAATTCGCGGGACCCGGGGCGGGCAGGCTGCACAAGACGTTGGAAAATGGATCTTCGAGCAAGACGGTGCTGGCTCCCGATTGGCCGTGCGCAAGGTACACGACCCATAAAAAAGTATATGGTCCAATCACAAATCTCCTTTGCGGCTACAGGGGGGTGGTTACTTTTTGACGGCGGGCTGGCTTGCGCATTTTCCCTTGGCGACAATCCCCTCCACGCTCTCTGAGTCTCTGGGTCCGCTCGCACGGTTGGGGTCGCGAATTCAACATCGAAAAGAACCACTTTTATTTACGTCCCGTCCGGTTCCTGTCTCCAGTCGACTCCGGTCTCTGGTCTCCAACTCCCCGACTCCCCTCTTCGATCCTCCGTCCCCTCCGAGTCCGGTCGTGTCCCACCAACCCCGACCGACCGCAACCACCAACATGGCCGGCAGAGCTCCCCAGCATGCCCTCCGGGTAGGGTCCAGGGCAGTCCCCGAGGCTCTTTCGAGGCCCGCGCAACAATCCAGATGCTTGTCGTCGACCGTACCTCGCCAAGGCATGTCCTCCCAAATCGCCACCATCTGATTGCGATCTGTCGCTGGAGCTCGATATGCGAATGCGCTCCACCCCGCTCGGCTTCATGATGGCAGTCACTACATGGCTGTCTTAACCCAGCAGCAGACTTGCTAACACCTCCTCCGCCTACAGCCACCTACCCCGTCGTCTCCTTCAACAAGACCTCGTCTCCTGAACTCAAGGAAGCCCTCGAGACCCTCCGTGAAAAGGTCATTCTTCCCACCTACCTGCCACCCGAGCTACGACAGAAGATCTTCAACAAGAAGTATGAGAAGGAGCTTGCGCACGACCCCGTCACCATCCAGATCGATGGCCAGCCCCAACGGTTCACCTACATCAACATGATGACGGACATGCCCAACACGCCCAAGAACATCCGGTCCGCCCTCCTGAAAATGAAGGACGGCGGCGACTTTGCCAACCTTTCCGGCCTGCTCGAGGGCATGCAGCGCGCCAACCGCAAACTCCCATACTGGCTCTCTGCCCAGATCGTCCGGAAAGCCTGCAAGGCCGGCCAGCTGGAGCTGATCCTGCGCATGGTCCGCGACGTCAAGCGCACCGGCTTCACGCTCGACCGCCACGAGACTGTCAACGAGCTCCTGCACTGGATCCAGCGTTGGGCCTGGAAGAAGGACTATAGCGAGCCCGAGACGCGCAAGGCGCTCAAGGAGGTTCAGGAGATTCTGGAGGCCCTGGAGGGCGATGAGAGACACATGAGCAAGGACCGCCAGAGGCAGGAGTCCCTTACGTCGTTTCCCTACTACAGCGACCCTCAGTTCCTTGTCGCCAGGCTAAACTTGGCAGCCGAGCTCGCTGCTCGCAAAGTAACCGGAACGCAGGATGCGGAACAGAAGCTCACCAGCGCCAACAACGTCAAGAACCTCCTCAAGTACGCCAAGCAGCTCGTCAAGCTGTGGCCCGCCGACAAGGCCCTCTTGGACATGTACAAAGATGAGGCCTACGTTGCCAGGGTCGATCTTCGGTACATCATCAAGCCCCAAGTGCATCTCCGCTATGCCAGCTTCGCGCTCCAGGGCTTGAAGAGGGCGGCTGAGGTTGTCGGAAAGGCCGGCGATGGCCAGATGGCGGCGCAGCTGATCAACAGGGCGACTGCTGTCGAGGCTGAGGCCCAGTTGGCCTATGCCAAGGTTGAAGATGGCATGGCCGGCCAGAAGATTTACGAGATGGTTGTTGGTGGAAAGAAATAAACGCTTGTAGGCAATGAGTAACAGAAACGAGCTGTTTCCCATCTTTCTCTCTCGTCATCCTCTCCGCGAGGTACGGTATGTATAGGCGACTAGCTTTGTATATGTAGGATGTGTATATGACGGACTGTAAGATACCATGAGTTTGAGTTGACGAATGGCACAAAAAGTAGACACAAAGAATCCTGCAACTTTTTCTTTAATTTTGATTTTGCATGAACGATACCCGATTACCTGCTACATATGTACAATAAACCATCTGTTTCCTTTATTTTCTTTTCTGTTAGTTTGTTTGATGTTTCCTTTTTCCGTCCCGAACTATGGCAGAACGATATACTTCTGCAAGCGCTCCGGGATCGCGCCCAAAAGGTTCTTCTGCTCCAGCCACTTCCTCGAGAACAAGCGGTCCGCATACCTGTACGCACCATCGCACAGCACCGTTACGACCGTCGACCCCTTTCCAAGCTTCTCGGCCACCTCCTTAGCCGCAACGACGTTGAGGGTCGAGCTGGCGCCGAGGTACAGACCCTCCTCATCCAGACACCTGTACACCATCTCAATAGTCTTCTCGTCGCTGATGGTCATGGACCCATCCACCAGATCCACATCCTGCTTCAAGTTATCCGTGATGCGGCCCTGGCCGATACCCTCCGTGATGCTCGACCCGCTGCGCTCAATCAGCTTTCCGCCCGAGCTGAAGTACGAGTGCAGCACGCTGCCAGGGGGATCAGCCAAGAAAGCCTTGACCTTCCCGCCCGACACCTCCTTCAGATACCGCGTCGTGCCGGCAAACGTGCCACCGGTGCCCGTCGCGCAAGTGAACGCATCCACTTTCCCGCCCGTCTGCGCCCAGATCTCGGGCCCCGTAGTCTCGATATGCGCCCTGCGGTTGGCAATGTTATCGAACTGGTTCGTCCACACGGCGTTCTCCAGCCGCTCAGCATGTCTTTTGGCCTGGTGGTTGTAGTTCTCGGGGTTCTCGAACGCGACGGCGGGGACGGGATACACCTCGGCGCCGAGCAGTCGCAAAAGGTCGATCTTGCCCTGCGATTGCGTGTTGGGCATGTAGATGACGAGCTTGTAGCCCTTGGAGCGGCACACGTGCGCCAGCCCGATGCCCGTGTTACCTGCCGTTCCTTCCACGACTGTGCCACCCGGACGGAGAAGCCCACGCTCCTCGGCGTCTTTCACCACGTACAGCGCCGCGCGGTCTTTGACGGAGCCGCCGGGGTTCATGAACTCGGCTTTGCCAAGGATTTCGCAGCCGGTTTCTTCGGAGAGACGGTTGAGACGGATTAGGGGGGTGTTGCCGATGGCTTTTTGGAAAGTGAAGGTGGGTGTTAGTGGTATGTTATTACTTGAACTTGAAGAAGATGTTCTAAGAGGATGTGACAACTAGAAGAAAGAAAAGCATACCTCCGACCAAGCCCTGGGCGATACCCTGCGCCTTGGAGACGTTAAGGAGGTGTTGGGAGGGCTCTTGCGGCGCGACCGCGGCCATCCTCCGGAGGGAGGTGGTCGCAAAGGTACGGACGCCGTGACGGAGCATCGGGACGGGATCGGGGATCGTTCGTATATATGCAGGTACTCTGGGGGTAAACGAGAATGCGCGTGCGCTGGCTTGAGATATGCAGACAATAATGGTCACACGAGGGGAACAGGAAGAGGGAAAGAATATTAAAAGAACAATATTTCGAAACAGTAATCCATTTGAAAGAACGACTAATCGACTCATCAGTTCCCTTTCCAGTTACGGGAGCGTGGGGGGAGGGCCAAGTACCGAATGACGGAATCCGGATAGTGGGGCCATCCTGTGTTTTAGTCTGGAACCGGGCAGCCGGGCGGCGATTATCGGACCTCTCCCAAGATTCCTGGTATACTGACCTCACATTGCGATCTTAACTCAAGCAAATAATGAACAGTGAACAGTTCAGCAGCTGAAGAGAGGTACCGGCAAACTAAGAAAACCAACTCAGGGCACTGACTATGTACGCCATAGAGGAACATGACGAAAGCATATGAACCGTGGGGTTTCCGATTTCAGGAACATGATGATTGGTCGCCCTGGGAATTTCACGAATGTCAAAAAAGTTACAGCGGGGAAGGGACAATCCCGGGGAGCATGTCCCTAGCAGGAACGGTAGGGGCCGCCTACACAGTAGAGGTACTCTACCCTAGTGGAAATTTGGAGATCTTTCGATCTTCAACAAAACAACAACAGCAACATCAACATTTCTGGAAGGGAAAAAGCTCCTCATCACGGCGCGTTATTCGAAGTCAATATCAGTTCCAACAACCAGCGCATTTACACCTATTATTATACGCGGACGAATACGGCCATACGCGATCTTGTTAAAACCCCAGGTATTGAGTTGTCCAGCCATCTGGAATCAGCACCCAGTTCCAACAATATTTTTTCCAACGATGAATTGGTAAACGCGGCGGCGCATCGTTAGACTCACCAGTTTCTGCGTTTTCACTCGCAAAGTGGGCGACATTGACGGCGAAAATGGCGACCATAGATCCCAATCTCGACCCCAAACACACACCTCCGAAAGAGATCAACGAAGAAGATTGGAGCGATTCCTCAGACGATAGCGATGTCGAAACTCCAAGAACCGACGGCGGGGCCGCCCAACAGCAGGAGCCGCAGCAGCAGGTAGAATGGCTTGCCACCTCGCGCGCGAAGCGATCCACGGCCGGTAACCGCATGAAGTCGATGCTCGCCAACGAGGAGCCCGCCGCCGAAGACTCGGATCTCGAACTGCTCTTTGCCGAAGACGAAGACGACGCCGGCTTTACCGACGAAGACAAGGATGACGCGTCCGACGTGCATATGGACTCGTCCTCGGACGACGAAGACGACAAGGAGGGCGCTGCCGCCGACGACCTCGAGGGCGAGAAGGAGCTGGAGCGCCAGGCACGGGAGAAGAGAAACGCGCAACGGAAGAGAAAAGCCCAGGAGGCTATTCCCATGAAGTTCAGGAAAAAGGTCCGCATCGAGCAGCCGCCGTCAGTCTCAGCAGGGGATAGTGCCGCTGGCAGTCCTGCCCCGTCGACGACAGGCACTACTCCTGCTCCTGCCTCCTCCGCCCGGCAAGGACCGACACCGCGCCCGCCTAGACCCAAGAAAAAGTCGGAAAGGACGAGCTGGTTGCCAACCCCGGCCGATATGCCCACGCGAGCGTCCGAGCGCAGGACGACCAAGATGAGCAAGGAACAGCTTCACCAGAAAATGATCGACGACGAGATCCGCCGGAAGAAGCTGATGGAAAAGATGGAGAAAAATGCAAAGAGACTAGAGGCATTGAAGAAGCCACCAATGACACAGGCGGAGCGGTTGGCCGAGGCGGCTTTGGTGGAAAAGAGGAATGAGAAGAGCTTGAATAGATGGGAAGAGGCGGAGAAGGTGAGGGAAGAAGAACGCTTGAGAAAGATTGCGGCCCTAAACAATCGCAAGCTGGACGGTCCGGTGGTCACTTTTTGGAGTGGTATCCAGACTTTGGAGGAAGGACAACAAAAACACGTTGGCAAGATGGTGTCCATGGAGGAAAAGCCCGTTAGGAGGAAGAGGCAATCTGTTAGCGCTACTCTTGCTGCGCAGGAGGCGGCTGAGAAAGAGAAGGCAAAGGCTGAGGAAGCTTCTAAGCAAGCATCATCGAATGAGAAGGGGGATATTCCGATGACAGAGGCGGTCCCCAAAGAGGAACCTAAGGCGGAAACACCAGTGGAAAAAGCAGGCTCATCAACAACATTGCCTGAACAGCCAAAGGAACCAATGTCAACTCCAGACGTTGTTATGAAGGATGCGCCGGAACAGCCACAACAAACACAACAGACACAACTGCCAAAACCCTTAACACTCGCACCTCTTCGAGGACCAATGGCCCCGCCACCTATCCCCCCTCCGCCGCCGCCGCTCGAAACGAAGCCCACGCCTTCATCAGGGGTTCTAGCCGCTCCTGTCCTGGCCCCGCCAGCAGGAGTTGCGCCCCCTATGCTCGATGCCCAGATGCCCGGACTTGCGTTTCCCTTTAGCAACGGGATGTCAAACGTTCTTGCACCGCCCAACACTACTTCGCCTCTTTCAATGCCCCAGTCTTCCGGAGGGTTGAGCGCTCCTACGCCTGCGCCAGCGCCTGCTCCAGCTCCAGCTTCAGCTCCAGCTCCTCCTGTCATGTCTGCGCCGGTGATATCGGCCCCTTCCACGACTCTCACCTTTGCGCCCACACATATACCGGCACCTACTCCTGCTGTTGGTCTACCTCCTCGTGATACATCTTCACCAGCCACCAAAGTAATTACAACTACTATTCAGACTAAGCAGGCACCGACGCCTCCTTCACGGGCTGCCAATGTTAGCCCCAAGAAATCAAACAAGGAGAATAAACCGGCTACAGCAAAGAAGGACGACAAGGGCGAGGAGAGCAACAAGGAAAATAAACCGGAAAATGCGGGGAAGGGACCGGATGGACCCCAAGAAGGGTCAGCAGTGCCCGCTGATCAACCTGCCGCTGAAGGAGAAGAAGGGAAAACGGTCAACAAAGTCACCCGTAGCTGCATCATCCTCCAGAACTTCGATGAAGCCGCCATCAAGGACAAGCAAGTTCAGACGCAGATTATTTTTGGGAGGAGGATGGAGAAGCTTGCCAGTGAGTTTCCCCCATTAATCTTTAGAGTTTCATTATGGTTTAGCTACTAACAATAACCCAAGAACCCGCTCACCCTCCACTCTGCGTCGTAACCGGCCATCCAGCCCGCTACCGAGACCCCAAGACTGGTCTTCCGTACTACAACGCCTACGCCTATCGGGAGATCCAGCGCGTGCACAGGGGTGACTACAAATTCAGCGCACTGCTAGGAGCGTACGTAGGCAGCGGCACGTACGCAGCCAAGGGCGTGCCAGAAAGGTTCCTGAACCCCAACGGAAAGCGATCAACACCAAAAGAAGATCCAGCGAAGCTAGCCAAGCTGAAAGAGGCACAGGAAGCAGAGAAAGAGAAAGAGAAGGAGAAGGAGAAGGAGAAAGAGAAACAGGCTGCTTCTGAGCAAAAGACCGCTAAGGAGGTTGAGGCCTGTGATAGAGATAAAAAGCTGGATAATGTCCAAGCCACGGAGCTACCGCCGCTGAGGGAACCAAAACTACCGCACTTGCCACGAAGGGCGAGTGGCACTGATGTGCTTACAAAAGCGAGGAGCAAAAGCAAGGATACGATACCACCCGAACTGAAGCGGAAAACATCTACGTCCTCGTTACCGGCGACGATGACGATGTCGATGACGGGGCCGGTGGTGCAGGCTAAGTTGGAGCCGATTGATGATGTTGCTCTTCCACCTGCTAAAGCGGCAAGTGCTCCTGCTCCTGCGCCGCCTATTTCTATTTTTAAGCCAACGGCGGCGAAGACAACAGGGGCAGCAGCGAAACAATCACCAGCACCACAACTGTCAACGCCAACGCCACCATTGCAAACGCAAGCTCAGTTCAAGCTCGTGGATGACGCGGAGGTACAAGCACCACAGCAGAAACAAACACCACTGGCAGCACCACAGGCGGAATCGACTTCATCAAGCTCACAGTCAACACCCAAAGCAGCAACACAAACACAACTGCAAGGCCAGCTTTCGAAGAATCATGCTGCAACTCCCAATCCAGCTCCAGCTCCAGCTCCAGCTCCAACCACGCCAGCCGAGCAAAAGATCCAACCAGCAGCATAACCATCACAACCTCCTCCAGTGTCTCCAGCGCCCGTAGCACCGGGAGCAATGGTAGAGGCTCGCTTCCAACCCACCGCTCCCGCTCCTGTGCCGGATATGGATATGTCTTCTTCGCGTTAACATGTCAATTTGAAGAGGACGGTATTGAGGACATCGATGACATTGAGGGCAGCGAACATGGAGAGGGGGACGGGGTGGGAGAGCCACGGACTCGGATTGAGGAGGAGAAGGAGAATGAGGAGTTGGTTGGATGTGGTAGGTGACCGATCCAGCTAGATTGGTGGGTGTATGTATATATACAATGTGGGAAGTAGTAGTGTACTACAAGAATAGTGTACTAGTATCGTTGTTGGTGTTGCAACATGGGCGCGATGGACAGAAGTACATGTAGGAGTAAGAGTATGATTAGCAAGGATAGTGGTAGGGGTAGGAAGAAGATAGAGAGAAGTAAGGGTAAAACGCAGTACATATGAGCAGAAGTACAAAGAAGCAGAATTAAGCACAGGAGCCAAAGTAAAGCACAAGGGTCAAAAAAGATGAGCAAGCAAAGACACAGGGGAATGGGCTCGGAGTACATATATACACAATTTTAAGTGTAGTGTACATATACCAAATACTAAATAAGGTAGCCAAACATCACACTGATACCTCTACCGACTTATCTCCATTGAAGGAGGGCCCTACTCTAACCTCATCCCCATGGGCCCACGGCATTGTTTATTGTTCATGATTACCTACAATACACCATGTTCCTGAAACATTGTCTTCCGTCCCTAAATGAACCACGCAATGCTGATGGACTGATTAATTCTACGTTTGTACGTTGATTGTTACTCTGGGTTTTAGGTTATATCACTCCGGTTCATCGACGGACGAGGTGTAATGTGACAGGTCAAAACAAGGTAACTGGTAACTCCTCATAATGATGAATGGGATGGGATTTGTTGAGAATCACATGCAAAAACCAGTGATTTCGGTACAGTACACACCTACCGCTGCTGTGCCAAGCTTTCTGACAAAGTATGGGGAAAGAATCCACGAAATGGAAAGATTCGTAAGAGATGTCACAGTCAGATTGATGCTTGATGACTTTGTTTCGTTCGGACATATCTGGTCATACGGTCTTTTCATGAACTTCCCACGCGGTACCTCGAAGTTTAGGGGACAAAGAGTTATTAAGAAATTCTTGAATCCAATATGATAGTGGTAATAGTAATATGTGCGAGCACTAACGGACAGAGCTTTGGTCAGATAACGAAATGAACCACCAAAAGTCTTCCGCGCGCAGACACAACACCGATATGGCATCAATGCCGGCGCGGCTTTTCCTTGGTAACGTCCATTCCTTTTTTGGTCCGAGTTGGAGAGAAAGGCGGCTCCTCTTCTCTCGGATCCTAGGGAATCAACCACAACCCACAACCACCAAGTCAACCTAGGTCAACTTCTCCTTCTCCAATTCATCCCTCACATCTCCAGTCCTCCTCATTCCCTTGAACCAAAAGGAAACGGACCTGGTACAGGTACGCTCTGCGATACCTCTGTTTGTGCGATGGCGCCAGGTTGATTCGTTTCCCTCCACAATGCTCAGCCCCTCAACCTCCCTCCTTTCCCTCTCAACTCTCTCAGCTCCGTCCGTGTCTGGGTATCGGTATGCAGGCTGTCGACTCGTCACTGCTTTAATTGCACTCTAAACAACGGGGTAATATCGAGGCGCCCTATGCCGTTTAGATGTCGATCTGTGAATGTGTCTCCCCTTTCCCACCCCCTTCATTTCCATGGTTCGCTTCCGGGTTGTAACAAAAAACGGGGCCGGCGGGGCCAAAAACATTCCTCACTGCAGGAGTATCCTGGTCTCACAGAATCAAGCACTTCTTGTCCCTTTTACTTGTCTTTTTCTGAGGCGGCTCCAGTGCCGCAACAATGGCCTAGAAAAAAAAGTGGGTTGTCAGCTTTGGCGACTTTCACAACTCACCGACAATAGCCGTGTCCTGGTGGGAATTGCCTACCTCATCAAACACGTTCTTGAGTCCTTCCTGCGTCAGCGCACTGCACTCGACGTACTTGACGGCGTCAAGATCCTGGGCAAGCTTCTCTCCCTGCTTGAACTCTATCATTGACTGCTTGCGCTGGGCAAGCTTGTCCCTCAGTTCCTTGTCGGAGCGCAAATCCTTCTGCGTTCCGACGATGAGGAAGGGCACGCCGGGGCAGTGATGGTTGACTTCGGGAGCCCATTTCTGGGACACGTTTTCGAACGAGGCGGGCGATGCAACGCTGAAGCAGATAAGGAAGACGTCGGTCTGAGGGTATGATAGCGGACGTAAACGGTCGTAATCTTCTTGTCCTGCAGTATCGAACAGGCCGAGCGTATAGGGCTCATCACCGATCCTGAAGGGGGTTTGCGCTTATCAGCTAAAGTCCAGATCAAAGATGGGAAGCGGATGGGTGGTGTTGGCTTATGCTGCATGGGTGCATGCGCGCATTGATGGGATCGGGGAATTGAGAGAAAAGGCAACGTACATGACGGTGACGGCATAGTTGTCGAAAACTGTCGGCACATATTCCGAGGGGAACTTATTTGTTGTATAGCTGATGAGGAGACATGTCTTTCCAACGGCACCGTCACCGACGACTACGCACCTAGAGAAGGGAGGATATCGGTTAGCCTTGTGTTGCTTTGTAGGTTCAGGTTCAGTCTCGCACAATGCGATTGCGATCCGGGAAATGGGCCATGCATCCCAAAGATGCGTGTAAGTGAAGTCAAGCACAGCGGAGCGGTCTAGACCGTCACCACAGGCAGCGACATTCGGGGGGCTTGTAGCACACTCTCTCTATAAGGGGTGGTTTGGCATACTTGATAGTTCCCGTCACCATGTTGACTGATGCGCCCCAGACGGGTTGCAGGACGAGTCGCGGGCTTGATGCTAGGCCTAAGAGCTCGACGACGGAGGTGATGGAGGATGGAGGAGCACTCTCCTTATCGCGCGCTGTGATCAACGGTGAATCGGTGTGGGCGACAGAGGAGTGGAGTCGAAGGGATAAGACGAAGCTGGACGGCTGGGTTTAGGTTGGGGGGTGGGATGGATGGCCGATGTTGATGTTGGCGGTAGGTGGTGGCCGGGCACTTTTGGCGGTACGGGGACCCGGTGGTAGTAGTAGCAGTAGTAGTAGGAAGAGATGGGGTCGATGACGGAGTGAAAGAGGGTTTGCTGCTGGGGGGGAGCTGATGGCGGCGGGAGTAGGTGTGGAAAGCTTAAGGTTGTAGTACGTAGACGGGAGTATGATGGAGAGTGGGCGCGAAGAGGTAGTAAAGTGAGAAAATGAACACAGAATGGAAAGGCAGCTTGCCAGTAGATAGGTTAGGTAGGTAGAGTTGAAGCTCACTGTAGGCGGCGGGCGGGCGAGTTGAGTTGCGGTGGATAGAGAAGCGGAGGGAGTGATTGAGTGGATGGAATGAATGGGTTATGGCAGGTGGATGGAGGACGGCGGCCTGGGGGGATGGTGGAGGACCTATGAATGGCTGCCCTGGCCTTGCAATGGATTGGACGGATTGGATGGGGGTCCGACCGCCAGTGACAGAACAGCGATCAGTTGCGTCTATTGAGAATATCTGTATTGAGGTGTATTGGATTACATGTATGCCAGCCAGATAAAAAGTCCGGACAATAAGCCAAAGAGAGGGGATGGGATATTGATACACAGCACTCTGCAGTCCAATGACTGATGCTAGGGTAGAGACCGGAGCTATGTATCAATATTTTGATTTTTTGATAACAACCTCCTCTGAAGAAGAAGAAGTGTAATCGAGGTTAAAATGACTCGGGACTTGTTTGCCCAGCAGAAGCAAATAAAGAGACGAGGAAATACATATGGGATCCGGCAATTTGCTACAACAAGGGACCAGTGGTGACCCAGTTAGTGGTAGTGGTTGTGGGCTTTTAGGTTTGGGTTGATGTTGTCGTGGGTTTGGCTTTTTTTTGTTGCGCATCGATCAGCCTCATGAAATTTTGACTTGTCATACAAAAGTCGGAAAAGAGACGAAGGAACAAAGAGTGGGAGATGACGGGAATTGACTTGTTGGTGGGAAAGACGGCAGCGGCTTTGGGCCCTTCGCGAACTGCGATTGTGCCTTCGACAGCAGGAAGCTCGAACCCGGCAGGTGCAGACGGAGCAGGCGTGCGACGTGCCTGCAGCCCATGGACACTCCGCTGCTGCTCTAGCTGGCGGGCAATCTGGCAGGGCGAGAAGGGCAGCATCAATGGCCGGCGGTATTGGCACTCTTCGGCAGACTGTGCACACAGACCCGACACAAGTCCGCTGGCTGGCAGGCGGTGGAGGGAACTTGGATCCATGTCACTTATCACAGGCTGTCCCGTTCCCATCTTGCTACTGTTACCTTCCTAACCACGACTAACAGGTCCCGTCACACATCACTGCTGGGTCGGGCAAGATTTTCCCTTCATGCTGATTGCCCGTTGCTAGCTTGGCGGTTGCATAGCTGGACAAAGTTACATTGCTAGCCGACCAAGTGATGCTATCGCCAGGGGTACTGTCGTTGCCAGTGGGCTATCAACCTGGAAGTTACCACGGGCTGGCACCATCGGGGCTGACAGTGGCGTGCCAGTGTCTTGGGCTTATCGACGGGCCGGTCGATCCAATCTGGTGCAACCAAAAGCACATGCTGCACAGTGCATATAGCCGACACCCTTGGAGCTTCGGTTGAATTTGGATTTCATCTGACTGCATCTCAATTCTTGGGACTTTGCTTGGCACAGTCTTGACTTTTGAAAAACATCACGCACCGGCACATCTCAAAGAGACGAAACTTGAACACACACATATGTCGGCCAGCATGGATGGAACTGGCAAGGAATCTGGCGAACTCCGGCGGGTTGGTTGCATTGCCGCCCATCAACAAACCTACTCCCTGACGTAAACCGCAAAATGTCGTCGACCCTGTTGCTGGACTTGGCACGACGGGAGCGAGGCTCTCCACGGACAGTTACCGCCATTCATTATGGTTTCACGCCATCACAGCATCCACAGCCGTGAACATGGCCGTCGCCACGCCTTACACGCCTCCCACGCTTATAGCACCCTTTTGACCTTGGAGAGTCGCACAAGCAGAGGGCAATCAAGACAGGTCTCACCACCACGGCTTGCATAGCTGATGGAGGGCCAAAAGGGGCCAAAGGGGGCCAAAGGAGGCGTTGTGCCTGGACTCGTACCAATGTCCAAGTCAAACCGCTAGAAAAGCACAATGTAAACAGCATCTTTTAGGATTGTGTCTACTTTGTCACCCTAGCTAGAGAAGCGGGCCCCGAGTTGGTTGGTCTCGAACTTGCCTCGAAACAATCAACTCCATCCAAGTGGTAACTTGGAAGGGGGGCCAAGCATATGTACGACGTCACCAGAATTCCTGCGATATCTCTCCTCTGGCATCTGCTTTCCCCTTTGGAACCACTTCCCCGTACCTGGGAATACCGCCGAGAGATCACCACCTTTCTCTTCAATCAAGTTCGCCTGTTGGCGTCAGGTCCGCCGACCCTGACACCACATGGAAGACCTGCGCAGCCTTGTGGTGGCACAAAAGGGTCCTCTGGGCTTTGAATGGATGGACTGTGTCTTCTTCCAATGCTTCCATCCGTCGTCCACCACACATTATCCTGGCTCAATATCCCGGCTGTAATGTTGGCGTCTGCAACCTGCGCTTCCGCGGCGTCTCTTGTTTCCATCCCGCACAATGGGGGGACGAAGGTGCTTTAACTTTGGGGGTAGCTGATGCACGACACAATTGAGGCGCCAGCCATGGAGCCCCTTTGGAGACATGCCTCATTTAAAGCATTCTCTTACAGAGTCTCAAGGGGGGTGGCTACGAATATGGACACTCGCCGTCACCTTGAAACTTATTTTTCTTGCTATGCCATGTTTGTATTGTTTCAACAACGGACTTGACGGTTCATAAACAGTACCCTGAGCGTCGATCTCCCTCGGCCCCAGATCTAAATCAGAACACTAATATCCCTTCAGATGTCAGTCATGCACGACAGCAATCAGGGTCGTCACCCAGTTCGGGGTCCTCCAGTCCTTGATAGCCTCAGCTCCATGACCCTGAAACAGCCGCCAACCCGGAAAGGGAACGCTTTAAATGGGTCAACACCAACGAAGAAACATGGCACACAAGAGGCGATCAAGGCCATGTGGTTTCGTGGCTTCAGCCAGAAACAATCAGTCAGGAATATTTTCATGTGCGCATTTGTAACAGAGGCGGTAGCCGCTCGGCCGGTATTGACCATCGCTGATGATACCAGCCACATGTTCGCAACCCGGGGACTGCGAGAAACAGCATGAAAACCAACACCCATCTCAGGGGTTAGGGTAAGGGTTAAACAGCCATGTAAGAAGCCGTTGCCGCGGTGCAGGCAAGTGGGCGAGTGGCCTGGCCAGTGCATTGCCCAAAGCTGCTATTTCGGAAACGCGTGAAACAATGGAGTGAACAATTATTATGTGTTTGTCTCAATTATAACGTTCATCAAATGAGGTGGGTACTCCCGTCTTCAGCAAGAGGAAGGAAGCCATGCGGCACCTTCAAGATGGATGTCGTCAAATCGTACGAGAAGTATCCGCATAATCTTTGGTTCATGGAACGTTTGGAAAGGTACGTATACGTACATCTTACTCACCGCGGTGAACCCGAGCTCGAGCACCAAGACCTCACCGAGCCAACAACGCTTCAAGGACACCGTCACAACTCCGGTTTCACAAACACGAACGAAGTCGGACGAATCTTCCAAGCATACAATAGTCACAAATAATCCAATCCCGCCAAGACTCCACCTAGTTTGATGCCAAACTTCCACTCGGCTCATTATACTTTTGAACCTTCCAATCCAAAATCCGGATTCAGCCTCATTAAACGCCTACGCGCCGAAGCGGGAACGTCATCCAAATCACTCTCCATCTCATTATTGTCTCGGATCCAGTCCAGTGCAACAGAAACCTCAAAATCCACAAGGGGCTTATTTCGGGATAATTTCCGACGACGAAACGAAACAACAACAACAGCGGCAAGGCGGAAAAGATCGGCTTAACGGGTTGAACGCTGTCGATATCACATTCACAGTTCAGACCAGAGCTCTTCTGTCTGTGAGACAAATTGCACCATTAGAATAGGTTCGGAATCAACCTAGATCTAAAAGAAGGGACAAGATAACGGGCCCACTGGAAACGACGTCACACAAGACCTCTATTCAGTTCAGTTCAGTTCAGTTCGGCTAGGGAGCATCATACAGACTTGAGCCAAGTCCATCACCGCAACACGGACCACCGGTTTTAGTTTCATCAAGCAGCACTCACTCTCATCATATCAACTCACCTCTAGTCCTCTACCACTTCCATCACATCATATCACACTTTCAAAATGGCAACCACAACCACCCAGCCCCTCTCCCCTCAAAATGTCCCTTCAGCAACCACATCCCACATTGTCCCAAAATCCACCTCCCCTCCCACAGAACAAGAAGACTACAACACCCAAATCGACGCCCTCCTCACTCGCTACCTCTTTCTCTTGAATGAGTACACCACCCTCCGCTCTACTTTATCCAGCCTGCAGGCTGGTATGTACCAGAACTTGGCGCGAGCGAATTTTGCTGCTGAGCGCGGGATGAGGTACGGGAAGGAGTACTTTGATGAGAGGATGGTTGCTAGTAGGAGAGTGAGGATTTCGTCGAGGACGGCGAGAGGGGAAGAGACTGGGGAGGAAGGCAAGGGGCAGGAGGAAGGAAAGAGGGAGGAAAAGGTGGAAGGGGAAAAGGTGATGGAGTGGAGGATTGTAAAGGTTGATTTTGATGAGAAGGGGAATCAGGTTGTGAAGGAGAAGGAGAAGGAGAAGGAGAAGGCCACTCAACAAGAAGGCAACCAACCCTCAGAACAAGACCAAGACCACGACTCACGAACTACCACGAACCCAGAAACGGCCCGCCACCAAAAGGAGGACAACAGTCCCGAGAAGAGCGATGACAAACCTGACGACGACGACAAGAAAACTAAAATCAAGAAAATCCGCAACGACCCCCTCCGCTGGTTCGGCCTCCTCACCCCGCTTCCTCTCCGCCAAGCCCAGTCCCAGGCAATCCAAGCGGTTGAGCAAATCATTCCGCGGCTGGTGACGGTTAATGCGGAGATGGTGCAGGTGGAGATTGAAGTGAGGAGGGCGAGGAAGAGGAGGGAGAAGGCGGCTGGTGTTAAGGCTAAGGCGGTGACGGCTGCTGAGGGTGTTGTTGGGGCTAGTGCTTAGCTAAGTTGGAGGTAGAGAAGGGACAGAGGAGGAAGGATGCAGATGGAATAGGGAAGGATAGATCAGAGAGGGAGAGGACAAGCGAAAAAGACTTGAATGAGAATAAGACTTGTTTGAGATGGGAATGGTGAAAACGATGGCATATAAGTGGTAATAAACCAGCTCCGGCTCGACCGGACATTCACCCACCAAAGCAACCGTAAACTCCCACCGTGGTGAGTTTCGATGATGAGACTGAACTGCAGGCAGGCAGCTGATGATATCTCTATCTCTATCTCTATCTCTATCTCTATCTATCTCTCTTCTATGTCACCATACAGTCACTACCGCCTTTGGTCTAGCTACTGCGTCAAACACGGGTGTTATTCCCGCTAGTGTAGCAATGGAGGAATGACTTCCCCTCACCGTTTTGCTTAATCACCATCAGGGAAGATATCAGTAACTGAGAGAGTCAAATCAACATGTCTGATTCTGATTTATTCTCCTCTTCCAGCAACAACAACTCCTTCCGCAGACTCTCACATATCACTTTAACTGTCATGTTTGTGAAAACCATAGAAAGTTGACAATCATCATGAGGATACCTTTACTCTCCTCAGCAGCTATCGTACTAGCTATCGGAAGCCAATTAGCCCAAGCATGCCATGACCATGAACATAAAGGCAATGACAACAAACAATGGACGATAACACCCGAAGAACTAGCTGAGCTGGAAGAGTAAGAAAGGAAATGGGGAACGGATGTAAGTATCACCTCATCATCCAACATTCACTGGAAACCTGACATGTCTGGCCAAATGGCCAAAGCTAATATGGAAGGCGGGTTGGAAAAAATAGTGGTCATTCTCAGGCATAGCTACCTTTGCCCACCTCAAGCACGTCAAGTGCCTTACTACACCGAGCGAGAAGTTCGATATTGGGATTATAGGGGCGCCGTTTGATACTGCGACTAGTTATCGGCCTGGTTTGTGACCTTTACTTTCCGTTGACTTCATAAGGACCTTTTTACTGTTTGGCTACCCTTTCACTACTCACCCGCCGACCTACCCTTTCCACTCACTGTTCACCACTCAGCTACCTCACCTCACTATCTTACCTCACTACCCCACGTACCTCACCACACCCATCTCGCCCCCTCCTTCCCCCGCGCCATCCGCCAAGCCTCCAGCCGCCAAACCTCCTTCCGCGGCTTCAACCCGCGCGCAGGCATCAATCCCTACGCGAGCTGGGCAGCCATCATAGACTGTGGAGATATTCCTATCACGCCGTTTGATGATGCTGTGGCGCTGGAGCAGATGAGTGAGGCGTTTTTGGAACTTGAGTTGAGGAGTCCTCACGGGAAGGGGGATGGGAAGGTAAACTTGAAGGAAAGGGGAAAACCAAAGTTGATTACCCTCGGCGGTGACCACAGTTTGGCGCTGCCGGCTTTGAGAGCTTTGAAGAAGGTGTATGGGCGGGAAGTGAGGGTTGTTCATTTTGATGGTTAGTCCTCCCTTTCACTTTCCCTTGCTTCACTCACACACCACTTACCACCTCACCTACCTCGTCTCTTCGACCGTCTTGACAACGGCGTGGTCTGGTCCAAGACTCGACAAAAAGTTGCTGAAAACAACCACAAAAAACAGCCCACCTAGACACCTGGCACCCAGCCAAATACCCCTCCGCCTGGCCCTCTTCCCAATTCCACTTCAGTCCTTCCGGCATCATCAACGCTATCTTGGAGCAGTTTGATTTATCTGATCCAGACCCGGACCCAATGTATTTGAGTATCGACATTGATGTCCTTGATCCGGCGTTTGCCCCGGGAACGGCACCCCGGAACCCGGAGGGTGGACGACGAGGGAGCTGATTAGGATTTTGAGAGGACTGGTGGATGTGCTGAATATCGTGGGAGTGGACGTGGTGGAGGTTAGTCCGGCGTATCAGGGCAGGGGGGAGGAGACGGCATTGGCGGGGGCGCAGGTTGTTTATGAGTTTTGACGGGGATGGTTAAGAGGGAGTTGATGGATAATTCTAGGGAGGAGAGGGTGGGGGGTGAAGGTGAGGCTCATGATGAGCTGTGAAGGTATTCCCTCACAGATGAAGTTACACCTGGCCTTCTTCTGTCGCGCTCAGGGAGGTTGAGAGCTAGCTGCCGAGGCCAATGGTAATAAGAAGCTCGCATACTATCCGGTAGTCGTTGGAGTCACACTTCCCGACAACCAAGCCATTCATTCCCATTCCTCTGAGAATGAGAACGGTGAGTACCTAGAACTGACCCGAATTATGAGGCAGCTGACTCACCGGCGGTCAGACCTTTCGTCTGATAACGGATATTTGTTCTGGACTCCCGTGCTATGTCATCCTGTGACACGGGATGAATCATGAACACCCCCCGGATATTTGGCCAGATGTTTCAATTCGTGCCATTGAGTGCCGAGACTTGTAAAGTAATGCCATTGACTGAAAGCAGTCATGTTTGGGTCGTGTTGGTCGACCTTTCCATAGAGGTATGCTGAGAGGATCAGGAAGGTAAGTCTAGGCTGTTATCGCGAAAGGGTGTTGTTAGAGGGTCGATAGGTCGTTGTCGATCATAGGTACAATGCAGGAACCCTCGGGCGAGTATCAATGAAATGCCGGAGAGATAACGCGGTACCTCGTTATCTTTTGGTTGTTAGTTACCTAGGTACATGCTTCTACCTTCGTCTAGTATATCGAACGAGATCTATGCCGAACTATTCCAAACCTCACAATGCCGAGATATGATGCCTAGGTGCGACTTAGGAAGGCATATACAAGGTTATATAGCACTTTAGCTATAGGAATAAAATGATTAGTTAGATGTTTAAACACCTCGGAAGGTTGACCAGAGGTCTCGAGCTAACAGACAAACCTGTATTGGACTGTAATTTGCAGTGATGTTCCCGTCTGGTGTTCTAGACAGCACAAGGGATAGGGAAGGGGTGAGTCACGACGTCGCTCCCCGTAGCGCTAACAGCGACCCCTTCTGCCCCGCGTGCGATACATTTAACATTTTGGCCCGACCCCACCATCCCATCCTCCCCCACCCGCCGTCCCGTCCGTCCCCATTTACTTTTCTGCATCCACTTGGGCCGCTCAAATCTTGGGTCTTGTTTTGTCTCTTTTTGCGACACGACACATATTCCCAAAATGGCGACACCACAAGAGCTCGCCGATCGCACAAAAAGCGAGGCCAAGGTCTACATCGACACGGTCGCCGGCAAGGACGACGAGTCGGCCGATGGCTCCGAGGCCAAGCCCTTCCAGTCGCTGTACCACGCCCTCATCCAGAACCTCGATAAGCCCGCGCCCACATACCTCACCAAGGTCGCCCCCAAGGAGGGCTCTACCGATGGCCCAACATGGGAGGAGGCCGCCAAGAGCGCCATGAAGAAGGCCGTCGGCCGCGTCGACCAGTACAAGAAGAAGCTGCAGAAGGAGAAGGAGGCCCTCAAGAAGGAGGAGGAGGAGCGCCAGCAGCGTCTCAAGAACCTCGAGGACGCCAAGAAGATCGTTCTCAAGGAGGACCCTTCCCTGCCCGAGGCCGTCCGCATCCGTCTCAACAACAAGTCCATCGAGCTCGGCGATGAGTCCAAGAAGGGCACCCGCGTCAAGGTCTATGGCCGCATCCACCGTCTCCGCGCCCAGAAGCACGCCACCTTCCTTACCCTCAAGGACGGCTACGGCTTCCTCCAGTGCGTCCTGCCCGCTGGCGACCTCACCAAGAACTACGACGCTCTCTTGTTCGCCCAGGAGACCGCCCTCGTCCTCTACGGTGAGCTCAAGAAGCTCCCTGCCGGTGCCACTGCCCCCGATGGCCGTGAGCTTCAGGTCGACTACTTCAAGGTCCTCGGCCACGCCCCCAGCGACACCGAGGCCATCACCAACAAGGTCTCCCGTGACCAGGATGCTTGGGATGCTGCCATGCTTGACAACAGGCACTTGGTCCTCCGTGGCGAGAACGCCTCTGCTCTCATGAAGCTCCGCGAGTTCGTCGAGCTGGCTTTCGTCGATACCTACCGTGAGCTCGAGTTCCGCAAGGTCTCTCCCCCGGCCATGGTCCAGACCCAGGTCGAGGGTGGTTCTACCCTCTTCAAGTACGACTACTACGGCGAGGAGGCCTACCTTACCCAGTCCTCCCAGCTGTACCTCGAGACCGTCCTTGCCTCCATGGGCCAGGTCTACTGCATTGAGAAGTCTTTCCGTGCCGAGAAGTCTCTTACCCGTCGCCACTTGTCCGAGTACACCCACGTCGAGGCCGAGATAGACTTTATCGAGTTTAGCGACCTTCTCGACCATCTCGAGGAGATCATCTCCAAGGTCGTCGACCGTGTTCTCAATGACGAGACTGCCGCCGGCTACCTCAAGGTTCTCAACCCCGAGTTCAAGAAGCCCGAGAAGTTCCTCCGCATGAAGTACGAGGAGGCCATCGAGTGGCTCAACAAGCAGGATCCCCCTATCCTCAACGAGGAGGGCAACCCCCACGTCTTCGGTGACGATATCGCCGAGGCTGCCGAGCGCAGGATGACTGACATCATCAACCGCCCTATCCTTCTCACCCACTTCCCCGTCGAGATCAAGGCTTTCTACATGAAGAAGGACCCCAACGATCTCCGCGTTACCGAGTCCGTCGACGTCCTCAGTAAGTCTTTTCTTTTTCCTGAACTCCGACCCATTCCATGATCCGAAGCTAACAAATACTCCAGTGCCCGGCGTCGGCGAGATCGTCGGTGGCTCCATGCGTATGGATGACTACGACGAACTGATCGAGGCCTACAAGAAGAACGGCATCGGCCACGAGCCCTACTTCTGGTACACCGACCAGCGCAAGTACGGCACCTCCCCCCACGGCGGCTACGGTCTCGGTCTCGAGCGTTTCCTCGCCTGGATGGCCAACCAGCACTCGGTCCGCACGACCTGCTTGTACCCCCGCTTCATGGGCCGTTGCAAGCCTTAAATGTCGTTAGGAAAGACTTGGAGTGGAGTTACGGCTAGGGGTGAGGTTGAGGTTGTGGTTGTGATTGTGGCTGGGGAGGAAAGAAGAAGAAGAGCTGTGGTCATTCGTTGTTCTTCATGTATGGGAGCAGCAGAAAAAAACGCAGGGCGTCTACTACTGCTTCGGAAGGAGAAGAAAGACCAAAAAAGAGAAATAGAGGAGGTGAGATGTCATGAGGGAGAAAAAAAACAAAAGAAAACGAAAAAGGTTCTTTAGCTAAAGAAACGCGCGCGTGGAGGAGGAGTCTGGCGCAAACGAAGGTTTATAGCAGCGAATATTTACGGACCTAACTAACTACCATGGAATTTTTTTGAATTTTTTTTCTTTGTTAATTTTCATCATCATCATCATCGTCGTCGTTGAAGCCTACAATCTAATCTAACTAACCCTGGTATGTTTGTTAGGTAGTTTGGTACAAAAAAAAAGCGCCCAAATTCCACGTTCGAGCAAGCCACTGAGAGAGTAAAGAAAACATTCGGGGATTTTGAACGAAGGGGGCCTGCCATTCTTATATATCCTTTCAACTTTCAAAACCGAGAGAGAGAGAGAGAGAGACGGAGAGAAGCATAACAACAAGACAGAGTGAGACAGAAAAAGGCTTTGTGCAGTGGCGTCCTATACCTTAGAAGTACCTAGTCTCGGTATCTACAATTATTTCAAACGAAAACTCAAAGGAGGCCAATAAGAGCTCCAAATTTCCCCCCTGTTTACCCCCGGTCCGAAGTACCAAATTAAGAAACACAAACCAATCTTCTATGGTATTACACACTTCTTGGGATTTTGCCAGCGCAGGTGATAACGTTGTTTCCAAAGGTCATTCATTCATTGTAATTGCCGTTGCCGTTACCGTTGTTTCCGTTGCCGCCGCTGGCAAATTTTTATTTATTTATTTTTTTTGCGTCATTATGTACCAGTACTCAAAAACATGGTGGGATCAACCAATAATACGTTTGTCAAGTCCAAGTCCAAGTCGATGATCCCATTCATCCCATCCATCCCATCCATCCCGGTGATATCGGAGAACATGCTATCCATGTTGGCAATGTCTTCAAGCGGGAGCGGGATAATGTATTGTTGGTTGTTGGCGTCGACGTCGAAATCAGACATGGATGATGAAGGGCCCAGTCCTCCAGTACCGTCACCGACGATGGTGTTGTTGTTGTTGTTGTTGTTGTTGTTGTTGTTGTTAGGGAACATGCCGGTGGTGGATGTGGATGGGTTGTTGTTCATGGTTCGGTGAGGTAATGGGTTGTGGACTACTGGCGGCCGGGATGTCTGATTGCCGGGCCGAGCCATCAAATGAGGAGGTCCCATCATGACAGTCGCAGGTCCTGGGCCCCAGCCATCGTTGAATTCGTCACTGTTTCCGGTGGTGGTGAGGAGATTTGGTGATGATGCGGCTGCCGTTGTTGGCTGGTGGTGGTTGTACTGATGCTGAGAGTTGGAGGGGAGTGCGGAGCTGCCGAACTTGAAGAGGTCCGAAAGGTCGATGCGTTCGATGAAGGATGGCTCTTCGTAGTGGACCCGTCTTCGTTTATTGGTTTCCGGTGCCATTCCCGGTCCGCCGCTTCCATCGTCGCTGGTCACTGTGTCATTACCAGTTTGCTTGCTCGGACACTGAATACCACCACCACTACAAGCACCAAGTTCACTTTCCGGTGGTGGTGGTCCGACTCCCGCCGCCGCCGCTCCTCCCCCATTTTCGTTCAGATTCCCACCACAAGCTTGCGCCGCTGTCACTCCTAACGGACACCCACCACCACCACCACCACCGCTGGCTCCTTCTGGTATGATCCTACCCCCACCGCCCATAGGCATCATTCTCGGCACCAGCGGCCTCCCGCCATTCTTTGTATACCTCGACACAGCCGTCCTGACCAGCAGGGGAATGCCATGGTTGCAGCACCCATACCTCTTGATGTTAGGAAGATTGAAGTAAGCTCCGACGTCGCTTTGCTCTATGTCGAGTAGGAGTTGGTTGAGGTAGGCGCGAGTGACAACGTGCTGCCGGCCAATGGACTCCATGCATTCGTTGAGAAATTTGAGTTCGGAGCCTAGCCAGGGCGGGAGTGAGATGGGTGACGGCGAAGAAAAGGCTTCTTTGGCGAGGTCAATGTAGACTGTCGAAGCGCAGTAGAGGGAGAGGGCTACCAAGGGGGTTTTCTGTTAGGAAGTCGTTAGTATGTATATTTACCAGCGGTGGCAGAGGACAGGAGAAAACACCACTTACGTAAGGGGTGGTGGTCTCTCTGACCAGTCTCATGATCTTCACGACTTCCCTCGCAGCATTCAGTCTCCTCACTTTACTCCTTTCGCCCAGTCGCTTGTCGAGCCTATGCTTCTTGATCGCATCACAAGCAGCGCTATGAAGGCAGACTACAGACGCGTGTAGATCCAGATTAACCTGCAACGCCACCGTATCCGTGATGTTCGTAGGCAGTCGGAACTTCTCGGGTAGGAACATAAAAGCATTACTCAAGGTATTGTCAAGCTCACGATGGCGATTCCAGTATGGGCCGTTTTGAAGGTCGTCAGGCCGGTCCGACACTTTGGGTCGGTGCACATGGTTGAGCAGTTCGTTGAAGATATAGCTTATGACGACGCTACTAGCGAAGGAGGAATAAGAAGAGCCGGCAAAAGCTTCTTGGAGCGTGGGCGAGTCTTCATGAAGACCTGTGTTGAAGGCATCTTCAGAGGCAGGAAGATGGGTTGTGGTCTGCTACGACGTTAGTCTCAATACGTCAAAGAAATCCCGTCAAATGTATGTCCTTACGTCTTTCACGTCAATCAGGATAGGCCACCCAGTGTTCATGGTGACATGAACGTTAACACAATAAGCACCCCAGAATGTTCTTCGACGTTCTTCTAATTCCACCCAGCTCTTGGCAGGAGGTAGGACGGGCCCATCGGATCCTTCTGCGCCTTCTAAAGGGTCATCGAGTCGTTGAAGTCCTAGCATGTGCACAAGCCTGGCACACCTTGCAGCAGTCATTGCGGCCCTGGTGAACAGCATACTGCGGGCCTCGTTGATGACAGTTATAATCAACGCTTGGGCGTGATGGAGCGTTATAAAATGCTCACCGAGTCCCTGATGATCTACAATCAGCTTGGGAAACATTTGACTACAATTCAAATTGACTAACCTTCAGTTCATCAGCCTCCAAGTACTGACGGGCACGGTGATAAAAGACATCATAGTAACGGTCGTGCATGGGATGCCCCTTTGCCGCGTTTGCCCATATGGCGTACTGTAAACACATAGGCGGACGCATATGCGTGGGCGAGTAGAAGGCTCGCATGTAATTTCCTTGATGGACGATGGGTACGATCTTTGGCTGAAACTGGAAAAACAGTCGATGTCTTTATGTCCCGTTATGTTAGCATATCCTACCAGATATGACAATTGGAGAGGGAACTCACAGCTCCTCAATCATTTCAAAAGGTGGTAAGCCCTCGAATCTTCCTAGCTCAATTAGGTCGTCACTGAAGCCTCCGATGCCAGTCGTTCCCGCTCGAGGCGCATCAAAAGGTTGAGGTGAGTGTGGTCGCTTTGACGAAGTTACTCTCTCAGGTGCCGGGACAGCTTCCATGGGACTAGCTTCTTCCGATGCTGATCCATGAGACACAAAGCCAAAGGAGTAGTTGGCTTGTTCAGAACCTGATACTGTCCCTTCTGGTGGTTCATCCAAGCTAGTCGTAGCACTCATCCTGTCGAGGCCATGAGTAGCACTCACATCATCACTTGTACCCTGGTTATCAGGGCCCAGGGACTGCTTGGTGACATTTCGAATGAGGCCTTCCACTTGAGCTATGGTTGGCAATGTTAGCTGGCTTAGCCCGTGGGTCGGACGAGGAGAAATGACTTGCCCAATCTCTCTTCCAGTTCCTTCACATTTCGCCGCTTGAAGTTCGGTTTTCTCCTTGATTCAGGATACACACACTCTCCCCCGGCCGCCCCACATCGTGTGCATACCGGCTTTTTGCGATCACCTAGATCAAGAGTCAAAACAAAGTTAGATGCTTAAATCAGTCGATGGAATGGAGTGTTATGAGCGGGATGCGTCCACATTGCTGACAGTATACTGACATTTCAGCTTTCGACTCCTACATGTCACACACGCCAATGGTTCGAGATTCGAGTCTGATGGTCCAGCAACTGGAGAGGTTCGTACTAATTGTTGGTCCCTTGACCCAACTCTCGACGACCCTTCTGCTGCGGTCGTTGTGATCCCCGGGTTGTCGCTGGCCATCTTATGTCCGATAACCCCGTTATCCGCTTGCTGCCCAATTTAGTTAAGCGTGCTTGCCTGATTTGAAAGGCAAGACTTTCGTCGATATCGTAAACTCGCGGATTTGTTGCAAACAAGACGCGGAGAACAGACATCTGGCAACCGGGGATGATGAATGATTCCGAAGGCCGATTCAGATTGCTGCGACACGATATAACCTGGAACTCTGACCAGAATGAAGAAGGCTTTGGTAAGCACAACACCCTTTGCGTGGCTTCATCGCTGCTGCTGACTTCATCCAGTTGGAGCCTGTGGAGGAACGACAGGGATTTCGGACATTTCACGGGCAACACTTGGGCCGATGACCGAAGCGACCAGCTCGGACTGGGCTCTGTTAATGCACTAACATTGACCAACTTTACGCAGCCCGGAACGGATAGGTTTCTGATGAGCAAGTAACAAAGCGCAATCCCAACAGCGCTTGTAACAAGACACAGAGGGTTCGAAGTAGTTCGATATTTTTGCATTTTATATTGAATGTACTTAACCTGATACAAGCCAGGTTAGGCATTCTACCGTCCGCTAAACTCGAACTCGCAAATTGCATACGATTAAGAAGATTGAGAGCAAACGGAAGCAGTCATCTAAATCTCTTGTCAGCTGCCCAAGCGAGAGGCATATGGTAAGCCTCATTAGGACAGCTATATCTGCTGAGAAAAGAAAGGAACGGTGAATCAAGAAGAACATAAACCAACGGAAGTGAAATAGAAGGGAAATAAGAGAATGAGAGAACACAAACGTGCAGCACGACGATACTCAGCTGGGTTAAGGGCTCAGTAGAGCAGATCGATCCATGAAGGACTGCAGCAGGTGTGTTCAAACACGACAGCATCCAGCCAATGATTTGCTCCTCCTCCCTCAACTTTTGGCGAGCGATAGGCCGCTTCGAAACGGACTTTTTCTTTGAACCCAAAGTTGGTTTCGAGGAGGTTCTTCACCCACGCTATATCGCCGGACTGGTTCTCCTGTGCCTCCCAAACTCCGTCGTTGATGCTAAATTTGGTCCTGACAAGATACTGCAGGTAAATCTTGAGAGTATAGCGCTCATGTTGGCACGGAGCCGCGTAGGCAGGGTTCCGAGAAGGGTCCCAGAAGTCGCACATGTCCTTTGACTTCGCATTGAGCGAAACTGACCAGAGAAGCCTGTCCAGGAGTGCAGATCCGATCTTCTTGCGTCTCCAAGAGGTATGGACATACACGTGGGCCTCTACAGTGGCCCTGCTAGTGCCTGCGTAACTGCCAGCCAAACCGGGCTTCCAAACCGAGAGGTATGCGAATCCAAGAACCTCGCCTTCTTTGAAGCCGGGAGGGAGGACGTTCTGCTGTGACTGACTCGATTCGAATCTAATGCCATCCTTCAATGCGTCCATTCTAGCCGAGCCGCTAACGGCAACGATGAAGGGATATTCATGCCCATGGGTATCGGTAAGGATCTTCTCAAAGTCCGATGCTTCCAAAGGTGCAGAATCAAGTTTCTGGATGGCTTCGCTGTTGTAAATCGACGCCACTGCCTCCATATCGGGAGCTTCAGCGGGGCGCAAGTGGCATGGTACTTGGGGCACATTCAAGTCTGCGATGTTGACATTGAGCTGGCCACTGGGTGGCTGGCGGCCCCATGGTGGGACCTCTCCTCGATTGAAACGGTCACCTCTTGGGTGCGTGAGTTTTCGTCTGCGCAGTATCTCCGATGACCAGTTCATCTGGCGCCATTTGAGCTCCGGGTCCTGAGCCTCACTAGCTCGAGTCTCCGGGTGACTGAGAGGTGCGAGAAAGTATCCCGTCTCTGGGTTGATGTCACAGTTGAAGTGATCGCGCCTGGATTTAAAAGATGCCTTCGCGCTGACAGTTATGTTCTGGATCCATGCTTCCACCAGGTCTCTGTTGTACTCTTCGGTGTGAAGGCCTTCATCGTAGTTCACGCGTTCGTAAAAGTGTCCGAACCGTATTTTGGGACGCCCCATTTCATCGTTAAAGCGGTGCATGGGGACTTCGACGCCAATCTCGTTGCGAATGTCATGGGACATCTTGGAACTGGCTTCCTTGACTTCTTCAGGGTCATCACTAAGATGAAAGTCAGAGACTGAGAGAGGGCTCCGTTGCGAGCCTGAATAGTCAAACCGACGGGCAGGAAGTTCATGCTCCATGTAATCAGCAGGAGCCGGCGGGGGTCGATGATCTTTTGAAGGTAATCCTGTCCACCAAGGTGGCTCAGCCCCGCTCCCTCTTTTCCCTGTTGCCCGCGGTTTCTTCTCGGCTGTCCAGAGTTTCTTCTCTACTTGCCATGGTTTCTTCTTTGCGGCCCAAGGGTTTGCCGTCGCGTTACCATGATGAACGACGGCTTGATCGCCCTTCAGAGTGTGTGGACAGGTATTCGAGTTCTGGCTTCCGGCGCCAGCCGACTGACCGGTTTCGGTAGCTCGTGCGCCCCATCCTGTTTGGGAAGCACTTTCTCTTGTGGACATTCTGGAACTGTCCGCCTGAGGAGTCTTTTCCCATACAGATTCCTTGGGTCCGCCTGGGCTTGAGGGAACGTCAGACGGCCCCCTTGGCTGCTGCTGTACGCTCTGTCCTGGTGTAGAGGGAGTTTTTGTTTTGCTGAGGTCCAGAACTTTCCCGGTAGGGTCTTTGATGATAACGTGTCGACCTTGGTGACGGTGCCAAAGATGAGGAGGAACTCCCGGAACTGGCTTGATCTTTGGCTTACTGAAATTTTGGACGATAGCGAAAGGAATTGTTCCTCTGCCTGGCGGGGCACCTGAGTCCACCCATTTTCTGGGATCGAATCCTTGCTTGGCGGGAGCCTCGGATTTGCCTTCGTTGTTGGCAGTCATCTTCAATGACCTGTATAAACGGTGAACCGTGGTTAACATTTGATCAGTAAGCGTGGTAGTGCAAACACTCACCTTGTTAGGCGTTAAGAGGTTGACTGTCGCCGCGAGGAGGTTCCATTCAGCTCGCAAAGGCTGCTTGGTTCGGCGATCGAACAAGCCCAAAATGCAGATGGGTGATACACACCTAGGTGCAGGGCAGAAGAAGTAGCAGGTGATGTGCGTCTGTTCGAGACAGAGTACTGTGGTGAGTTGGTGAAATGCCGTTTATAAGCAGGTGATGTTGGATCGCCGTCAACTCCACGTCCTCGGCATGTTTGCCGTAGGTCGCAATGCTTCGACAGTCACCTAGCTCGTGTAGGTGCCCTCTAACGGGCACTGGGAGGTGAGGTAGGCCTCCGATTGCAGGTTCTTGGCGTGATATCAGTTGGATTGGAGTGGAAGTGCTGGAAGGGGCAAAGAGTTCGATAGTTCGCTAGAAGGAAGGGATAGCGACGACTGAAGTGTTTGTCGCACTCAGTCGGCGGAGTCGAATGGTGATCGCTGCCAGTCGTTGCGTTCTCCAGCGCCGTCCGAGAAAAAGATCTCGGCGCAGACCAAGAACGATGGTGGATTGTTGGGGGTGTTGGAGGAGGAAGGCGGAATATGTTGCGAGAGGCGGGATGTTGCAAGAAAGACAAAGCAGGAACAAGTGGCTGCAAGACTGCCCTTTTAAGGCGGGATTGAGCAGTTGCTGGTGCGGTGGTGAATGGGAGAAATGATGGGACGGCAAGTGCATCTCAAACAACGAAAAGTGACTGGCAGCTGCGGCGACCGGAACCTGAGATGAGGTTTGGCAGGCGGTGCGTACCTTCCTTCTAGTGAAGTGGCATTTTGGTGGAAGGTTGACGGAGGCTGGAAGGCGCGAATTGAAAATCCAGGTCCAGTTGCCATTCAAGTCCATTGCGACCGTCAATCACACACTCAGGCTGTAGTAATCGAGAAGAGGACTGAAGTGAAGAGGTGCATTCGGCCTCCAAGGTTAGTAACCAAGTCGTCTCTCTCATCCAACCTTGGACTGCAAAGGCCAACCCAGCTCAATGGAACTTGGCCAGTAGTTCAGAGGACAACATGACTGTCAATGAGCATATTTGCCGACGACACGCCAGTACAGCAATAAATCGGCCTTGGCTCCGTGTCTCTGCTGGCATGCCCGCTTCAGTCGGTCGATTAGGCGGAGAGGCTGGACTTGAGCTTAGCAGTATCTTCCAAATTCGGCCCACTCCAGTGCGTGTGTGCTTCATGAATTTCAATGATATCACACAGAGTGAGTACTTCCTTGCACCATGTATGTGCTTTTATATTGTAGCCTCAACGTCCGAGGCCATCATTGAAAATGTCCAGAGAGAGCGGGCCGAATTCCCACTCCGGCACTCAAGGACGCCCAAAAGTTGAGAAATAAAAATAATGTGGGATTAGATGCACCTCGACATTGTCTCCTTTTTGCAACTCCGAGGCCGTTGCGCATATCGAATCAGAGTGTCTTCAGGTTGGTTGTAAGTGTTGACGTTGAGGGGCATCACGTGGGAGCAGAAACCAAGTACCCACATAAACAGAATGCACGACTTTGATTGGATCCAGTAGGTGGTAAAGGTGGGGACGGGAATGTATGCAACAGCAGGGGCAGCCGATGTTCATGTCCATCACCTTGGAATATCAACGACAGTACGATCAGATTCGTCGAACTGACAAATACTTGGAGCAAATCAGTTTTTGTCAACCATTTCAATCTTTGGTTATATCACTGTACACAAAAGTAGAACACCTACCGATCGCTTGGTTTTCGCATTCGTTGACCCCGCAAACAAGATGTTGTCAATTCTAAGAAAAGCGAAGCTCAAGGACAAGGAGCTTCGCATCCTCATGCTGCAAGTGCTCACCTGCTTGCTTTCAGCCCATTTTACTCTACGCAATCGCTGACAGCGGAGATAACCATGCAGAGGCCTTGACAATGCAGGCAAGACGACCATTGTCAAGAAGATCATGAATGAAGATGTGAATACCGTCAGCCCAACACTCGGCTTCATCATCAAAACCATCGACTATGAGGGTTACAAGCTCAACATTTGTGAGAACTTGGGCGTCGTTTTCAACGACGGTCAGCTAGGAAGTGCTGCTTGTGGAGTCTGATTCTAACCACCATGTTCGTATAGGGGATGTTGGCGGCCAAAAAACATTGCGGTCGTACTGGAGGAATTACTTTGAAAAGACGGATGCGTTGATCTGGGTGGTTGATGCCACGGATAGGCTGCGCATCCAGGACTGCAAAGAGGAACTCCACGGTCTGCTCCAGGAAGAGGTAAGTAATCTCCGCTCAAATATGTCTTGTACTCCAGTCTGCCAATTTGAGCCATAAACTGACCCCGTACGTACAAATTCAGCGACTGTCGGGAGCGAGCTTGCTTGTGTTTGCCAACAAAACTGATGTAAGGGGGTGCATGACTGGAGACGAGCTACGGGAAGTGAGTATAGTACACTTGACCATCTCCCTTTTGGAATTTCAAGATTGTGAAATTTGATGCTGACTTCATGAACCAGGCTTTGCAACTCGATGAAATCCGAACACACAAGTGGAATATTCTGAGGTGTAGTGCCATGACTGGAGAGAATCTCAAGGAGGGCTTGGCGTGGGTGGTTGAAGATGCAAAGGCACGTCTTTTCTTGTACTGAAACAAAGAATGGTTGGAATGATGGTCCGCAAGGTACGGGCCGTATCCGAGATGCAACACGATGTTTGGGTTTGAGGATACGAAGCGATACAAGAATAAAAACGGTTGGGAGATCTGTCAAGAGATCTGTCGAGCAGCGGTCAGTATTCAGGGGAAGCGAGCCTCCCTTTTAGGTATTCCCCTTGAGGCTCCGCGTCTTCCAGAAGGACGGGCATCTGATCAAGGGTGGGGCAACCAAGCAATGGGCGGTGATGAGCACAAGGAGACAGTGGATGGAGCTGAACAAGATGGTACCTGTCGATGAAGGGATCGTGATGGACATTTTGATATTGGATGTGCGATTGAGCACGGATATACAGTCCCCAACGGCTGGCGAGGGCTTCAAATAGAAAGCTCTTCCATGACAGGGTGTTTCAAGGAAGTGATTGATGAAATGAAACGTGGAGGGTGTAGCGCCTTGCTTGTGTTGATGAGACATGGGTCGACAAGGACGAGGGCATTTTGGGTTTCTTGGACTCGAAAATCAAGGTTCCATCTTGGGCTGAGCTTGGCAACAGAGCCGGAGGGCAGCCCTGTCGCCGGCTGTTGCTCGCTGGAACGATGCGCTGTTGCAGCTCAGATGGCACTCACGAGCAGTAAGCACCGGGATCCACGGACCATGTGGATTCATTGGAGGCTGCGTGAAAGTGTGCCCCCGCTCCCGCTGTGCATCCCAGCTTTCGTGCCTTGCAAGTTGCGTGCATCCTTGGAGTTGTTCCTTCGTGGGAATACCTAGCCGCCCAGGATTTGTCCCGTTGTCCCTCGTAAAGTTACAGCTCCGCCTCCAGGGTAGACACAGGTGATTGACTGATTGTTCATTGTACATATTTCATGTTGACATCAAGCAATCTGAACTGACGGCCGTCATTTCTAACCGCGTGCCCGGGACATCCCTCCATCCCTTTTTCTTCCTCCACACCTCTCTCTTCGGCCGCCCATCCACGCCCGTCCACCCCCCTCCTCCCCCCCTTTCGTATCCTTTCCGCTTCCCTTCGGCTCCCTTCCGGCGGCGCCCCCTTTCGTTCGTTCGCTCGTTCGTCCGTACCGCACCGCTCGGCTCCCGCGCACATCAGACAGCGACAGGCAAATAGCGACAGACAGCAAGCGACAGCAACCACCTGCACGCACTGTCAAGCAACCTGTCGCCCCGTCAGTCCGTCCCCGTCTCAGTACCTACTTGACGGTTCCGCTCCTTATCCATCTTGCATACGCACCGGCTCGGATGTGCTGGTGCTGACTGGGAGTGGTCCGTGTTCTTTTAATAACTTGTTTATAATTAATACCTGGGCCTTGTACCCCGGAGGTTTCCACGAGCCAACATGTCTGACGAGGTTTCCGACTTTTTGCGCTCCGTCGAGCTGTTGAAGGGAAGACGCGAAGAGGAAGACGAGGCACGCTCGCGAGAGCTGGAACAAAAGATATTGCAGGAAAAGGCTGAGCGACAAGCAAGGCGACTAGGTGTGTTTTCCATCTACTCTATTATTCCATTGCTAGAACTCCTTGTTTTAACTCTCTCTCTCTCTCTCTCTCTCTCCATGTCCTAAGTAGGCGGAGGAGGATTGCGGATCAGGATCAGGAGGTTCAGGTTGTACATATACGCACAACACGCATACACGTCCAAGGGGCTGTTGCTGCTGCTGCTGCTCATCAAAGGGGGCTGGTTGACCGTTGCCCAGTTCGGTGCGGTCTTGTTGTTGTTGTTGATCGATAACAAGATAGTCCAAATACGGGGTCCAACGGGTGACCACATTAGAACGAATATGCAAAGAGAATGCGAGGCTTGACTCTTCACTGATGAGGTCTGACTTATTTTTCGTCCCATGTTCACAGAGCGCGCAAGGTCCATTTCCCCTCAGAAATCGTCTCCGGCAAACACCCCCACCGGCCACCACCACAACCACCACCACCGCGCAAGCATTGCCAGCATTGCCAGCATTGCCAGCACCATTCTGCCCCCCGATGGCGTAGACCTTTCCTCGCCCTCGCCCGCACTCGAAACCACTGGAAGCCCCCGAGCGCGTTCTGTCCAACTATCCGACACAGCCATGGAGCCACTGTCGCTGGCCTCGCCCACAAAGGAGAACGAGTCGCCTGCGTCGCCGTCGCCCTTTGACTCGTCCGAACCAAACAAGCGATCCAGCCATATCCTCACCTCTCCTTCGGCTGCCATGCCCTCTGCCCGCCCCCTCTCCTGGCAGAGGCGCCCTACATCCCAAACTTCTGAGCGACCCAAGACTCGACCGTTGTCGGTTTTCGCCGCTGAGAATGCGGCCGCCACTCGAGCCAACGCCAGCATCACCTCTCCCACAGAGGAACAGCCACCAAATACCGAAGATCTCCCTTCACGGGACTCAATTGCCCAGTCTCTGGCTGGCAAGGACCCCTCTTGGTTCAAGCAAACTGCCGACCGTGGCGAAGGTTCTGCTGCATACAGGAAGTCACAGGTGGAGGATGAGGATACCGTCGACCCTTTCCAGTCTCGCACCCAGCTTCCTGGCATGGTTCAGGACGCCGATGCTCCTGCAGAACCAGAGACGATGCCCTCCCGCCAGAGCCTGCTCAACTCTCCCCTAATTACTAGCGCACCGCGTTTGGACCCTCCCATTGGAGATGCCACCCACGACGAGCCTGAACCGCCTTCTAATCGCCTGTCGATGATGTCTCCCAACAGCCGTGCCTCGCCTGCCACTCCAAGATCCGGCTCTCCTACCAAGGGCTTGGGTGGGTTCGTACAGAGTGCCATGATGAAGCGCTCCGACAGTGTTAAGCGGTGGAGCGTCAACTCGCCAGGCCTAGCGCGTGCCGAGTCAACTGCGTCGAATCGCAACAGTATCTTGGGAACTCAACTAGGCAGTCCTACCAAGCCGGAAACTCAGCCAGATGCTACGACACAGGACGATTCCAACCCTAGGCCGGCATCACGACCAGCTTCGAGGCCCATCTCGAGCCACGGAGAAGATCGACCAGTCACTCCCGCTCCGCTTACAATCAACCCACAACTGGCTGCGGCCGAGACCAAGGAGGCTGTCACAGAAGGCGGAGAGGAGGAGAATACATCGGTACCCGTCAGTCCGTCAAAGACGATGGACCCCCGGAGATGGAGCCCTTCCAAGTCTTCGAGCTGGCTCGAGGCCGCTCTAAACAAGCCCGAGTCGCCAAAGACCAAGCCTGCCCCTAACGCCAACCAGCCGGCCTGGATGGTCGAGTTGAACAAGGCCAAGGCACAAAAGACCGGTAACCCCGGCGTTGATCTCTCACGTAGCGCCTCGGTGCCTCTTAGAAAGACCGAGGTCAAGACGGGTGGTCTTATGCGGACTACCCCGGCTGGCTCAGGTCTCAAATCCTCCACTGGTCTCAGCATCTCCACTAGTGCGCCCGCAGAGAAGCCCACGCTGATCGGCCAGCGTAGCGATCTTGTCAGCCCTCTCTTGAGGAGAGGCAGCGAAGATCCGGCATCTTTGGTGGCAAAGACACCCACCACCGAAGAGGCCACCACCCCCGTTCTGAAGGATTTCCGGGCGAACCTGAAGTCGCGTGCACCACCCTCTTCTGGTGCAGGCGCCGAGGGTGAGGTCGATGAGCTTCAGAATGTCTTTGGCAAGCTTCGGAGGGCCAAGACAGAGAAATGGGTGGCTCCTGACCCACTCAAGGACAACATTCTACGAGGAAAGTCTCTGCTTAATCGTACCGGAGGTCCCATGAGGAGCGAACGGAAAGACGAGCTCAAGGAGGCCATTCTCAAGAAGAAGGAGGAGTTCGAAAAGGCCAAGCAGGAGGGCCAATCACCCACCAAAGTCGCCAGCCCTGTCGTTAGCGAAAAGACAATCCCCGAGGCGCTTGCCAGGAGACTGGAACTTGGTCGCTCTGGAAGCTTTTCCTCCAAGTCGGTCGATCTCCCCAGCTCTACTTCTTCGGTCACATCGCCGAGTGTAGCTTCTCCAGCCAGCATCCTGGACTTTGACAAGACAGGGCTTTTGTCTCCCAAGACGCGAGAACTTACTGACATTGCAGCTCAGATCGCGCCAAAGCCTACCACCACCAGCTTGGACAAGGAAGTTTCTGCTACAAAGGAGGTGCAATCCACAACCCCCAAGGAAATCAGTGTTCCAGGACGCCTGAGCAAGGTGGGCGGCTTGGCCGGCAGATTCAACCCTGCCTTGGCGGGAATGTTGGCCAAGGGCCCTCCGGCAGCGGCTTCAGGGGCTACTAAGACAGCTGAAGAGGAGGCTACGCCCAAGCCTGGACCCCAGTTGACGCACATGACAAAGAATCGTGCCCGTGGACCTAGGAGAAAGGCGCCGACATCCGTCCTCAAGCCAGCTGAGGAGACCGAGGCATCACCTGTAGTAGAGTCACCGCCTGCTGCAAAGGGGGGCGTTTCTTCCCCTACCGAGGAGAAGCAGGTCACGCCCACTATGCCCAAGCCAGAGTTCATCACTCGCGTTGACTCTAGGGCCTCCGCGCAAGGCCACAGGCATTCGCGCTCTGGGAGTGTCGCCGACCTCGTCAACTCTTTCAAGACAAAGGTGGCGGAGGAGCCTAAGCCAGCTGAACAGTCCAGCACTGCTGATCTTCCCTCTCGTTCGCCCACAAAGATTACTCGCGGCCGTTCAGCTACCAAGGTTCTTGAGCAGGCTACCGTGTTCGCTGCCCTGAACCAGCAGCCCTCAGAGCCCGCTGAGTCCAAGAGCGAGGCGGCTTCCCCATCGCCTGCTCGCCCGGCTCTGGGCCATACTCGTTCCAAGTCAAAGGTTCACGAACAAGCAGCCATGTTCACGACATTGAGCCTCCAGCCATCCGAAGTTTCCGAACCTACCAAGGAGCCGGTTTCCCAGTCGCCCGTGCGGCCGGCGCTCGGCCATACTCGCTCCAAATCCAAGGTCCAGGAGCAGGCTGCTGCGTTTGTGAACAAAATGAAGGCGGAGCCCAGTGAGCGTAGTGCGGAGACCTCGCCAGTTCGACCTGCGATGGGACATACTCGTTCGAAATCCAAGGTCCACGAGCAGATTGCTGCTTTAGCTGCGGCTAGCCAAAAACCCTCGGAGGCTGCTGCGGAAGCCGACCCCTCAACACCTACATCGATCAGGGGGCGGTCTCGCGCTAAGTCAATTGTCCAAGAGAAACTGGCTGCCCTCGCCACCGCCGACCACCAAATGAAGCCTGCGGAGCCTGAGGCAGACATGGCTGCTCAGACTGTCTCCCCAAGAAAGCTTGATATGAAGAGAATGTCTAGATTTCTCGATGAGCAGAACCAGCCGATCTTGAATCCCGAAAACGAAAGGACTTCACGCCCGTCTTCTCCTGTGAAGCAACGGGCTCTCCCCGATTTCTCTCGGACTTCGTCAACGAAGGACATCTCGCCGGTAAAAGACACCAAGGTCGACTCGGAACCAGCTGTGTCCGTCAAGGCTGGCTCTGCGCTATTTGGAGGCGGTGCTAACGCGGGTTTGCCTCAAGTAATCACGAAACCAACATCGCCTCCCCCGACCGAGCCCGCTGCTGCCACGACCACCACCTCTCCCATTGCTCGTGGTCTCGTCAAGACGCCAACTCCCGAGCCTAGAACGGAACTACCACCAAGACTGCCTCTTACCGCACTTTCGAGCCCTTCCTTCACTTCATCCCGTAGACCTTCCGTAACTGAAAAGGCCCCTACCCCAGAGCCCCAGCCTGAGCCAGAGGTGCAGTCCCCCCCGCCGCCAAAGGTCCCTCCCAAGGGTGCTAGGCCGTTGCCCGCAACCCCAGAGGCCGAGGCTCCGCCTGTGCCCCGTAAGGACAGCATCCCGCTTCCTTTTCTCCCCAAGTTTGACTTCCAGGCACAACCCCAGCAGCAAGCTCAGCAGCAGGCTCAGCAGCAAGCTCAGCGGCAGGCTCAGCAGCAGGCTCAGGAACAACCCCAACAGCAGCCACCGCAGTCACCCCCACACCAGCAAACTCAGCAACAGCCCCGCGGTCTCAGACATACAAGGTCGGCATCAAAGTACGGATCAGATGCCCAGGCACTGCTGAGCGACTTCTTTGGCACTGAGCGCCCTCGCCGTCGCTACACGGCCGACGCCGCCGACGTGATCATGCGACGGCCAAACCCAGGCTTCCGCATTCAAACCCAGCGTGCTCAGCTTTACCAGTTTGCCGCCGATGGCAAGAAGCTGCCCGTTCCCGCCCACCGCGAACGTATCCTCTTTGAGCGGGAGATGTACCTCTGCACGCACACCTTCACCAACGAATCGGGTAAGAAGGTGAGCGAGGTGTACTTCTGGGTCGGTGACGAGGTTCCCGAAGCAGCCACCGATGACGCCCTTTTGTTTGCGGCGCGCGAGGCCAGGGCATTTGGCGGCAAGCTGGTCAAGATGATGCAGGGCAAGGAGACCAGCGAGTTCATGCAGGCGCTAGGCGGCATTGTCATTATTCGTCGCGGATCTAGCAATAAGTTTGACTCGCTCGCGCAAACCATGTTCTGTGGCAGACGCTTCCTTGGACAGGTGGCGTTTGATGAGGTCGACTTTGCACCTTCGAGCCTGTGCTCTGGTTTCCCTTACCTGATCACCCAGCAGGGCAAGTGCTACTTGTGGAAGGGTAAGGGTTCGGATGTGGATGAGCTTGGCTGTGCCAGGCTCGTTGGTATGGACTTGAGCCTGATGGGCGAGCTGGAAGAGATTGAGGAAGGATCCGAGCCGGAGAGCTTCTGGAAGGATATCTTTGGGGGTGAGGGTCCGGGTGTCCGGCCAATGAGTGCCGATCATTGGAGGCTGAAGCCAAACTACGAGAAGTACTGTGGGAGACTGTTTTGTTCGAATGCCAATGCCTCTGGCAAGGATCAGGTAAGTTCTATGCAGTATTCTTTTTAACTGGAAGTAACATGCACTAACGCACCAAACAGATCGTCGAGATCTCTCCTTTCAAACAAACAGACCTCCTCCCCACAAACATCTACATTCTCGACGCCTTCTTCGAAATGTACATCATCGTCGGCGCCCGCTCCCAGCACCAATACGCCTCCTTCCACAACGCCCTCGACTTCGCCCAGGAATACTCCATCCTCGCCGCCGGCATGGAAGACCGTCCCTTTGTTCCCATCTCCACCGTCGTGTTGGAGGGCATCCCTCGCGATCTCAAGAGCGTCTTCCGCAAGTGGTCCGACTCCCTCAGCCCAACCATTATGAATCACCTTGGTGGTAGCAACGTGAGTGTCGGCGGCAGCGGCAGTCCCCCCCTGCCAATGATGTCAGAAGCCCCGGCAGTGTCAGAAGCTTCAGCAATTCTAGCATCATGAGCCAGGCACCCCCAGGACAACAAGCTGGCCAGGGTCAACAACAAGGTCCTGGGTTGAGGAGAGGAAGAAGTTTGAGGATCGTGCCGCTTAACCAGGCGCTCAAGGCTCTGCAAGACTAGGAGAAGGCAGAGTCGGATGAGTCTAAATGTCTGTTGTGAGTTGTGAGGATCTATATTCTATAGGGAGAAAGAAGTGTATGAGTAATCTTTGAAAGTGTGGAAAAGGGGACAGTTGAAAAGGGCTATCTATATCTGTTTTATTTTGTTGGAGTTCATTTGCGAGGAAGAGAAACCAAAGAGTTAAGGGAAAAAAGGAAAGCATCAAGTCGGTTTGGGCCTGGGTTTGGTTTGGTTTGGTTGGGGCTTTCATTGCGATGCGTGCGTAGCATACTAAAAATGTGGTTCGAGAAAAAGAAAGACCTTTAGCTAGACATACACACACACAACTGTATTTTGGGTCACAGGCCCTGCATAATTTATTTTGTTGAAGACCTTGATGGTTGGTTGTATCATTCGTGTGGCTGGTTGGTCGCGAAGTTATCAGAGAGACTCTTGGTTGTTTGCTGTATCTCGAAATGGATGAGTCATCGAAGAGTGTTTTGTTTATATGACATGTATGTGTATTGCTTCACTGTGTTTGCTGTCTGCAATAGCGACGGATAGCACAAACAAACAACAAACAGTTCGGGAACGATAACAATGGGAATTCATAAATCAGTAAGTTAATCGTAACATGTACGTGTCATTTGTTTATGTTCATCGATCAAGTCAAAGTAAGTATTTACAGAAGAAGCGAAGAGTCTCTTTCTCTCTCTCCTCTCGAGACAGACACATCTTTCATCACCATCACGTCACGTCACGGAGACAGATCTGTCTCACAAACCAACCAACCATCACACCACCCCTTCCTTCTCACAAAGCTTCCTTTCCTCCCCACCACCATTGACTGACCGACTGACCGACTGACTGACTTGATTGACAGCTCACAAGCTTACTCACAAGCACTGCCAATAATAATCATTCTGCTTCTGGCACGTATACGGCGCCGCGCAAAGCTGGCTGCCATTATACGTCAAGCCGCCGCACTGGCCCCACCTGGCCACGGCCGCGTTGGCGGGCTGCGCGAGGATCTTGGCGGCCGCGTGCTCGGCGGCGATGACGATGTACGAGGTCGGGTTGGTGGTCGGCACGCCCGGGAAGATGGAGGCGTCGACCACGTACAGGTTGTCGGTGCCCCAGACGCGCGTGTTGGTGTCCACCACCGAGGAGCCGCCGTTGCTGCGGCCGTCGTCGACGCCCATCTTGGCCGTGCCCATCCAGTGGTTGGAACGCCGGGATTGGTAGGTTACTGGTTGCTTTTGGGATGTTAGTGTAACGGAAGAAAGGAGAACATGGTGGGGAAAAGGGGGGAAGGCTTACCTTGTCGACATAATCAGCAGCGGACTGGCCGGGGCTGGGGTAAGCCCAGGTAAGACCCTTGACGTTGGAAAGAGCCTTCTGGAGGTTGGCGATACCCTGGACGACAGCCGCCTTGTCGTTGGTGTCCTTGAGGTAGGGGACGTCGGAGACGACGGTGTTGAGGGTAGGGCTGAGGGTCATGCGGCCGCGCGAGGTGGCGCCACGGCCGAGATATTGGCTCATGGTCATGGCGTAGCCGTTGGGGATCTCGAAGCTGCCCTCGACGCGGGCGGTCCACTGCAGCTGACGGACGATGCCGTCGGCGCCCGTGATCTCCTCCCAGAACATGGGGCCGATGTTGGGCGCGGCCTGGGCGAGAATGCCGGAGCGCCCGTTGAGGTACAGGTTCTTGTCGGTGGTGTTGGGGTTGGTCCAGGCCTCGTAGAAGTCGTAGAAGGTCACGTTGTTGTGCTGGATCACGGTGTCGGTGTTAAGGTGGTCGTCCAGGTTGTAGCCGACGGGCAAGTTGATCCAGGACGAGTTGCTGATCATGGTAGGGCCGTCGGCCGAGGCCTTGACGACCTCGAGCTGGTCCTTGGGGCCAATGCCGGAGCGCATGAGGATCTTGGCGCTGCCGAAGGTGCCGGCAGAGAGGACGACGCGGCCGGTGGTCTTGGTGACGGGGATGATACCCGAGTAGCCGCCGTTGCGGAAGGCCTCGACCTCAACACCGGTGATGTGGCCACCCTCACGGATGACGCGCTTGACGGCGGTGTTGAGCCACAGCTTGAAATTGCTGCGCTTCTTGGCGCTGACGAGATAAGTCGCCAGAGGACCGCCACGCTGGCCACCGATGTACATGTAAGGGGTGTGGGCGTACGTGCGGTTCTTCTGGTTGTTGTCCTTGAGGGCATCAACCTCCTTCCAGCCGCCCGCCTTGAGGCCGCTGGCAAGAACCTCGAAACCCTGCTGAAGGTAGCGCTTTCCATCCTGAGAAGGAGTGCTAGTACCCGGAATGCGGGAGAGGGCTCTGGTGGTAGCACCGGCGACATCGCTGGCCTTCCAGCCAGAGGGGAAGAGGTAATCCCAGTCCTTGGTGTAGGGCTTGTACCAGAGACCGGCGTTGATGGCAGTGCCACCACCGAGCAGGCAGCCGGCCATCTGATCGGTATCAGAGCAGGCAATGCCTTCAGAGTCAACCCAGATCTGGTTGCAAAGACCGGGGACATCGAAGCGGGTAAGGGAAGTACCCGAGAGCCACTCAGGCTTCAGAGTACCGCCATGCTCACCAGTGGAAGCAAAGCCCTTCTCAATGAGCAGCACACTCTTTCCGGACTCGCTGAGCTTGTCAGCAGCAGGAATACCACCGGCACCGCCACCAACGACAACGTAGTCGAAGGAAACGCCAGTAGGGACCGGAGTCGAGATAATTGAGGTTGTGGTGGGACCAGCGCACGAACCGGTGACGGTCTTGGTGGCCTTAGCAGCCCAGGCAGTATAAGAGGGGTTGGCGATGTTGCTGTCGAAGGCAGCATACCACTGACCCATGCCGTTGTCGTGTTGGCTGAGAGTGATCTGGGTAGGGCAGGTCGGGTTACCGGGAGAGGGGAAAGCTTGGACCCAACCGAACATGGTACCCTGTGCGCTGGTAGAGATGCTGCCGGTGACACCATCCTGATCCCACGACAAGCAGTTCTGGCACCTGAAGACAAGGGTGAAGTGGGTAGCGTTCACACTAGACGCGATCTGAGTGATCTTGGCGTCACCTCCGTAGTTCTTGGGCATGGCGTAACCCGTGGCGAACTGGAGAGCGGTGTAGACTTCTCCGTCAGCGGGCCAGGCGGTGATGAGAAGACTGTTGGTCATGGCACCTCTGAGAGAAACACCGCACCAACCGCTGTTGGCACCATTCTTGGTCGAGGAGCATTCCTGATCATGGAGGTCAGTACAGGAGGACATTGGATAGTTCTCTGCCATTCACTAGACATACTAGGTAGCCGATGAACTCGTTCGCGTCGGTGGTAAGAGCATTCGATGGCAGAGCCATACCAAGCCTGAAGCCACCTTGGGTCTGGGCAGTAGAAGCACCCCATGTGTTGAAAACAATGCCGGTACCAGGATGAGTGAAAGTAGTAGGGAGAGTTTGGGCAAAGGTAGACGGCAGCACTGGGGATCATATTGTCAGTATGGTTGAGCAGTATGAGTGATTCTGGTGCTGGTGTCTACTTACATGAAGCCACCGCCGCCAGGCCGCTGAGAAACCCGGTGGTCCTCATCTTGCACAGTGATTTCTAAGAGGCCCCTTCACACTGCCGGTGCGCGAGGGGGATGAAGAGAAGAAAGTGAAGATGGAGTGGTCCATGGGCTCTCTATATACAGACACTACGGTCTAAGAGAGTCCACCTTCCCAGGAACTATAGGACAGGGGGTCAGCTCAGCATGTCATCATCTAGACGGCCGAAAGCAGAAGCATTGATGTGTCGAGGTGACCAGAAAGGAGTGCTAATGCAAAACTTCCGGTAGGTGGAAGGGGACGGCAACCCTGTCCGAGATTGCGGCTTTGGATGTAACTCTACACCATGGGGCGTGTCCCCGGACGCATCACTGCATCGCTCAACTTGGGCAGGGGGGTATGAGATGGGTAGCATGGAGAGGTAGCATGGACGAAGCCAAGATCCGGGATACCAGCTCAGACCCATGGAATGGATGGTATGCCACCTCGTGCTCATCTTGATCCAGGGGCAAGCGCAAGTTCCTTACTGGCGGGGATGTGAGCAAGAGCGGAATGAAGGCCGAAAGCGAGGCAGTGAGTGTGCCTGAGGACCTGGATTCTTTCATGCGTATATCCAGCTCATCTCGTGGAAAGTGTCTCTGTATGTGGTTGTGCATGGTGAGCCTCCCTTGATTGAAACGCTCCCAGCCAGTCAGCCAGCGGGAGGATCATTATCGCGGCTGTCCTCCTAAGCTCACAGCAAGCAGAAGACGCCACCCCCGGATTCTTGGATGCCGACCCGTCTCTCCAAGGGGCTTGGGCGAATCGAGGCGAGATCGGGTCCTGTGGTCATGATTGCCGTCAAGATCCGGATGAAGTCTAACCCGAGTTTGACGGATGGAAGTCCCGATACCAAAAGAAGGTGTTACAGCAATGATATCCAAGCGGCGGCTACTGTGTAGTGAGCACGTAAAAGACAGGGCCTAGTGCGGTTAAGGTTGTCTGTCGCCTTGCTCTAAACCTCCGTTCAGCTCCATCGGGCATAGTTGGTGATAGTTTTGGGTGTGTGGTCGGCCGCGGAGGATGTGAAGGTCTGACTGACTTCCGGTTTAACGCCAACCAACCCCGCGCGTCTCTCTGTGACCTTGTGAGATGTTCATGACCACTCGGTGCCAAGCGAAGGACCCAGGTTCCTGGATTGAGCCTCCCGCCATGCCGTACGCCATTTCCCAAAAAGATACGGGGTGTGACCTCCGGACCGCGACGACATCCGCCTTCCCGACCGGCAGCTACCCATTAGCGGCCGCTGAGTGGTCACTTGGAGTCACTTGGCCTCCTCTGCCCTGTCAATCCTGACATTACAGTCCCATTGTAGCACTCTGGCCTGTCACCGAATTGTTGCCCAAAACCGAAAAATCGGCAGCGTATCATCGAGTCTGATATTGCCAGGTCCTTGTTATTATGCGTCCGCGCCTCGAAGAGGTATCGAGGCATCGACGATCAGTTGAAAAAGGATAAAGTTCGCAGCTTGTCACCAACTTGGCGACCAAAGGATTTCTTGTCTTGAAGCAGCCAAGAGATATTGTGTTTCATGTGAAAAAGAAAGCAGATGAAAAAGGACGGGTGATGAAAAGTGGATGGGGTTGAGTTTGAAAAAGAAATATGTGAGTGCAAGTGTTGTTGTTTGGAGAAAGATGCGAAAGATGCCAAGTGCGTCAGCAGCATTGCCGAGAAGCGGGAGCGGGAGCGGGATACAAAAGGGAAAAAGTGCAAAAATCTAAGCGACCCACACGCGACTCGAACGCGCAATCTTCAGAGCCGAAATCTGACGCCTTAGCCATTAGGCCAATGGGCCTTCGCTTTGTTGAAAATTGAAACATAAAACAGCCACTAAGAAGGGATAGCCTGGCTTTTTGCACAACAACAACACAGCAACCCAACCCGGACTCGGTGCTGTATTCACACAGGGTAATGTTTAGACCTGGAATACCCTGGCAAGTCGTTAGTTTGATCATGTCCGTCCCAACACAATCTGCCGGCAATCAATCATTTCCCGGGCATCTACTGTAGGTACTTTCTGATCGGTACCTCTACGGACTTCTATGCTCATCAACACTGGAACATTTAACTTGTGGATACCCGTGCATCACGCAACCATTCCATTTCCTCTGGCTTCTCAATGGCAACTGTGAACACTGCATTAGCCATCACTCGGATTCGTGAATCAGTCAATGATGCAAGTAGGTAACTACGTACGTCTACCTTCAAGCAACGACAGTCACAACAGCACACGGTCAAAACGGACAACTTTTTAGTCATGATCTTCATTCCCATTCCCATACCATTCATCTCATCCATCGGTCATAACAATCATCATACCTATCTCTCTCTCCCTCTCTATAAACCGAACAATGCAACTCAAAACACACGAAACACAAAACACCGCGCCGTGCAGGCTATACAAGGCTCAATCAAAGCTAAGCTAAAACCAAACCAAACCAACGCACGTCATCATAATCCATGAAGGACCAAAGGACAAAGCAAAAGGGAAAACAAAACAAGCTACAACCTCCTCTTTCAGGGACAAGAAAACAACATAACCACCCCTTTTCATACCAAATTATGCTTTCCCAATCAATCAACCCACCAAAACCCAGACTTTTGTCTATCCCTGGCTGATACTCGTTGCTTATCTCTACTCCTGAAGATAAACAGGAATACCATAAACAGCAATAGCAGCCGCAGTGACATATCGAAACCGACACGCTCCTCTCGCTTCCGCCACGGCTTCTACCAAACTCTTCTTTTTCTTTCCCTTCTTCTCCACCCTCCCCATCTTCTCATTCTCTTCCTCTCCATCTCCATTCCCACCTGTTTCCTTCCCATCCACATCCCCCTTATTCAAATCCACTCCCTTCCCTTCCCCTTCCTTTTCAGTTTCTCCCTCTCCCTCCTCTCCTCAATCTCACCAAAAACCCCTTCCCCCAATAGCCCCCACTCCTCCAACACTCTCCCCGTAAACCTTCAATATCCCTATCCGTAACGTCCCACAACGTCCCCACCACGGCGGGGGCACCAGCCATCATGTAATTCCACGCCGGGCCGTACACTTCGAACCCTTCGCCGGCTTCGTTCAGCTTGGCGGAGGAGCAGCCCATTAGCAACACCGTCGCCTTGCATCGGGGAGTGAGGCGCCGGATGGTGCGGCCGCGGATGTATTGCGCGCCGGAGCCGTGGCCGAAATAGAGTAAGATGTCCGAGTTGGTGAGCGCCGAGGCGAATTCGGATTCTGTGGGTGGACGGGCGGTGATGGATGTCCATGATTGGGGGCGAGGCCCTAGATGGGAAGAAAGAAGGGGGGCAAAGGTTTTCTGGGTGGTGAGGAGGTCGGAAGAGGGGTTGAGGATGTAGGTGCCTTCGATGGAAGAGGCGTGGTGGCCTTGCGGGAGGAGGGACTCTGATTTCTCAGCAGCAGCAGCAGCAGCAGCAGCAGCAGCAGTAGAGATGGTGGGAGGAAGTGCGTCAGCGTCCAACATTATCGAGTCGCCGTCTTCTTCTTTGGCCGGGTGCGGCGACGAGGAACGAGAAGAAGAGGTCTTTTTCATGTCTAAAATGGCGCGACGAAGACAACCCAAACTGGGCATGCGAGATACAGCTAGGTTTTGCAGGCACGGGAGAGACTCCCAAGGAAAGACGTGCAGAGCCTTGTCGAGCATGAGGATGGTGTGAGCGTGCTCGTCGCCGCCCCCGTCGAGTTCGTTGACAGCCGCGTGATAGGCGTGCAGGGCGTCCAGCATTTCGACGACCATGGAGTCAAAGTCGATCTCGTCGTAGGCGTTGCGCTCGCCGTGGAACTGGAGGATGTCGACAACAAAATAAAGCAGGTCCGTGAGTTCCTCGTCTAGGTCGATGTTTTGGTCGCTGGCATTATTACCGAGACCGATGAAGAGCTCCAGGATGCGAGGGTCGACCGTTACTTTCTCTGGCGCGCGCGGCTCCTGACCGCCGCCAGCACCAGCAGCATTCTTCCCGCGGTGGTGCACCTGTCTCCGGCTGGGGAGATGTTTGTCCAACATGTTCTCGAAAGTCGTGGCAAACTTGTTCATCAACTCCTTCCTCTTGCCCCCTTGAGTCTGGTGCTGGCTGAAAATACCCCGGAAGCCGCCGAGCCAGATCTGCTCAATGTTCGTCAACAGATCCTTCATGCGATTATCCAGCGCCTCGCGGTCCGCCCACCAAGCAGTCTTGGCGCCCTTGACAGAGAAGTCTCGGGCATCGTGGCAAGTTTCGTTGGCCAAGCGAATAATCTCAAGCAACTCAGCCCTTCCCTGCTGGTAGTTGAACACCTCATTGTCTGCGTCGCGCGAACTGGCACGATCAAGGGGAAGTCGGAGGACGAATGGCGTGCAACCGGCTTGTAGTTTGGTGATGCACAGATCGTGCTTGTTGTCGCTCAATGAGATAGACACCACACTCCAAGGCTTCGGGATAATGTCGATGTAGTCTCTTTGAAACTTTTGCAAGTCCAGCGAGAAACCGAGACTCATCCGGCCCATGGGCTCAACAGGCAGGTCCGTGAAATTAGGCCAGCTGTATGCGTCAGTCTTGGGTCCATTCTTCTCCAGCGTGAGAGCTTTGCGTTCCCTGCGCCACGTGAGGTTACGGCCCAGCTCGACAGAGTAGGCAGTATGCCCAGAAGAGGAGGATGCCTTGGCCTTCCCAGATGATGCCGTAGCAGAAAGAAGGAGACCGACATTCTGCAGCATGACAGAAATCTTGTGAATGAGACTTGAGTCACCGCAGACGGTAGCCACGGCATGGGCTTCGAGAAGAGAATGCTGCGCTTGGCGAAGATTATCCACATACTCTGCCTTTTCCTGATCTGCAGTATCCTTAGTGGCAGCCCGCTTTCTCTCCTGAAGAACAGCTGGGTAGCCCCCGGAACCCCTATCCTTTCCATGGGAATCAGAAACAGCAGGATATGAGATGGTTGAGTCGTGAATGACTGAAAAGACCGGATCATGGGCCATCTGCTCCATGCTCATGCCCAGAAGACAGGACGCCATGATGATTTGCTCATCCGAAATGATCGCAGACAATGACTTCTTGGACCGCGTTTTGACTCCCTCAAGCATCACCAAAGCCGAAATCCAGTCCTTTTTCGCCAGCTTCACCGTAGCCTTTTGTACCATGATAGCTGCTCTGAGTTTCGAAAGCTGAGCATCCTCAACCGGCTGAGGGGCCGGAACAGGTGCCGCCGTCTTTGGTCTCGCCGCAAGCCCATGTCTCGAATGGACACTCTTCGCCGGTTTGGATAATTGCCGTCCAGCCGCAGGCCCCTTGACACCCTTCATAGGCGTTCCCTTCTCCTCCCCCTCCGCCTTCTCCCCAGCAACCGACACCGACGCAGCGGCACTAACCTCCAACAACGCCTCCAAAATCGCCTCCGCCCTCCCAATCATCGCCTCAGCACCCTCAAAGCTCTTCAGATCCAAGCACATAGCCCCAATCTGGCAAGCCAGCACGGCCGAAGAATACGAATTGCTTTCCTCTGGCAATAGATTAGCCGCCTCCTGCAACATCTCCATCGCCTTCGGTATGTTCGCCGCCTTGACGTACACCGAGCCCATCCAGGTCGCGCAGCCAGCCTTGAGGATCTCCGAGCAAGCGCTGTTGGCGATCTTCTGTGCCTGCTCGGCGTAGTACATCGTCTCCTGGAACATGCCCAAGTGTGCGTAGATGGACGACAAGCGTAGAGTGTTTCGGTACAGAGTTAGGGCAAGCTTCCATGACTCGGGTCCCAGGTACGGCGTCTCTTTGCCGGTGGCCGAAAGGTCGCAGGTTGCGTCATCGGTGTTGAACATGGCAGAGTCATCGGTGGACGAACGGGCGGACGATTTCGCTGCTGCTGCTGCTGCTAATTGTTGTTCTACCTTGACCCAGTCCTGGAAGATGCAGCGGACGCTTTCTCTGGCATAGACCAAGGCGTGGTGAGATTCACCCCGTTCCTGCGTGACGAGAGAATGAAGGTAGGAAGCATAGGCCACCAGATATTTCCGCCTAGCACGGGAGACCTTTCCTGGCATGGCTTCAGCTTCAACTGCAGCCCGGGCCTGCGAGAGGTGGTATTCTGCTTGAGTGAGATCACCGACAGCGATGAAGTGTTCCGTCCAGGAAAGATGGAAGGTAGCAACCGCATCACCGGGTAGATCAGCCTGCTTCTTCAGATACTGCAGTGTTTCGGCGAAGGTCTGCTCAGCCTTGATGGATTGGCCGAGATTGGTGTATTGCAGAGCCAGGGTTGAGGCATGCTGAATGATGTCTTCGAGCCTGGGACCGTCTGCTAGTTTTGCAATATCCGCCGTCAGTTCCAGGACCATAGCTACCATGCTATCGTGACCGCTTAACCGCAGAAAGTCAGCCATAGCCTGCAGGTGATCCAGAAGGCCAGGGATATCGTCGATTGACCGCTCAACATCCGTTTTGGTTTGGCAAGACTTGACGATCGACTTCCACGTTTCAAGGCATCGTTGAACTGCGCCCAGATCGGAGTACCCATCCGACAATGCTGTGATGGAATGATAAAAGGCTCCCATATGCGGCACAAAGCGGGCCAGTCCAGCATCTTCACCAAGATTATCCGGTTCTACCTGCGTAGCATCCCTAGTGATAGCAAGCAACTCGGGGACCTTCCGCTGGTTTCCAATGGCAGAGCTCAGGAGCGCCAACAGCACTCTAAGTCTTCGTATGGGATACCGTGTCGGAATATAGATGCGGAGCAAGGCATCCACAACAGGGTGCTCAAGAGTGACCTCTTCCTCCCTCTTTCTCCCACTCATGGTTGGGTTGCCACCGAGAATAATGTAGTGCAACCGGTGTTCAAGTCCGGCAGCTTGTTCAGCTTCTGGTAAATCCACCGTCCAATCCATGAAGACATGCTCCATCTTCGCGATGGCCACCAGAGCACGAGACAGAGTCTCGGCCTTCTCATCCCTTTGCCAGACAACAAGCGGCGAGTCTGTCGCCAGTGCGCCAGCAACGCTTCCGAGAATCCCATCATCCAGCATGCTCGTCCTAATGGTCTGTAGCGCGGCGAGAGCCTGATCATTTCTGCCCAGTGTCCGAGCAAGCTCGGCCATCCGTTCCAACTTCAGGGTGAGCTGCGCCTTGTCTTTCTCCGCTGTCGACCTGTGCTTCACGCAGTCGATCGAGCGACGGAGAGCTCGTAAGGGCGCCACATCCTTGGGGTCGGTGGATTGCTGTCGTAATACATTATACTGTAGATAGTAAAAGTGCGAAATCTTGACATGGTACATGCTCTGTGAGCCAGCAGCGCCCATGTCTCCCATGTATTCCAAGAGCAAAAGACAATCGTTGAGAATCGAATCCATAAAATCCCAGGCCAGCCTCTTCTCTTCGAGGCGGGTCTTGACGATGATGAAAGATGAATCGAGGGTATGTTGTATAGACTGTAGGAGTAGTTGACGGCGTTGTTCGTATCGGAGGTAATCTTTGGTGCTGCTCTTGGGCTCCGGGGGTTTACCGAGCCATCGTAAACAAAAACGAGGACATTGGAGGACGAATGATTCTAGATATTCTCGGCAATTGGAAGTAAAATCAGCAAACTCATCTTTCTCTTTTTTGATCAGAGCAAGAAGAAGCTTCATCGTTGCTCTCCTGACCGAGCAGATGTTATTGAGCAACTCGTCAAGGTCGCTGGAATCGCCCCTGAGGGGGCCTGAGAGACCAGCAACTACCTCCTCGAGAAGCTGGCTATCATGACAGTACTTTACCGGGTCCTTGAGCTGGAGGGACAGTAGCTGCGCTGATAGGGAGCATATCTTTGCGACGGAGTCCGCCTTTGGATCGACCCCTTCTCTGACCTTGGTCGCCCAAGAAACTGCATCTGCCAACTTTCCCGCCTCTCGTGCCAGAACAGCCAAAACTTGGTAAATCAGAGAAAGAGGTGTTCGTGAAACTTCCGAGAGTTGTGCTCCATAGTTATCGAGCTGAGAGAGAACCCTGGTGAAGACTGAAAGGCAAGTGGCATAAGAAGAGCGCCCGCTCTCCTGGCTCCGTCGAACGAATGCGCCCATGTACCGAGAGAGAGGCATGATGATCTCCTTTTCCGCATCACCCTTATGTTTGGCCAACTTCCGCCATTGCAGTCTCGTCTCCAAAGCAAAGCATTGCAGCTCGATGGCAGATACCGGGGAGATACTAAGCCGCGGTTCTATGCTGAGCGTGTCGTCCTTGCTGGATGCGCTGGGGGTCAACGAAATCATGCATTGAGCCAGAGTTTCCATCTGACGGGCAATCTTGGCCACATCCGCGCCCTTTTCAGCCGCTGACCGGAGAAGGAGGGCAATTGGTGATGAGTTATTATCTTGTCGTAATAGTGGGATGATGGCCTCGATCGCATTTGGCTTTTTGTTCGCGGACAAGAGGCGCAATGCCTGTATTTGTGTTGTAATGACGAGAGTAAGGGCTGGCCCGAGCATTTCACCTGGCCAAAATTGAGAATCTCCGTATACACTTGCGCCGCCGTTTTGGGTGGTTCGGTAGCAGTCGTCTTGGTCGGCTTCTTTGTTGTCGTCGAGCTGGACGGTGTCTCCAATCTCTTCTTCAAGATGCGCAGTTCCTTGAGAGCTTGATCGTGTAGTCCTAGCGTGATCAGCCTGGCTATTAAAGAAGACATGCCCGTCTCGAGTTGTAGCTCTGGAAGCGTGAGCTTGCTGGACGTGTGTAACTGGCGCAGAGTGCCCAAGGCAACACGAGCGCATTCGACCGTGGCGAGGAGGTTCGTGTCATGTTTCGGGGCTTTGGCTGGCGAAAGGGAGCGCTTCGAGAGGGCGGGAGAGGTGGTGACCCTGTTAAGGGCGCGAGGCTGTAGGGGAGATAGTGGTGTCGAGTTCGCAGAGCTACATCGTTGAAGCGGGTTTCTCGTCGTGGCCGACCGTAACAATTCCTCCTCTTGGGGCGCTGGCCGCTTGGTAGGCGTTGGTGGTCTCGCAGTACTAGTTGGTGGGTTCTTTGCATAGTCGCTCAGGGCGCGAAGGGTTCCGTTGACGACGTGGGTGGCCAATGTTGCCTTTTCCTTGGGCGAGAGTCCATCATCTTTCCTTGCTGCGGCCGCGGCCTTGGTGGTTGTGTTGTTTGCTCTCGATCGTGGTCTCGCTGTTGATGTTGTCTTCGTTGTTGTTGATGTTGATGTTGTTTCTGACGCGGCTGTGGCATCGTCTTTGGGTAAGAGCAGGCTCTTGAGAAGAGCTGTAATGGTGGGCGTACATGTTGTCACCGAAGAGACGGCGCTGCGCACGGCGTCAGCTTGGGAGTGTATCGTATCCATGAAGCTGTCGTAATGTAGAGAAAAGAAGGTCTAATGGGCTGATTCCTAATCATGTCATCGCCTATAACGTAGTGAGGTAGGACTAGGGACAATTATCCAAAAGACGGGAAAAAGGTGTAGCGCATGAAGTACGTATGGTTGGATCGTATGCTTGTGTAAATCGAAGTAGAAGCAAACAGTAAGGTGGATCGCGAATTGGTGTCCAAGAATGGAGCTCCCCCGGCCACGAGTCCGGATTCTGAAGACGGGGAAGAACCCTTGTTAGCGGGATGTTGACTTGATCGCAACAAAGATTCAAACAAGTTGCCCGGGCAACTGCAATGCAAGGACGGCAAGGTACAAAGGGTACGTACCTTACCTCGCTGCTGAAGACACGCAGGACGCCGGCGACATGGGGCGCATTGGCCAGCCAGAATGACAGAAGGACCCCACCTTTGCCTGCCGTGCCGGACGTCATTTCTCCGATGTTGGTGCACTGCAGTGCAATGCAACGGAAGTGAACTTTTGCCGAACGAAGCTTCCAGTCTCCTCACTTTCTCTTCAGTTTCCGTCTCTTCATCAACACTTGACTTTGACAACTGCCCTGATCCCACCGTCGGAATACTACGAAGGCTTCACCAGCCACCGAACTCCGATCCAAAACAAGTCGACATTTTCGAATCGCTACCATGCACCGAACTGCTCTTCCTCAGCGCCTTGGGCGCAATGCGCATGCGGCCTTGCTCCATCGTCAACTCCCCTCGACACTTCTGCGGGCTTCATTCTCGACCTCGATCCGCGCTGCGAGCGGCGCCCCGGATGTAATCGTCCCCAGAGTTGCCAAAGTGTCCTTTTGGAAGTCGATGGTTCCCAAGTTTATGCGATTCGGCGATGACTCCGTCCACCACACCAAGATGCCGAAATCGAACGAGTGGAACCCGGCGACCTTCTTTATCATCATTTTTCTAATGATTGGATCCATGGCTATCCAGATGATCTCGCTCAAGAAGGATTTTGCGGCTTTTACGCGCCAGACCGATGTCCGGATCAATACCCTGCGCGAGGTGGTCGAGAGGATACAGAAGGGAGAAGATGTGGATGTTGAAAAGGTGCTGGGCACTGGTGATCCGGAGAGGGAGGCTGCTTGGGATGAAGGTTTGTTAAAAAATCTGATGAAACTGTGAAACGAAGGAAACACCGGCTGACATCACGATCCAACAACAGTTCTCAAGGAGATCGAGCGCGAAGAAATCATGCACAAGACAAAACAACAGAAGGCAGCGAAGCAAGCCAAGCCAGAGCCTGCAAAGGAACAAGCCCAAACACAGACCCAGACCGAGACGGACAGCGCGCCCAAGATTTCGGCCGCAGCTCTCAAGGGTGCCTTCTTCTAAGATGACAGCACGTCTATTATTCTATTAAAGATGGACGTCCGTTTTGGAGCCCATTCGTAAACGCCGTGCCAATGGGTACCTCGGCCACCATGGCTCCATTGTTAGAACTCTTGAGCTCCTCCACGAGCGCCGGTAATAGCTTTTCAGTAGCCATCTCCACTCTAACCCCATGAGGACCGGCCATTTTAGGGTCCAGATCTTCAAAGAACATCTCTTCGCGCCTCACACCACCGATGCTCACAATGGCAATCGGCATTCCTCGGAGCTTAGCCCGCTGTGCCAGCCGCCAGGCCGAGTATGTCGCGAGGGAGGTGCCCAGGATGAGCATTCGTCCGGCATTGTCGACGGCCTTTTCCGCCTCGCGCTTGACCTCGGCGCTGATGCTTTCTCCAAACATGATCACCGCCGGCTTCAGAACTCCCGCAGTGCTGGACGGTATCCAGGCCCCATCTTTGTCAATCTCCACCCATGTCTTGGTACCATCTGCGAGGCGCGGCGGTTCCTTCAAGCAAGATGGACATGCGGGGTAGCGAAAGGTGGTATAAGGTGCCTCGGCCAGATCCACATCACCATCCGGGTTCATCTTGATCCCCCTCTTGTTCCGCTCCTCAATGTCCTCCGTCTCCAGGGCTCCCGACGCCAGCGCCTCGCGAAGAAAGTCGGCCCAGATAGGGTTGAGCCTCGCCAGCGTGGTCTGATACTCGTCTCTTGGGAACTGGTTCTGGCACGATGTACACACAACCGAAGCTAGACTCCCGTGCAATTCGACGGTTCGTATATCCGGATGGCTCATCTTGTGGAAGGAATCCACGTTCTGCGTGATCACGCCCGTGATGCCCTTGCTGTTGTTGTTTTCATCTGCTCTACCGCCGCTGCTGTAGCTGTAGCCGTAGCGCTGGGCGAGCAGGTCCCCCAGGTCCCGGATCGCGTAGTGTCCCGGGTTCGGGCCGGCCCGTCCCAGACCCCTCCATCCGATGTAGCTCCGTGCCCAGTATCGCTGCCGCGTCTCGTGGCTCGTCAGAAACTCGTGGTGGAAAATCGGCTTGTAGCTCTTGTTGACCCGGTAGGTGCCGTTGACGCCGCGGTAGTCGGCCAGGCCGCTGGCCACGGAAAGACCGGCACCGGTGAGAATGACGGTTCGGTCGGGTAGATGGGACGCCGGAGGGGGGGTGGTGAGGAATGATTTGAGAGCGGCGACGGCGCCAGGGAGGGTCGTGGCGGTGGCAGGAATGATGGTCGTTGGGGGAGGAAGCTCCCGGTAAGGGATCCGCATTCGGAGGGTGCCGGCTGCTGTCGTCGCGAGGGACGACATTTTGGTATTCTGTTGCTGTAGGTTTCGGATCTGATGATGGTAGGTAGTGTTATTAGCTGGAAATTACTGGGCGGCGCGCCCCACGCTTTACCAGTGTCAAGTCTTCATGTTGGTAGGTTGTTGGGTGAAGTTTGTTCTCCAGATGCAGAATCGTAGTGGCACTTGGAGAGATCGGTCGGTCAGTGTCGTCACTGAAGATCAGGACGGAGGAGCTTGGGCCACCTTGGCATTGTTTCCTGCATGAGCTGCGGACTCGGAACAAGAAACATTTGTTTACTCCCCCCTTTCGAAAGGCTCACATAGTATTCAAAACAAGTGACTTGACGAGAATGTTGGGGATCACAGTTGAGTTTTAGGCAAGATCATCATTATGTTTTAACGACACTCATAGTATGGTCCTGCAGCCTTTTAGCTTCTACTTTACTTAAAGGATCCTTTCCGTCCCGCCCCTCGCTTTGCAAAAAGACGGACTCTCATAAGACGCTAATCTGAAGCCGATTTCTAACAAAGTCGTATGGTCTAATGGTTATGATTTCTCGTTCACATTAGTTGAATCTGATCCGAGAAGGTTCTGGGTTCGATCCCCAGTACGACTAACTTTTTGACTCTTTCTGGAACACAGCTGTCGGGTGGGCTTTCGTGGCCTTGTCACTTTCTTTTTGGATATCCTTCCTTTTTTGAGTTTCTGTGAACAGAACGTACGTACCATGAGCTTAGTCCTGAGTTCTATTACTCTACTCTCCCTTTGATGTTCTTTCGTTTTTGCTCCTCACAGATCTTCCCTCACCCAGACAATGATTGTAAACTGTATGTATATAGGATTCTCGCAGAGTCGTTTCATCAGAAGCCTCAAACAAGCCGTTGGTTGTAGTGTAGACCTTGGTCTAATATCATCGAAACATGCAACAACTACGTATCTACCTCAGTAGCATGCATGTTCGAACTTGGTTTACAACTCGAAACAATGACCAAATCAACTTGCTCGGATCTACAAAAGCTTCGTTTATTTTGTTCAACGAACGCTATTGTGCGGCTGGGTACCACGTACTGAGCCGTTCTGTTGGTAACATGTTCTTGTTACGCGGGCATACTGCTGTGTCAACATGACAGATCAACACTCGATGCTGGTCTCCTGAACCCCTTTTCCAGCTTGTTTGTATTCCGTCTCGCAATGTCGCATATGGTTCCAGCGAATACATGATGCTTCACCCTTTGATTTCCGAGACTGCAACAGTTATGCGAGGGCGTTCGAGGAGCTGCCATTCGCACAATGCAATGCAGGTTCATCTTTTACCTCAGAACGGTTGGATGTCATCCATTGTCAGTGATGGTCCAGTCCAGTCCAATTGGCGATGGCGTGTGAATGGTCCATCGAACGTTGAAGCACGGAGAGGGGCAGTGGGGAAGTGGACCGCTGGCTAAAGAGCTCACCTGCTGCCCTGGAACATGCGCCGAAGCCAAGCTGAACAGGG